GCTGTTTACATTTAGCAGTAAGTAGGAACCCGGTTATTAGTCGATTGGCGGATCGCTTTCCCGGGGCTAATATTCCCTTTTTAAAAAAATTGTTTGATCATCCCAACCCACGGCTGTTTGTGGGACGCTGCTGTGCACAATTGGCTGCCGCGGTTCGCCCACAAAATATACAGTCAATTCACTTCACAGTATATTCTGTTAAGCACTTTGAGACGGCTTGAAGAAATAATGAGGTGTATTATCAAATGCAAGGATTATATATATAGTATTGTATTCTGTTAGTGCAATTAGTGATATAACATTTGTATGCGCAAATTTATTGTAATATTAACTGACCAACTCTTAATATATTAGCAATACCTGCTATTTGCAGTTTCTGCCGGTTTTAAAATGGTTTCTTCCTAAATGCTGCTTGAAGCTCTTTAGAGAGAACCTCAATGTTTAACATACTAACCAATTTCTGGAACCCTGTTGGGAATATCACCAATTCACCTACTGACCTTGTACAAGCCTAAAGGGCCGATTGCTAATGTGAAACAGACCACTGATCTCAAATAGTTCTCAAAACTGCTTGCAAATGGAGTTGTTAAAAAAAAACTCCAGTAACTCCAATGCCTAAAGCGATTCACTGCCTATAAAGTGAGCGTTTTTATTAGAATTCAATGAGCGCAGTGTAAACACAGGACTATCATCAGTACAACCATTATCTATAGTAATAATAAATCTTGCATTTGATATAGCGACTGTTTGTGGGACGCTGCTGTGCGCAATTGACTGCCGCGTTTTGCCCACAAAATACAGTCAATTCACTTTGAGTACATTCTGCGAAGCGCTTTGAGATGTCCTAATGATGTGATAAGGCGCTGTATCAAATGCAAGTATTATTATTATTATTATTATTATCATTATAAACAAATCACCCACTGTTCCTACTCTGGCTGCGCTCACTGCTTGAAATGCATGTAGTTTAGCAGTTTCTAAACACCACAATAGAAAAAAATGGTTTCCCTTCTCTTTGTTACCCACGTGCAACTCTTTGCCCTACAATCTAAAGCGGTTCATCTGGTCTTAAAACTTGCGTCATTCGTCTGATTATTTGCTGAACTGTCACAAAGTAGGCATCCCGGAGGCTGGGTGTGTTTGATCATGTCCTCTGTTAAGCATGTTGTGTCAGGAATCGAACATGCAATATTTTTTTGGCCGAAACTTCATGAATAACTTCTCTTTTCTGACACTCGTTTCCTTTCCGTAACTGTCGCTGTTGATGTAAAACTCGAAATTCCACCTCGTCCTTGTCTTGTCAGAATGTTTTTGATCTGAACAGTATATATGATTATTTTGCAGTATAATTTGTGAAGCGCTTTGCGACGTCTCAACAAAGTGGTTTGATATAAGCGCCTTTGATAGGAGAGCACAAAAAACATACAATTTGGACGAACTTAAGAGGTTTGAACGTTAAGCTTTATGAAGAGAAACAAGACAGGTATTTGACAAAACATGTCCACAAACTGTTGAGCACATGCTTTTCAAAATTAAAGTATTAAGTTTCAAACATTCTGACTCATAATCTCCTTCAAATAATCGCTCCAAAAATATTTGGTCACTCAATCTCAATCACTCAATAATATAATATTATTATTATTATTATGTGTTTTTGTTTTGGAGGGATTATTACCCCGGAAAGCGATCTGCCAATCGACTAACAACTGTGCTCAATTGGCTGCCGTGTTTCACCCACAACAACTTGCACTTATATTTCATTTCAAATAATAATAATCCTTGCATTTGACATAGTGGCTAATCACGTCTTCGAGACGTCTCAAAGCGCTTCACAGAATACATTGTAAAATAATAATAAATGATAATCCTTGCATTTGATATGGCGCTTTTCACGTCTTCTCGACGTCTCAAAGCGCTTCATAGAATATGCTGTAAAGTGAATTGACCGTATATTTGTGGGTGAAAAGTGATGGACTGTATAATTTGTGGGTGAAATGCAGCAGCCAATTTTGCACAGAGGTGTCCCACAGTCGTAGATTGAGTGACCATTTTTTTTGGAGGGATTATTACCCCTGAAAAGTGATCCACCAATTGACTAACAACCAGGTTCCTACTGACTGCTGGTAAACACTGAATACAGGTCAATTTCTGTACCTGTATTCAGTGTGAAAAATGACAGATATTCTGAAATGCATAACGACGCATTTTAAAAACTTAAAAAAGGACATTATGTTCTTAAACGATTAACGTAATTGACATTCCATTTGTTGTGGTCAACTACAACCTAATGACGACATTCTGAAGGTTGTTAAGGAGAACAGCCCATGACTTCTGAATAGCACAACAGAAATATAAACTTTCCAATCTATCGTAAAATAACCTCATCATAAAAGCAAGTCACTTTCCTTTGAACTTTGCACCTACATTTAGTCAAAAAGCTGCAGTTAAACATCAAATGGTTGCTTTTCATTGTACAGAGATAAGGGCCAAGGTCCATATAGAGTATTTATAGTACAAGTAGGTCTTAGAATTCAGCAGTGTTGGCTCCCAGGATAGCAATGTGCTCAGCTAATGTTCTGTGAAGGTCACAATACTCACAAGCCCTACTGTGTAAAAACAAAGGCAGACTGTTCACCTGCAATTCTACTCAAACCAGAACCAATGTAGGGCAACCCAGTTACCATGCAGTGGTTTGGATCCATAAACCAAGTCCCGACCCCCTCCCCCCACTACAAGGGTGTCCTGTAGCTCAGTGGTTAGATCTGGGTTTGATTCCTGAACAGAGTGAAACCATGGCAAGTGTCCTTACTCCACACGCATCTGTTTATCTAGTAGTAAGTAGGAACCCGGTTTTAAGTTGATTGGTGGATCGCTTTCTGGGGCTAATAATCCCTTTGAAAAATACAAGCAAAAACAATTGGGCACTCAATCCACAAGTGTGGGACACTGCTATGTACACTAGGCTACAAAATATACAGTCAATTCACTTTATAGTATATTCTGTGAAGCGCTTTGAGACATTTAGAAGACATGAAAAGCGCCATATCAAATGCAAGGATTATTATTATATTAAATCAGCCATCCACGGATTTTAGATCATGTTTTTGGCTTCAGAAACTTTGACGATAAATTTAGGCTTGAATGGGTTAAGCAACAAATGAAAAAATGTGGTAAATTATCTGTTAAACTAGTCAGTTGTGCTGCTAACATGGAAACTTGGAACTGAAAGAGTGACTGAGTGACTGACCAATTATAGTTTGGCTGGATAAGAAATGACATTACTTTCTGCTTCAGTGGAATTTAAGGATTTATGTGGGGTGAAAGATTGACGAGGCTTTGGGATACCATTGTTTGAAGTATTAATTGCAATGCTGTATGTATCTCGCGAGTTTCCTAGTTTCGTTCAGCAAAAGACACAATCTTTCTGTCATTCTGTCTGGCTGCTTAAATGGAGCTCACTTGATGAACACGAAAAATAAAGTGTATTGTCTCCGTCACCTCCTCCCCACCCCCAGTCCATTTAACATTCTGCTCTATCTTCACAACCATCCCTAAGCAACGTTGGCCTACAAAGTGCACAGTTACTGCACTTCACAGCCAAAATCCTGTGAAGCACCGCGTGCCATCTTCCCAATGTGAAAGGACTATATCAAATGCAAAGATTATTATATTGTTAAGAAAGTGATAGGCAGATTATTTATCTTCTGGAGTTCACCCAAATACCTTTGCTGTGTAAACGACTTTGAGATGTCTCTCCCACAATGTAAATAGAAATCATATTGTATAAGATGGTGCTTTAGTTAGTCACAAAGATGATTTTCAAATATTCCCTCCATCGTTGGGGAATCTATAATAATAATCCTTGCACTTGATGCAGCGCCTCACCACATCTTCGAGACGTCTCAAAGCGCTTCACAGAACATACTGTAAAGTGAATTGACTGTAGATTTTGTTGGTAAAATTCAGAGCGAATATAATTTCTTAACCACTGAAGTGAACATTGCTAAACTCAAGCTAAACGGGTAACAATCAACATGATTTCAACAAAGGCTTTTGATTTGCTGCCCTAAATCCTATTTCAACAGGGATTTTTTTGTTAATGGTCCTTATTAAATTGCATCCATTGTGGGACAGTTTCTAAATGCAGCGCACACACATTCACTAGCAGTCTGTAGGAACATAAGAACGGAGAGGCATTTCAATCTGTCAAACCTGTTCTGTAATTTATTCAACTGTAGCACTCCTCATTTCCCCACCTTTTCTCCATTATCCTTAATACCTTTTTCCTCTTGTGAGATAAGATCAACAACAACAACAAAATTATATTTATAGAGCATCTTTCACGTCGGGAGGACGTCTCAAGACCCCGGAGTCAGGACCCGAGCATGGGGGAGGGGTGGGGTAGGGCTGAGGGAAGGCAAAGAGGTGGGAGGGAGACCGAAGGCACGATCGAAGAGGAGAGTCTTCAGACCGGCCTTGAAGGAGGCGAGGGAGGAAGCGAGGCGAAGGGACCGTGGGATCATCGTTCATGTATTCATCACCACCCACAGCAGACAGGATTCAATCTCCACACTCAATGTTCATTTAGTTTCCTTATTGATCCGCCTGCTAATCACCCACAACATATACAGTCAATTCTCTGTAGAGTACAGTATATTCTGTGAAGCGCTCTGAGACGCTAGTCTGCGTGGATGAAGCAACTCATTTCACATGGTGCAGTCTTTTTGGAAAATAATGCCAAATTGAACCTATCATGTATTCTGCTTTAAAATGTGACCTGTTTTGAAGTATGTCTTAAGAGCAAACACAGCTCCATATTATTAACTGATTTGCAAGCCGTGTTGCTCTTAAAAAAAATTACCCACAAATATACACAGTCACTGCAGTATATTCTGCGAAGCGCTTTGACGATGTGATAAGATTCTGTATCAAATGCAAGGATTATTATTATTACAACACACATTTTCCGAGGACTGATAGCTTGACCGACCTCCTGATAAATGGGATGTCTTGGGTGAGTTAGGAATCGAAGCAGTTAAAAGGGAATTAATTAGTTTGTTCATTTTCTTATGGAGTTTTCAGTTAGAGGCTGTTAGCAATGTGTTTCAGGACTGTTTATACACTGTTGACTTATGGGCCTGGTCTGGACCAACGTGACTTAAGGTTACTTTCTTTTCCATTGTATTTTCCGGTTGTCACCAATCGTATATCAATCAAGGTACACAACGATCTTTTATTGTGTGACTTTTTGTTCTGTTGAGTTCACCTAAGGTGCATTATTGCTAAAAGGACAAATTTTCACCCACAAAATACGCAGTCAGTTCACTTTACAGTATATCCTGTGAAGCGCTTTGAGACGTCTCGATGACCTAATAAGGCACTCTATGAAATGCAAGGATTATTATTATAATTAACTAGAGGGAATTAACTGTTATTCTCTGTAAAATAGATGGTTAATAACTGGAGCATATTTAATTTAGTGTAATATTGATCATATGCGCTTTTCTGCCTAGTTCCGCTATGTATTGTTTTTCCCACAAAGTCTTTGATGATTAAAGTCCATTTTTCCTGTGGTTCTTCCAATCCTATATTCTATAGGAACCCAAATAGAAAATAAGCACGTGCTTTATGGAGCTGATATTATCAACTATTATAATATAATGCAATTATTCTGGAGGATAGAGTTCAAAATTCTTGTCCTTGCCTTCAGAGAAGCCCTCCACGGCCTTACTCCTTCCTACCTCTGTGCCCTGCTAACTCCATAACACCCTAACTCCCTCCATTCCATGTACCCCCGCCTGGCCCCCCCACCATCGGCGGTCAGGCCTTCAGCCTCTCTACCCCCACCCTTTGGAACTCCATCCCGCAGTCCCTTCCCCTCGCTCCCTCCCTCGTCCTCTTCAAGGTCCATCTCAAGACCTTTCTGTTTGACCGCACCCAAGCCAGCCTCCTACCCCCACCCTCCCCGCCCTCCCCCCCTCCTGATCCCAACCCCACAACTCGGGTCCAAAAAACCCCTGACTATCCAGCGCCTTGGGATGTCCGCCTGACGTGAAAGGCACTGTGTAAATGTTACCTCTTGTTGTTGTTTTGTTGCTGTGAACACTAACGACAGTGTGTTTGTCACAGGTTAGTGGACGACCGATGTGTGGTTCAGCCAGAAGCTGGAGATCTGGCCAACCCTCCAAAGAAATTCAGAGGTTAGTGCTTGTAGCTGGCGATTGTCTCAAGTTATTTTTTTGTATTACCTTCTATACTGGGATAATGGGAAAAAAAGATCAGTTTGTTCATCTTGGGTGATATATATTTTGATACTATAATCCCCCCCCGAAAAAAATTTGGACACTCAATCTACGATTTTTGTGGGACGCTGCTGTGCGCAATTGGCTGCTCCCCACAAAATACACCGTCACTTCACTTTACAGTATATTCCGTGAAGCGCTTTGAGACGTCTCGTTTCTCTCTGTATCGTGCAAGGATTACTGTTAGAACTTGCATTTATATACTTCCCCGTCCCGCGGTGTAGCGTCCCAGAGCGCTCAACAGTAACGGAGCACGATGCGAGCTGGGGGGAGAGGGGAGGTGACTGTAAAACTAACATGACTGAAATAATTCCTTCTACATTAAGAAGCAAAACTGGTTGATTTAAAAAAAAAGTACTTTTGTTTTCTCTTCCTTCCTGCCAACAAACAGTTTGGATCTGCTTGCAGCTGCATAGTCTGTTAATAATAAAACTCTGCAAATTTAGTACAATAGGGGGTGGATTTGCATGTGGTTAGATGGAGATGCACTGTTGGATCAACTTTGATGTACACAGAGGTTTCAGAAAGAGTTTGAGAAAATATGTCTTTATGAGGGCAAAGTAATAATAATAAGCTCTGGGACACTACCCTGCGTGAGCGGCACTATATATAAATACAAGTTATTGTTGGAATAATAATCCTTGCGTTTGATACAGCGCCTGATCACGTCTTCGAGACGTCTCAAAATGCTTCATAGAATATACCGTAAAGTCAATTGACTGCGTATTTTGTGGGCGAAACGCGGCAGCCAATTGCGCACCGCAGCGTCCGTCCCACAAACAGCCGTGGATTGAAGTGTCCAAATTATTATTTTTCAAAAAAAAATGTAATTTTAAGTCGATGTGAAAAAAAAATTTGGGAGATGCGTAAGTTTGCATTCAGCTGCGATGTTTCTTTATAGATTTTCTTTTATTTATATTAAAATAAAGACACCTCTCACCATTGTAATCTAACACTGACACTTATGCCAGTTGATGTGCTACTGAAACCACCTTCTCTCAGCGTGGTTGAAATATGAGTCTCCAATACAGATTGTTTCAGAATGTGTTGCTGAACTCCTTTATGTTTTGCAAAACACTTGTTGCAGTGAACCCTTTCTCTCTGGGCTTTTGCATTTAGTACCTCTGTATAAATACAGGTTTTCTAACAATTGATAGTAGACTTACAATTGCAAACCGTTGAGTCCTGTAGCATAGTTGTTAGCATGCTCGCCTTGCAAGCCAGAGGACCCGGGTTTGATTCCTGGGCAGGGCTAAACATTATCCAGGTTTCCTTAGTCCACAGGCCTCAGTTTACTTGGCAGTAAGTAGGAATCTGATTGAGGGTAATAATCCCTTAAAAAAATTACAATAATAATTTGGTCACTCAATCCACGACTGTTTGTCTGACATGGCTGTATACAATTGGCTGCCACGTTTCACCCACAAAAATATACGGTCAATTCACTTTACGGTATGTTCTTTGACACGTCACACTGAGGTTGATGAGGTGCTATATTAAATGCAAGGATTATTATTACACATTTTAATTCAAACGCAAAGATCATCATTTCGTCGCTTCAATACTGTTTATTAACGTCAGTGGATCTTTTATTTTTCACTCAGCATTTTTGTTGATAAACTTCAGTGTGAAGTTTCACTGCAGAAGTGGATCTTCTGTAATTTCTGAATGAAATGGAACAACTTGGATATTTTACAGAAGTAAGAGAGCTGCCTATATTGTTGGTTCACTGATCAATACTTTACATGGAACGCCAGCACTTATTGAATAGTTCAGGCCTTCCTTACTCCACACGCCTCTGTTTGCCTCGCATCATAATTTCGCCCCCAATCCACGACTGTGTGTGGGACGCTTCTGTGCGCAATTGGCTGCCACGTTTCACCCACAAAATATACAGTCATTCCACTTTTCTGTATATTCTGTGAAGTGCTTTGAGACGTCTCAAAGTTGTGATAAGACGCTATAACAAATGCAAGGATTATTATTAATGTCAGTCTTTTCTCTCAACCTCCTGTTAGTATTACTCGTCAATTATTGATTTACTTCCCTCTTAAACACTTCCTACTGACTCTGCATGAGCTTTCCTGTGAGGAAGTGAATTCTACAAAGCCACAACTTTTGAGCGCTGAAATATCTTCAGATTTAGGCACTGACAGGCCGAACTCTCATTTGAAGGTTCTGCCCCTCTTGTTTCGGATCAGTTGGACCGTAACTGGTTTTGCAAAAAATTCTATCTAAAGTCAGTATTCAAATACAAGAGCAAAAAGCGTGTGTTCATTAATCTCCTCAGAAATAATGACTGCGGGTTTCATTTCGGTGAGGTTTGAAAGTCGACTGTTAATGTCGTGCTGTAATGCTGGCCAGCCAAGAGGAGGAAGGATGGTGGATTTTTACATGGAGGCTTGTTAGACTGTGAAATGTTTTACCCCAAAAGGGCTGCGTTTAAAAAGGGAAACTTGTATAAAAATAATCGTATTTAAAAGGAAAACTTGGCGCCCTGTGAGACACTTTCATAGGAACAGGAGTAGGCCATTCAGTCTGCTCTCTCCGCCATTCCATGAGATCACGACTGATCTGTACCTTGACTTCAATTACCCGCCTTTAGCTTAGTGGTGAGGCGAGTGCTCTAACCACTAAGCTATAGGACTTTGAGACTACAGGAATTTGCTGGAGTTTCACTCTAAGCTGTTTTTTTTCCCTGATGTTTTAAACCTAAAAGTGACATGAAAGTCTTATTTTAGGGAAAGCATGAATGCTGGGTTGAGAAGCAGAGTTAGAAACAAAGGCAAGGGTTTGTCTGCCTTTCCTCTCAGGCAGGGTGCAGTGGGTGGAAGGGAGGAAACTGATAAAAATGCATAAAATAAATGTTATTTTCTAGCTATTTTGCTTCCCAGAGAATACGCCCAAACAGTTATTTATTCCATGACAATAATCGGAGTCCTGTATCATAGTGGTTAGAGCACTCACGTCGCAAGCGAGAGGAACCAGCTTTGATTCCTGGGCAGGGCGAAACCTTCGGCAAGTTTCCTTATTCCACACGCCTCTATTTATCTAGCAGTTAGTAGGAACCTCATTGTCGATTGGAGGATTCCGGGTAATAATCCCTTCCCCCCAAAAAAATAATTTGGTCATTCAATCCACAACTGTTTGTGGAACGCTGCTGTGCGCAATTGGCTGCCACGTTTTGCCCACAAAATGCACAGTCGATTCACTTTTCAGTATATTCTGCGAAGAACTTTGAGACGTCTCAACGACGTGATAAGGCGCTGTATCAAACGCAAGGATTATTTATTATTATGCCAAAGAAAAAAAGAATGCTTCCTCCAATTTTTGTCTAGTGTTTTGAGAAAGAAATGTTGCATCTTGATTTTTTTTTTTTGGGATGACAGATTGCCTTTTCAAAGTATGTCCCATGAACCGGTATTCAGCGCAGAAGCAATACTGGAAAGCAAAGCAGTCAAAACAAGAGAACACAGAAGCCACTTTGCTGAAAAAGCTACAGGTACCTGTACATCCACTTGTCATCCAACTGTTACCCAATGAGTTCTTATCTGATTGGAAACACAATCTGGAACAGCCATCGGTCCATTTATATCCTGTGAAGCACTTTTCAGACGTCTCAATGATGTGATAATGCAACAAAAACAACAACAAAATTACATTTGTATAGCGGCTTTTGTTGTTGTTGTTTCATGTCGGGAGGTCATCCCAATGCACTATATCAAAAGAAAGGATTATTATTATTCTGATGATTCAGAATAGTTTTAAGATGACTTCCATTTCAGCTAAAAACTTGACCTCTAAATAAAGTGAGGTTTGCATATGTCTTATACAGTAAACCTTACATAAGTGGTATCAGTTTAATTTAATACGACTTGTGCAAAGTATGAGTTATGTTAAACTTGCATAGAATATAAACTCTTGACCTGGATTTGGGCAGATGTATGATTTAGCGATCATACGATTTATACAGATCAGATTTATGCGGGTTTTACTGGATTTACAAAACAGCCCTGTTGTCAGTTTAGCTTCTTAAAGATAATTTGTTTGAAATTAAATAAATGTCAGTAATCATTCTTCTGAGTTCTTATACACACAATGCTGTGTCCAAATGCTGATTATCTTGGGTTACTTATAACTCGAAGCTGGGGGCAACTTTGAAAAATGTAAAAAATGTCAAATGAATGCTTAACATCAGGGATCCAAACAGAAAATGGTACAAATACAGCAAATTATAGGAACAGGAGTAGGCCATCTGTACCTCAACTCCAATTACCCGCCTTTTCCCCATATCCCTTGATACCCTGACCTAACAAACATCTGCACCTCAGTCTGGACAATGTAAATGGATCCAGTCATAATTCACAGCCTTTTGGGGAGACTTGATGAGCATATGAAAGAGAATCTGGGATCAACGTTTTATGTGACGTGGTAACTTTGAATGTTTGATTGCAGCATGCGGCAGAACTGGAACAGAAGCAAAATGAGTCTGAGAACAGGAAACTGCTGGGAGAGGTAGTGAAATACAGCAACGTCATTCAGGTACAGTTGTGTGTCGTCTATGAACATTTCTTTGGCATATTTTGTATGTGTAATGCCAGCACTCATAGCTCAGTGGTTAGAGCACTCGCCTCGCAAGCGAAAGACCTGGGTTCGATTCCCGGCAGGGCGAAACCTTGGGCAAGTTTCCTTACTCCACACTTCTGATAATAATCCCTCAAAAGAAAAAAAACAATAATAAAATTGGTCACTTCAATCCACGACTGTTTGTGGGACACTGCTGTGCGCAATTGGCTGCCGCGTTCACCCACAAATATACAGTCAATTCACTTTACAGTGTGTTCTGTGAAGCGCTTTGGGACGTCCTCCTGACGTGAAAAGCGCTATGTCAAATGCAAGGATTATTATTATTCTGTGAAGCGCTTTGAGATGTCTAGCAGACGTGAAAAGCACTATATCAAATGCAAGGATTATCATTACACCTGGATAGGGAATAACAACGACACAATACATTTACGCAGTGCATATCATGTCGGGAGGACGTCCCAAGGCAGACAGTCAGGTGGAGGGCAGATCTGAATGATTCGCAGCTGAGTGTTTTAAACGTGAATGTTTGTGTTTAATCTTCACTACAGTTACTGCACATAAAAAGCAACAAGTACCTGACAGTGAATAAGCGACTCCCGGCTCTGCTTGAGAAGAATGCGATGAGAGTGTCTCTGGACGCAGCTGGCAATGAGGGCTCGTGGTTCTACATCCACCCTTTCTGGAAACTCCGGAGTGAAGGCGACAACGTATGTTCGACTCACACCTACCATATAATGCACACAAGGTGCTAAACAGACTCTTGGATTGAAACCACATTTACACATGCAGCCAGTGTGGAGACCGGGCCATTCACTCCATACTGTGGGTTGGTTATATGAGGCGGGGTGGGCTAACTGTCTGGCCCTGGGGCTGATTTCATCCAGCCCTTGAACCATTTCACCAACCAGTCAAAACTTGCCTTGGAAAATGACTGTTAAAATGATGAAGTGACATTCCCATGGCACTGCGTGATGAATTTCCAGGGTTCCTTGAAATCACAATTTAAATTTGACTCGATTGTGATGGTGCTATCCTTCAGAACTTTTAGTTAGCTCCTCCACGCAATCCTGTTTATCAGGGCGGGAGTATTTGATCTGCATTGGATAAGCTATAATGTATAATAAATAATGGTTTGGGCGTTGTGTGCAATAAGTGTGTTTCTGGAGCTCTGGTTTGGGTGTGAGACTGAGAGACTGTTGATGACTTGCCAAGGGCAACAGTGACTTACACCCAACCAATCTATTGATCAAAACATGTTTGTTCTTCATAGGGGCTTGCATGGGATGCTGTAAATCTTTCACCAGTTCTTGGAGTTGTGGAAAAATGGGCACCATAAACAAAACAAGCAGCGATTACTCTGGTTGCTAAGCTTTTGTTCATTGAGTATGAACAATGCCAGAGACAAACGGTTAAATAAATTAAAAGTTTACTTCTTTCTATAGGACTTTGGAAAACACTTCGGTGACTTTTAAACTCTACAGATCAACAACAACAAATGACATTTGCACAGAGCCTTTCACATCGGGAGGATGTCCAAAAGGCGCTGGACAGTCAGGGATTTGGACCCGAGCTGGGGGTTGGGATCAGGAGGGTGGGGAGGGTGGGGGTTGGAAGGTGACCAAAGGCCCGGTCGAAGAGGAGGGTCTTGAGACGGGCCTTGAAGGAGGTGAGGGACTGTGGGATGGAGCTCCAAAGGGTGGGGGCAGAGAGGCTGAAGGCCTGCTGAGCAGAGGGAGGGGATAGGCCAGTATGGAGTTAGGAAGGTCGGGAGGAGCAAGGCTGTGGATCTACAGTTCCATTGCAATTGCTCAAAACAAGTCTTGGTCCAATCTAACACAATATGTTTTGTGAACTTGATGTTTTTTGTTTGAGCTAATAAATCACAAAACCTCCCTTACCTATTGTTCTCCTACTGTAGGTGGTTGTGGGAGATAAGGTGGTTTTGAATCCTGTTAACGCTGGACAGCCATTACATGCCAGTAACCACGAGTTATTAGACAATCCTGGCTGCAAGGAGGTAAGTCAATATCAGCAAAAATGTCTTGAGTTCTCTACTGTTCAAGTCCTGTAAAGAAACTAATTGGAACTCTTCCCTAACCAGGTCAATGCTGTGAATTGCAACACGAGTTGGAAGATAGCGCTGTTTATGAAACACAGTGATTACAGGGATGACGTCCTTAAGGGGGTCAGTATGTGTGTGTGCGTTTTTGTTTTGTACTTGGAGGCTATTTATCTCATATATTAATTGTTGTAGAGTCCTGTAGCGCAGTGGTGAGAGCGCTCACCTCGCAAGCGAGAGGACCTGGGTTCAATTCCCAAACAGGGCAAATCCTTGGTGACTCAATCCATGATTGTTTGTGGGATGCTGCTGTGCACATAAAACATACAGTCAATTGACTTCACAGTATATTCTATGAAGCACTTTGAGACGTCTCGAAGATGTGATAAGGCGCTGTATCAAATGCAGGGATTATTATTATTATTATAATGTGACCCATTTGCTTGCTACTCTGCAGGGTGACGTAGTAAGACTTTTCCACGCTGAGCAAGAAAAATTCCTAACCTGTGATGAATATAAAAAACAACAGCATATTTTTCTGAGAACGACCTTACGTCAGTCAGCGACTTCAGCTACGAGTTCAAAAGCACTCTGGGAAATAGAGGTAATAGATAGTTGAAAACCCATGTGGATTACATAATGACATTAGAATTTGTTGGACGAAAGAAGACCGAGGTCCACCTAGTTCGCATTCCACCATCCTGGCAGTCGCTTGCACATGTTGTGTCCGATTCTACACTGTATCCCATGATAAGATTTCCTAAAATAAATGTATCTCATTTGCTTTTGGAAGCTTTGGTTCTTGGCTTCCCCATTCTATTCTAGTATAAGCTCTGGCCCGGGCTGGCTGGGTCGAGGGCCTTGCTTCCGTGCTGTACGTCATTTGTAGCCTTTGCTGAATATCCATGTTGTAGTTGAACATCCTTGTGTTCTAGTGTTTGATGGTATTTGGAGTTTATTCCTTTAATCTCCTTCTCTGGCAGGTGGTACATCATGACCCGTGTCGAGGTGGTGCCGGCCACTGGAACAGTCTCTTCAGGTTCAAACATCTGGCTACAGGGAACTACTTGGCTGCGGAGGTGAGAATACTGTTTGATACCAACAACAACAACAACTTGCCCCTCACGCAGGGCCGAGTCCCAGAGCGCTGGACAGTGGCGGAGCATGCCACCGGGCGGGGGGGGGGGTGGAGGTGACCGTAGGCATGATCGAAGAGGAAGGTCTTCAAGTACAACCTGAAGATGAGGATGGAGAGAGCAAGGCAGATGGATAGAGGAAGAGAGTTCCAGAGTTTGGGGGTGGAGTGGCTGAAAGCGCAGCCACTGATGGTAGAACGGAGGGTACGAAGGATAAGCTGGAGGCCGGAGCCAGTCGAGTGGAGGCAGCGGGTAGTGGGTTGGGGAGTGAGCAGGTCATTTCAGTTGAACAGACCTGTTCAGTATGGGGAGGAATCCTAGAGGAAGGCACTTGAAGCACTTTGCCCACGAGACAAGAATCTTGGAATGGAGCAAATTGGAGTAACTATGTGAGGTTATGTCAGCTGATCTGGTTTTACCTTTATGATCTGTGTCGACTTACCAAATACTACTACAATTGGCTGCCGAGTTTCGCCCACAAAACACACACCAATTCACGCAGCTGAATGCAGAAGCATCTCTACATAAAAGAAAATAAATTAATTTACTTTAAAATATATTTTTTTAAATAATAATTTGGTGACTCAATCCATGACTGTTTGTGGAACACTGCTGTGGTAATTGGCTGCCACGTTTTGCCCACAAGTACACAGTTAATCCAGTTTACAGAATATTCTGTGAAGCGCTTTGAGTCATCTCAACGACTTGATAATGCCCTGTATCCAATGCAAGGATTATTATTATTATAAATACCATGACTTTAAAAAAATTATAACCGTATCGGAGAATGTGGTGAAAATAACTTTTGAACAGCCAGCTTTTCTCTTACAAGATCCTGATTCACACTTATTTTGCTCGGCTATTGGGTAACGTTGTAGAGAAATGACGCCTGTTTCTCTTTGTGTTTTGTTGAGCTTTGTTCATGCTGCATATTTGGCAGTGAATAAACAGACTGAGTATCAGAGGAAGTGGTTTCACAATAGTGTAAATTGTTCTGGGCTTGCTCGCCTGTGATCTGTTGAAAGTTCTTGAGCAGCCCAGCTTTCAACAGGGGCATTGGTTTGCATTTATGTTGTAATGGGCCTACAGTACAAGCATTTCTTTAATAACGTGGACAAAAACTATCGCCTGAATTCAGACTTGATTGTAAAACTGGGACTTTTGTGGAGTCCTGTAGCTCAGTGGTTAGAGCACTCACCTCACAAGCGAGAGGACCTGGGTTTGATTTCCGGTCAGGGCGAAACGTTTCCTTACCCCACACGCCTCTGTTTACCAGCAGTAAGTAGGAACCTGGTTGGTTGTTTGTCGGTTCGTGGATCACTTTTCTGGGGGTAATAATCCCTTTTTAACAAAAATTGGTCACTCAGTCCACAACTGTTTGTGGGACGCTGCTGTGCGCAATTGGCTGCCGCGTTTCACCCACAAATATACAGTCAATTCACTTTACAGTATATTCTGTGAAGCACTTTGAGACGTCTCAACGACGTGAGAAAGCGCTGTATCAAATGCAAGGATTATTATATAACCAAATACTGTGGAAGCATAGATTGAGAGGGAGAAAACTTTTGACCTTTTTCAAAAAGTTTTGAATGCTGAATAATTATACTCGTGGCACTGTTTAATACAGTATTTGTGTATCATTTAATTCTACAATATGTATTCACTGTATTTAGATGAACCCACATTATCGAGATGAGCATTTAGAAACAAAGAGAATGGTAAGTGAAAATCTTACATTGGAGAGACAAGTTTACATCTTTGGATATTATGAAACGACTGAGTAGTTGTGGAATCCTGTAGCTTAATGGTTAGAGCACTCGCCTCACAAGCAACAAGACCCGGGTTCGATTCCCGGGCAGGATAAGTTTTCTTACTCTACACGCCTCTGTTTGCCTAGCAGTAAGTAGGAACCCGCTTGTTAGTCAATTAGTGGACTGCTTTTTCAGGGGTAATAATCACTTCAAAAAATAACAATAATAATAATCATTTGGTCACTCAATCCACGACTGTGTGTGGGACGCTGATGTGCCCAATTGGTTGCCGCGTTTCGTCCACAAAATACACAGTCAATTCACTCTACAGTATATTGTGTGAAGTGCTTTGAGACGTCTCAAGGACATAAGGCACTATATCAAATGCAAGGATTATTATTATTATTATTACAATGTCCTCTTATCGATACACACGTCCCTCTACACAAAAAGCTAATCTATGAAAGAGCCAAGCAAGGTGAGAAAAATTGACATATCTGACACATTCCTACCTTCTGTTGATGCTGGGTTGATTGGCAGTGAACTAGGCCAACATTCCCTGGCTGAGTGACATTGGATAAAATCATGAGCCGTGAACGAAACTTAATGCTTGATGTGGCTGGTTGTCAAATGACTGATCAGGATGTGTCCAATTACTTAGAGAATCCAATAAACCAGATGAAACTGGCCTTGTGACGGAGCTGCATTGCACTATTGTAGGGATGAATATATTTTATATTACTACAGACGCATTTCTCTACTAATAATATATCTGTACTGTCTGGGCATAAATATGTGCAGTTCTGTAGCATATTGGTTAGAGCAGTTGCCTCGCAAGCGAGAGGACCTGAGTTCGATTCTCGGGCGGGGTGATATGTCAGGCAAGTTTCCTTACTCCACATACACGCTTCTGTTTGCCTAGCAGTAAATAGGAACCCGGATGTTATTTGATTGGTGGATCGCTTTCCCGGGGTAATCATCCCTTCAAATTTTTACAAAAAAATAATAATTTGGTCACTCAATCCATGACTGTTTGTGGGACGCTGCTGTGCACAATCGGCTGCCGCGTTTCGCCCACAGAATATACAGTCAATTCACTTTACAGTATATTCTGTGAAGCCTTTTGAGACTTCTCGAAGACGTGATAAGGCGCTGTATCAAATGCAAGGATTATTATTATTATAGAAAAGTCAACCCTCCACTTTGTGGGTCCTCCATATCCTTTGATATCCTTTGTGTTAGGTCAGGGTATCAAGGGATATGGAGTAAAGGTGAATAATTAGTACAGATCAGCCATGAACTAATAGAATGGTGGAACGGGCTCGAGGGGCTGAATGGCCTCCTCCTGTTCCTATGTTCCTACATTCAGGATTCAGAAAGTAGACATTTTCTCGAACAGACGAAAAGGAAAAACATTATTGCTCAACACCTAAAAATGCTGGAAATGCGCAGTTAGCAATTCGTCACTTAAAGAGTGCGTGCTTGACTCTTAATCAAAAACAGGTTCACTTTAGATGAAAGGCGTTTCTCATGAGGAATTGCACCTGAAGCAAAAAGCATTTATTTTCTTTAAAGACGCTGACTTGCTGAGTGTCGGTGCCAATGTTTTCTGTTCGTACAATTCCCTCCAGCTATTCCCATCCTGGGCCAGATACAATGGGGCGGGGCGGGGTGGGGCGGGGCGGGGGGGGAAATGAAATCAGCCCACGGGCTGCCAGTTGGACAATCCTGTTCTAGGCAAACTATGGTGTTCCCCTGCCAGATAGTCAACGTAACCTTGACCATGTTAATGAAACTGGAACCAGGCAACAAAGATACCCATAGCAGCTGAGTGGTTGAGAGCGTCACCTATAGGCCAACCCAAATGATTGCTGCTCACTCAATGGCAGAAAACTTACTGTGTAACATTTAACTCAAAAAATATTCACAGTTGTTGGTTGCTATGGACTCCGAGGGGAGACGAGGAGAAATGTTTTTTTACCCAGAGAGTTGTTACGGTCGGGAATGCGCGGCCTGAAAGGCTGGTGGAAGCAGATTCGATAGTCGCTTTCAAAAGGGAACTGGATAGGGACTTGAAAAGGAAAATATGTGGGGCTTTGGGGTAAGAGCGGGGGAGTGGGATTAGTTATAATAATAATAATAATCCTTGCATTTGACCTAGCGCCTCATCACGTCTTCAACATGTTTCAAAGCGCTTCACAGAATATACTGTAAAGTAAATTGACTGTATATTCTGTGGGTAAAGTGCAGCAGCCAATTGCACACAGCAGCCGTGGATTGAGTGACCAAATTCGTCTTATTATTTATTTGTTTGTTTGTTTGTTTGTTTGAAGGGATGATTACCCCTGGAAAAGTTATCCGCCAATTGACTAACAACTGGGTTCCTACTTACTGCTGCGTAAACAGGCATGCGGAGTAACGAAACTCGCCCAATGTTTCCCCGGCCCGGCAATCAAACCCGGGTCCTCTCGCTTGCGAGGCGAGTGCTCTAACCACTGAGCTACAGGACTCCACATTTTCAGTGCTAATTGAACTTTGATCATTTTGTTGCATTTTTAGACTGAAGGAGATATGCCACCAGCCAAAAACAAACGTCAACAGACCGAGAAGATTGTGTTCACCCTGGTATCAGTGCCACATGGCAATGACATAGCATCTCTGTTTGAACTCGACACAACTACTCTACAGAGAGCTGATTCGTTAGTGCCGAGGTAACTGCTACCTTTGGAACAATAATTGACAATGTTTTCATATCAACTCATTGCCTAATCTTGAATCTGATATTGTGGATGGTAACATTATAAAACAGAAAGTCTTTTAGTCTTTCAGGGGAATGAATACAGTAAAACCCACACAAGTCTGATCTACAAATCGTATTATCCCCCAAGTCGTATATCTGCCCAAGTCTCGTTCACGAGTTTATATTCTACGCAGGTTTGACATAACTCATTCTTTGCTTAAGTCATATTACATGTATAACCCCAACTGATACGACTTAGGGTGAGATTTTCTGTACTGAACAATGTTTTAGGCTTAATGCTGCCACAATGATATTGTACTTGAACCAATGAATATAACTGCAGGTTTTAGTAAGTTTTGAGTAAAGTTTTCACGGATTGTCCTGATTGTCAAACCTGATGTTTTGTCTAAAGCACTGAGGAGCATGTGGAGAAGTTACTACAGCCTCCAACTCCCACCTTATCTTTACAATGCTTTGATAAATGTTCTCCTTCTTTGGATTAGTTTCTTTCTGGTCAGCCGGGTGTCTGACACGCACAGAAACCTGTCACCGTTGCTTAAGAATCTCCAAACCAGCTGAGATTTCCATGCATCCCGCCTACACATGGAAATCCCAGAGAGAGATTGTTGGACTGGAATGCTCTCTCTCTCTCCCCCCGGAGGGACACATCCTGTTTACCCAATTCCGGAAAGTATTAGGCGCAGGTTGTCAAGCGCCAAGGCTTGGGGGGAGCCCAGAGTTGCGTTGGGGAAACTGCTGGAGTCTGACCAGCTAAAACCTCATAGCTTGCCATTGATATCACTGTCTGGCCAGCTTTCCCACTGCTTGTCCAGCTGGGACCAATTGGATTAGTCATGTCCAAATTGAAACAAAGGGGAATAGATTACTGAAAAAGCACGAGCGAGCATTCATAAACTTGTTCCCAGGGAAACAATATAATGTGTTTTGTTTACCAAAGCCTTATTTAGAAAATAGTTTTTCAAAAGCTCCTCAGTTTGAAATGGCCTGTGACGAGATGTTGATCACATGTTAGAAGGCTGCAAACCAGACACAAGAAGGGTTCAATATTAGATTCCCCCGGACTTGCTGCCAAAGCTGTCGAGCTTCATAGAAACTTAGTGAATGAGCAGTTGTTACCGAATTGAAGTCATAACAACCTATTGTTTAGTTGCCAGTTTGAATTTGGACCTCACACACAATTGGCATCAGTTGGGGCCATACATTTAATATGACTTCTGTAAAGTAGGAGTTATGTCAAACCCGTATAGAATATAAGCTCTTGATCGGCACTTGGGCAGATGTACGACTTAGCGATTATACGATTGATACAGATCAGACTTGTGCCAGTTTTTCTGTAATTGCAACTCCAATCCCCTGGCGAACGTTTAGAAGAACATTCATCAATATATTTGGGAGTCTTGGATGGGGAATGGTAATGTGAGCTTGTGAGAACATGCCCCTCTATTGGTGAGCTCTACATATAATCTTTTCAGAACAAGCAAATATTGGACCATGTTAAAAAGCTTCTTGTCCAATTAGATTATCTATACAAGATACCACTTACCATCTTCAACAGTGACCTGCTGAGTACTGTTTGCTTCACTGACGATGAAGCTCTTTAGAGGGTGAACTGTATGATAAATACCACCGATAGAGTATTTTATGGAACCAAAGTTCTCTCTTTTCACCCACAAAATACGCAGTCAATTCACTTTACAGTGTATTCCGTGAAGCGCTTTGAGACGTCTCGATGACGTGATAAGACTCTATATCCAATGCAAAGATTATTATTATTTGCTAAATTCATGCTTAACCTCTCATTTCTAGCACGAGTTACCATATCAGCCAGTTGTGTCATATCAAGGCAGGCAGATGACTTTTATTGTTGGTTTTTTTACTATTTTATATGACTGTTGATTTTCTTTAGGAACTCCTATGTTAGATTAAGACATCTTTGCACAAACACGTGGGTTACCAGCAGTAACATTCCTATAGATGAAGAAGAGGAGAGGCCAGTTATGTTGAAGGTAAAATACATATCTTGACAACTAATCTTTCTGAATATTGTTGCTAAAAGATAGACGCCCAAGTTGTATTACTATTTCCTGTTTTTTTCTGTTATTTATTGTGAAATAGTCTTATTGCAGTGATACCAAGACAGCTCTAGATAACTTCCGCACAAATAAATGCTATTGTTACCAAATGCTTCTTTAGGGCTGCATTAAAATAAGTATTCAGTAGATGAATTGTATGATTTCGCCACCAAAATATGAATTGTATTGTTTCACCCACAAATATACAGTTTATTAATTTTACAGTATATTCTGTGAAGCGCTTTGAGATGTCTCGAGACGTGATAAGGCGCTATATAAAATTCAAGTATTACTATTATTACTATCCTGTCCACATTCAACATCCATTCAAGGCTACTGGCTGGAATGGGAGACATACCTGTTTTTCCTGCTATTTCCTTTCTTGGTTACACCCTTAAAAATGGATTTCCTATGGATTAAATGTGTGTAAAAAAGAAATAAAATAATAAAATAATAACGTAGTGTTTCAGTAGCATTCAGTCACTATAAATGTAGACTTTCATAACATAAAGTTATAACTTTATAACATAACATAACATAACATGAAGTGTTGGACTTTCATAACATTTTCTCATCTTGCTAGTAACCAAGAAACAAGTCCTAATAATTTGTCGATTATTATCTCTTAATTGTTTTTAAAGATTGGAACGTGTCATTCCAAAGAGGATAAGGAAGCCTTTGCCATTGTGTCCGTCCCGCTTTCTGAAGTGCGAGACTTGGACTTTGCCAACGATGCCAGTAAAGTGCTTTCAGCGGCAGTGTTAACATTGGAAGACGGTACCATCACACAGAACGAGAGGAGGTCTGGGGAGCAAAGCTTTCAAATTGTGTTGGAAATAAATAATCATCCTCACATTTGCATTTACCAGAATATTTCATGTGTTTTTGTTGAGTGTAAGGAAAGTCGTTTCACTTGTGGTACAGCCACAGTGCTGTGATATTCTCTAAGCCGGGGGTGGGGACAACCTTCTGGCTGCTGAGGGCCGGATGCCGTATTTGAGAAACGTCTGTGGGAAGCATAAGCAATATTTTTGTGTTTCTCTTCCAGAAACATAATGTAACATTTACGGCTTATGGGGGTGGTGGGCTGGATGTGGGCGCCAGTTGGACCACTCAGCTCTAAGCTATGAAATCCATTCTTGGTGCTGTCGCTAACTGATTGCTGACATAGGATTAAATGTGCTCACTGGAAAATATCATCCTGAACTTGCCCACAGTTCGCTGGAGGGATGGAGTGTGGCTAAACTGGAAGCTAAAATAACATTCAGTGGAGATGTAATACATTAATTTACCAACAGGTTTGTCACCAAACTGCTTGAGGACCTTGTGTTCTTTGTCGCTGATGTCCCCAACAACGGCCAAGAGGTTCTGGATGTAGTCATTGCCAAACCAAATCGAGAGAGACAAAAGTTGATGAGAGAGCAAAATATTTTGAAGCAGGTAAGATAACTTTCCTAATATGTGGAATTCTAACACAGCTGAAATGGGGGAGTGGGGCGGGGGGTGGGGGAATAATGAATGGGGTACCTCAAGGGTCTGTGACCCCTATCATGTCTGTAACCTTTCTGGTGTTGTAGGGTGCTGTTTTGTGTACAGAAGAGGGCTTTAAAGGCCTCGTTTCCGGGCTCCATGAGATGTTTAATGAAATGTGGACTGAAATAGCGTTTATGAAGCTACGTTTGAGTTTCACAGACTAGCAATAGAAAGATCACCTTGAGCTATTGACCCTTAACTAACTAACAACCAGTGAGCTCTGTTATAAGACAGTATTTTGGGGCCTGTAACATCTTAACCAGTGGTATAGCAGGAGATGATCGCAGGTCAGAACTTCTGTTAATAAAGTTGCAGTTTATTTTGTGGCTAAAAACTGGTCCTTACTTTATATGTAATTATTCACATTAGGTGACCTGTTTCTTATTTCTGATAGATCTTTGGGATTTTGAAAGCTCCTTTCAAAGACAAAGAGGGAGATGGTCCAATGTTGAGACTGGAAGATCTAGGAGATCAGAGATATGCTCCCTATAGATACATCCTGAGGCTATGTTATAGGGTTCTCCGGCATTCACAACAGGACTATAGGAAGAATCAGGTGGGAATGTTTCATTGCTATCAGAATGTTTCATTGCTATCTATTGTATAGTTTGGTACATGACATGTCAAGCGACTGCCGGGATGGTGAAAGACGAATTGGATGGACCTTGGTCTTCTTTTCCGAACACAAAATTCTACTTCAGCTTTTCCTAACAAGTGAGCATCTATTTCAGGAATACATTGCCAAGATGTTTGGCATTATGCAGTCGCAGATTGGATATGATGTACTGGCAGAAGACACCATTACGGCTTTGTTACATAACAATAGGAAACTGCTGGAGAAACATATCACAGCCAAGGAAATAGAGACATTTGTAAAGCTACTGAGGAGGAACAGGGAGCCAAGGTGGGATTGTGTTTTTTTTATGTAATATTTATCACAATAAATGTAAACATGGAGTCTTGTAACTCAGTGGTTAGAGCACTCGCCTCACAATCGAGAGGACCTGGGTTTGATTCCCGGGCAGGCAGAGCGAAACGTTAGGCAAGTTTTCTTACTCCACACACACACGCTCTGTTTACCAGCAGTAAGTAGGAACCTGGTTGTAGTCAATTGGCGGATTGCTTTTCCAGGGGTAGTAATCCCTTCAAAAAAAAAGTAAAAGAAATAGTAATAATTTGGTCAATCAATCCTTGACTGTTTGTGGGACACTGCTGTGGGCAATTGTCTGCTGAGTTTCTTCCACAAAACATACAGTCACTACACTTTACAGTATATTCTGCGAAGCACTTTGAAATGTCTCGACGACGTGATAAGGCGCTATGTCAAATGCCAGGATTATGATAGGATTATCATGAGTAACTACTAATCTTTGGAAGATCACAGATTTAAGTCACGCTCAGATAGGCTTACCTTGCACTGGATTTGTGGAATAACGTTCGTGGAGATTACTGTCCTACCTCAGAGCCTGAGGAGAATGTTTGTGGTACAGTCTGCCAGGCTACTCAATAAAAAGGGATAAACAGTTCTGCAAAATAAAATGCCAAAATTGCAGCTCCCAAGAAAAAGCAATAATAAAAAATATGCTAAACATATTATGTAAATTTAACACAGTCGGCACTTACTGTAGAAATGCATTTTCCAAGGGATACAGTGGGTTGGTGGTGAAATTGATCCAAAAATGTAAGTTATTCTGACATTTATTTCCTTGCAGGTTTCTGGATTACTTATCCGATCTTTGTGTGTCGAATAACATTGCTATCCCAATTACTCAGGAATTGATCTGCAAATTTATGCTGAATGCCACTAATGCTGACATTCTCCTTCAAACCAAGTAAGCAACTCTTTGTAATCTCCTCGGATTGTACATTGATCAGTTTGTGTTCACTTCATTGTAGTTTTGTGCCCTCAATGACGCTATGTGCGTTTTGCCCACAAAATACACAGTCAAAAAACACTTTACAGTGCATTCTGTGAAGCGCTTTGAGACGTCTCAATGACGTGATAAGGCGCTATATCAAATACAAAGATCATTATGTCACAGACATCCAGCGTACCAAACAAAAATAGTTCTGTGCTTTCAGTAACTAAAATATCATTTAACCCCCTCTCCCTCTCCTCTCCCCTCTCCCTTCTCTTCTCCCCTCTTCCACAGATTGTTGACAAACAATGGAGACTTCAATATAGAAAATTCCTTGACTCAGGAAGATATTGATGAAGACGAGGTTTGGTTGTACTGGATAGATGGTCAGAAGGAACCTCACGGCAAGTCTATCAGACACTTGGCTCAAGAAGCCAAGGAAGAAAACAAAGATGCCAAAGATATACTCACGTATTATAGGTAAAACATTTTCTTTTTGTATCAAATTTTACATTTTATTTAAATATACTTTTACTTTCAATATTCCACGGCTGTTTGTGGGACGCTGCTGTGCGCAATTGGCTGCTGCATTCCACCCGCAAAATATCCAGCCAATTCACTTTACAAAGTATTCTGTGAAGCGCTTTGAGACGTCTCGAAAACATGATAAGGCGCTGTATCAAATGGAAGGATTATTATTATTATGATTGGGTTTATTTGCTCCCATGAATAAAGCATGTAAACATTTGCAAATTTTCAATGTTCCACTTACAGATTGTTTGGCAGTAACCGATATCTGAGTTTTCTCCTCGTTGCATGCAAATTTCTCTGCTTTCTGCAGGTATCAGTTAAACCTGTTTGCAAGGATGTGCCTTGATCGACAGTACCTGGCCATCGATCAGATTTCCACCCAGCTGGGAGTGGACCTTATCCTTCGCTGTATGTCAGATGAAAACCTCCCCTTTGATCTGAGAGCTTCCTTCTGTCGGCTGATGTTACACATGCACGTGGACAGAGACCCGCAGGAATCAGTCACCCCGGTCAAATATGCTCGTCTTTGGACAGAAATCCCCACCAAGATCACAATACATGAGTACGTGTCGCACTTACACAACTACTCCTCCTGTTACACTGAAATGTCGTGTTTGCAATGGGCAGGGATACGATAATTATTTCTCCCACAAAATATACCAGTTAATTCACTTTACGCAGCCTGCGATTGAAGACGAATTCAGAACAAATCTGCGGAAACACTACTTGCAGTGAGCTTGCAGTAAATGTACGGAACAGGCTCCCTGGGGAGACGCTGGAAGCAGAAAGTGTCAGGAAAAAAAAATATGGGGTCATGTTTTATTTCTACCTCTTTTTGTATTCCTCTGCCCCAGGTATGACTTGCTGACTGACACCTCTCGCGATGACAAAAAGAACAAGTTTGCTCTGACCGTGGAGTTTGTGGAGGATTATCTTAAGGATGTGGTCACTCAACTCTTTCCTTTTGGAGATAAGGAGAAAAACAAGCTGACATTTGAGGTACCTTTATTTTTATTTTTTTGCCTAATATTCTTTTAATTTGGCCTAATATTTCTCGTTTTCCACTGGTTGTGGGACGCTGCTGTGCGCATTTGGCTGCCACGTTTCGCCCACAAAATATAGTCAATTCACTTTACAGTGTATTTTGTGCAGCGCTTTGAGACGTCTCGAAGACGTGATAAGGCGCTGTATCAACTGTAAGGATTGTTACTATTATTTTGTAGTGTTTGCTGTATGAATGCGGCCTGAACTGAGCAAATTCTTTTTCCTTTTAGGTGGTGAATTTGGCACGAAACCTGATTTACTTTGGATTTTACAGCTTCAGTGAGCTCCTAAGGTTAACCAGAACCCTGCTCGCAATCCTGGATTGCGTTCAGAATCCCATGTCTCCTTACGTGGAAAGATTAAGTAAACTGCATGATGGAGGTGAGCATAGAGCAACCAATGCACTTGACTGTAAAAGTGCTTCGCTTGGCTATTCTTTGCAGTTTTTAACTGGACGAATTGTTAACCTCGAAATATTTGTTTCACAAAAAAAAATTGCCCGCAAGCATACAGTCGATTCACTTTGGGGTATATTCTGTGAAGCGCTTTGAGACGTCTCAACAACTTGATAAGGTGCTATATCGAATGCAAGGATTATTAGTATTTTATTATGAATTAGTGCTTCGATACAAAATAAATTATCTAATTTTACACCGGCATTCTGAGGTTCAATGCCCCCGATTTTTAAACAAAGCACATTGCTCCTATTGTGTTGTCAATCTTTATAATGTTGGTTTAGTTCCTTGACACACGGCCCCTCTCACTTGCTTCTGGGTCAAGCAGTTTCTGGCCTTACACCAACATTTGCGATTTCGCCCTCAAAATACGCAGTCACTACACTTTACAGTATAACGGAGTCCTGCAGCTCAGTGGTTAGAGCACTCGCTTTGCAAGTGAGAGACCTGAGTTCAATTCCAGGCAGAGGGCGAAACCTTGGGCAAGTTTCCTTACTCCACACAGAGCCTAATAATAATCCCTCCAAAGCCAAAAACAATAATAAATTGGTCATTTTCAATCTACGACTGTTTGTGGGACATTGCTGTGCGCAATTGGCTGCCGCGTTCGCCCACAAATATACAGTCAATTCACTTTACAATATGTTCTGTGAAGCGCTTTGGGACGTCCTCCCGACGTGAAAAGCGCTATATCAAATGCAAGGATTATTATTATATTCTATGAAGCGCTTTGAAACGGTCTCGACGAGGTGATACGGCGCTATAACAAGTGCAAGGATTATTATTGGGAACGGGCAGCAGTTCGTGGACCTGAAACATTGACTCTCTCCATGGATGCTGCCTGACCTGCTGCGTGTTCGCAGCGACTTGTGTGTGTGTGTGTGTGTGCAAGGATTATTATTATTAGCTCCAGCTCTGCCACTGCATGTAATTGATTTTCCTATGCGTTAAAGGGAATAACGTGATGAGAACAATTCACGGAGTGGGAGAGATGATGACACAAATGGTCCTGAGCAGAGGCTCCCTGATCCAAGAATCTCTGCCGGAAAACCAGGAACGCCAGGCTGGCAGCGCTTCGGGAAAATCCCTGCACGCCTTGGAGAACGAAGATGTAACAGTTATGGATACCAAACTAAAGATAATAGAGATATTGCAGGTATGAATCATAGGACCGTAGAACCTTACAGCACAGAAGGAGGCCATTCGGCCCATCGTACCTCTGCTGGCTCTTTGAAAGCTCTACCAACTCTACCCTCCCTCCCCCGCTCTTACCCCATACACAGCCCTGCAGCTGTTTCCTCTTCAAGTCTCTATCCAGTTCCCTTTTGAAAGCAACTATCGAATCTGCTTCCACCAGCCTTTCAGGCCGTAACAACTTCTTCCCCATTTTCAGGTCGCGCCTGAAGACCTTCCTCTTCGGCCATGCCTACGGTCAACCCCCCCCCCGTGTGGCGGTGTCGTGCTCCGCCACTGTTAAGCGCTCAGGGACGCTATCCTGTGTGAGGGGGCGCTGGGTAAATGATAATTGTTGTTGTTGTAATGGTTTTCTTCTGTTCTACTTGTGAAAACAAAGTTTTCTTTTAGTTTATCCTTAGCGTCCGGTTGGATTATCGGATTTCCTATATGTTATCAATCTACAAGAAAGAATTTGGTGACAACACTTCTGGGGATTCTACTTCTAGTCCGAGTACAGACACACCAGGTAAGTCATCTTTTGTAGGTAGTAGCTGATATTTTCTCTTTGGTGTTCAGGTTAGCAATGCTTACTAGTTTACTTCACTGAACTTAGTCCCTCCATCACCCCAGTCCTCACCAGCCTCCACTGGCTCCCTATCACAAAACGGATCGATTTCAAGATCCACTCACTCGTCCACAAATCGCTTCATACCCTGGCACCTCCCTACCTCTCCGACCTGCTCACTCCCCACTCCACCAACCGCTGCCTCCGCTCGGCTGGCCACCAGCCTCCTGCTTGCCCCTTGTGCCCTCCGCTTGGCTCGTCGTTATGCTCCGCCATTGTCCAGCACTCTGGGACGCTGCCCTGTGTGAGGGGGCGCTGTGTAAATGCAAGTTGTTGTTTTTGTTGTTCTTCTAAAGTTCATTGCTCTTTATTTTGTACAGTACCAGATCTTGAGGCAATTGGTGAGCAGGCAGAAACCATGTTTGCTGGAAGGTATGAACATTGCTTTTTTTTGTAATCAAATCTGCTCTAATTTTTTGATGTAATTCCCCCTCCAGATTATTGTGGTGTGATATCTGTTAAGGAACCAAAATTCATTATGCTGTATTGCCCCAGTCACACCACACTTATTGTGAATGCAATCATGTAGAATATCACGCAATGATAATATTAATAATAATCCAATAATCCTGGCACTTGATACAGCGCCTTATCATGTTGTTGAGACGTCTCAAAGCGCTTCACAGGATAAACTGTCAAGTCAATTAACTGTTTTACAGGCAGAATGTACAGCACATGGTATTTCATGTGAATCCAGTCTTATGAAAAACGGAACATTTTAATGGTCAGCAATATGATGAATAATACTACTTGCATTTGATGTAGCGCCTTGTCATGTCGTTGGGATGTCTCAAAGCGCTCCTTTGTCTCATAATGCTCTATCGCCACAGATGTTTTTTTATATATTAAAATGCCATTCTTGCTGGGAATAATCTTACAGGTGTGTGTGCATGGCTTTCCCTTTGCTTTTGTAGCCAAGAAAGAAATGCGGTGGAACTCGATGATGAAGGAGGAAGGACATTTCTACGGGTTCTGATACACCTGATAATGCACGATTACCCTCCTCTGGTATCTGGGGCCTTACAGCTGCTGTTCAAACACTTCAGTCAGAGAGCAGAGCTTCTTCAGGCTTTTAAACAGGTAACACTTTCCCGGTAATTTACTGTATCTGTTCTCTTATACAGTATAACCTCAGATAAGTCGTATCAGTTGGGACCATACATTCAATATGACTTATGCAAATGTGAGTTATGGCAAACTTGCGTAGAATATAAACTCTTAAACAGGACTTTGGCAGATGTACGTCAAGCTCTCCGGGATGCTATCCCACGTGTAGGGCACTATATAAATACAAGTTATTGTTGTTGTTGACTAAGGAAGCTCCCTCCTTGTCGGCCTTCCCAACTCTTCCCTCCACAGGCTGCAGATCATCCAGAACTCTGCAGCCCGTGTCCTCTCCTCCACCAAACTCCGTGACCCCATCAACCCCACCCTTGCCCGGCTCCACTGGCTCCCCAACCCTCAGAGGAGAGAATTCAAAATCTTTGTTCTCACCTTCAAGTCCCTCCATGGCCTTGCTCCCTCCTACATCTCTGACCCCCTGACCACCTGTCCGCTCCCTCCAGTCAGCGGGCTCTGGCCTGCTCCATCTCCCACCCGACCCCCCCCTACCATCGATGGCTTTCAGCCTCTCTGCCCCCACCCTTTGGAACTCCATCCCACAATCCCTCGCCTCGCTCCCTCTTTTGCCTCCTTTAAGGCACAATTCATTACCCTCTTTTTTGACCGTGCCTCCAGCCACCATCCTACCCCCTTTGCCCTCCCTCATCCTGCCCCCCACGCTCAGGTCCTGATCTCCGACTGTTCAGCACCTTCCGACGTGAAAGGTGCTTTACAAATGTAATTTTGCTGCTGTTGTTGTTGTTAGACGATTATACGATTTATACAGATCGGACTTATACGAGATTTGCTATAATGGCCTTCCTTCATTCCTGGTTTTCTATTTATCTGAATTCCACTTTTTCTGCGCATTCACCATTTTTCTTACATGATTTTATTTTGACCGTTTGCTATCCTGTTTTCTTAACTTTAATGTTCTTTTCTATCCGTGTTGCTTTCTGGTTGATCACAATAGTTAGCGCTTGGAACTTTGGATGGATCGGTGAGTATTGAGTCTATTGTACCTGTGCAGTCATATAGACAAGTTGAATATAGAGACCACAGGGTCTTAAGCAGCAAAGACTTAAGACATGTTCTGGGAGGACCTCTATATGGGCACCAAAGAAGAACGAAAATGGGCAAAGAACTGTTAGTAATTCATTTGCTTTGAAAATACCACATTATTCACTATATTTGGGTGAGCGGTTGAGGAGAGAATAGGCTTTTGGATGAAATCAGGTTGCCTGGAAAGCTGCGTAATCAGGTACTTGGGATTTCCTATTGTAGGAACATAGGAACAGGAGGAGGCCATTCAGCCCTCGAGCCTGTTCCTCCATTCTATTAGATCGTGGCTGACCTGTACCTCAACTCCAATTACCCGCCTTTGCCTCATATCCCTTGATCCCCTGACCTGACAAACATCTCCACCTTAGTCTTGACAACGTGAATGGATCCAGCCATAATCCACAGCCTTTTGTGGGAGGGAGAGAGTTCCAGATTCCCACTGGCCTTTGGCTGAAAAGCTGACCCTGATTTCACTCCCAAATGGCCTGACTCTAATTTTAAGATCATGGCCAGAGCAAATAGTTTTCTGTAGCTACCCTATCCAATCTTATTATTATTATTATTATTTAATTATCAAATCTAACTTATGAATTAAATCACTGTTGCTTGTTCTAAATCCTCTGTGGGTTTATTAGAGGTAATCCCTGGCAATATAACACAATGCTTTCTTAACTGAGCACCTGAGGACTATACTGAGGGTTTCATACATTTCAAATTGGTCATGCAAGATTTCACAAGACAGCTCTGCATTTTTAAGAGTGTTTCTTTACGACAATAATGACTGATTAAATTGGTCGGGACACAAAGATTTTCAATTGCCTACTTTTACCCACAGTTTATTGAGACGCTTCCAATCCAACCACATTTTTTTATTGTTGCCAAATATTATTGCGTGTTTATCAGCACTCATTTAAATGTAGAAGTCGTATATTATTCATATAAATATTTTCCAAATAACATTGCCCGAGGCTAACATAGGACAAGGCAAGGAGTACCTTAACTTACTTCAGAGGCTTTGTTCATCCAGCCCTCTCAAGGCTATTTTGAGTTCATTTTTCTCCTCCCAGCATTATTATCCATTACAGCTATTACCTTGTGTCATACACTGTACTTACTTTTCAACCTGTGGATGTAACATTTTTTTAAAAATTCAGTTAGGTTTATGTCCAAGCTCTATCGTTCAGTGTTAAACTTGGGTTTCAAAGTTTCTATCAAATGCAGAAAGCCATAATCCCATAAACACAAGTGCAATACAATAGAAAATTACATTTGTATAGCGCCTTTCATGTCGGGAGCATATCCTAAGGCGCTGAACAGATCATCCAGTAGCTCACATGGGGATGGAATGAAAAAACAATTCCAGGCAGTTTACAGAAAGTTTAGCATAAGTCTTGGATATTATTTAATATATTTCTCCCACAGAATATAAAGTCAATTTATTTTACAGCACATTCCTGTGAAGCGCTTTGAGACGTCTCGAAGATGTCATGAGGTGCTATATCAAATGCAAGGATTATTATTATTTTAATATATGTGAATTGTTCTGGAACAATGCAGATTATTTTTGGCCGGTAATGTAGCCTTGTACTGTTCCCAATTTCTGTTCCAGGTCCAGTTGCTAGTTTCCGCTCAAGACGTGGACAACTACAAACAGATCAAAGTTGACCTGGATCTCCTGCGATTAACAGTAGAAAAGTCCGAGCTGTGGGTTGAGAAAAAAGGCAGCTATGGGAGCAGCGACACACAAGCAGAAGGCGCAGAGGAGGTGAAGGGAGAGGTCAGTGCGAAGTGGAATCTGTAGCTGACAATCGAGTTGTGCGTAGACTTCATGTAACCAGTGCACCACAGGGAACTGGTTGGAGCAGTCGTCTCGCAAGCGAGATGGCCCGGGTTCGATTCCCTGGTGATGCTAATGATCCTTTTAACGATTCTATTGATTCTGAATGTATTTTTGTCGACACACTGAGCTTACCTTGACTTCGATCTTGTTGATCCAGGATCCAGGCATTTTAAGTCCCGTGCAAGATGGCAACAAGAAACCGCAAATAGACAGCAACAGCAGCAACAACTACAAGATTGTCAATGAAGTAGGTCACATTGGGGTCCATGTGCTTCTCGAGGATTGTGATCATATCTTTACACTAATATAACATGTTGATATTGTTTTTACATAAAGTGTAGCATTGGGACGTCCTCTCGACGTGAAAGGCTCTACGTGAACATAATTTGTTGTTGTTGCATTCATCTTTTCAGATTTTAATTCGACTCAGTAAGCTCTGCATCCAGAACAAAAAGAGCAGAAATCAGCAGCAGCGTTTGCTGAAGAATATGGGCGCTCACACAGCCGTGCTGGACCTTTTACAAATCCCTTATGAAAAGGTAATCTTGCCCTTAAACTCTGGGACTGAAATACATTACTGTGGAATCCCGTAGTTTAGTGTTTAGAGCATTTGCCTCGCAAGCGAGAGGACCTGGGTTTGATTCCCAGTTAGGGCGATACACTGGGCAGGTTTTCTTACTCCACACGCCTCTGTTTACCAGCAGTCAGTAGGAACCCGTTTGTTAGTAGATTGATGGATCACTTTCCAGAGGTAATAATCCCTTCAAAAAATTTGAATACTAATTTGGTCACTCCCAAGACCCTATATTAAATGAAAGGATTATTATTATAATGCTAATTATTCTCTCTCGACTGCAGACGGATATTAAAATGAATGAAATCATGGAATTGGCCCATGGGTTTGTGCAGAATTTCTGTGCTGGAAACCCACAGAACCAAATCCTTCTTCATAAAAACCTCAACCTCTTCCTTACACCAGGCGTGAGTACATGTTTCTACCTGGCACCATCTTCATAGGCCAGTTGTTATGTTTGCGCAGAACACAGTACTGTTGCATTATTGACGGTCTTGTATTGATTACCTTTTAGAATTACCCCGTTGTAATAATTTAAGCTCAAGGTACACCTTGTCATGGTGATGCTCTGCGTGTGATCATTTGCTGTGCGCAAATTGACTGATGCTTTCACCCAGAAAATAAGGTCACTACACTTTACGCGGATATCTTACACTTTACATTTACGTACGTTTAGAATCCCCCAATATTTTTGTGTATGTTTTAAACTTAGTCCTGGGGGCATAATAAGAAGCTTTGTCGTTTCACTTGTCACTTGTCACTTGTCGTTTGGTCGTTCGCGAAATATCTATACTCCGTCTCATAATAATTCTCGATGGTATTCTGTTCTACTCTCTGTTGCCCTGTGAGCTGAAATGAACGTTCCTTTGTGTTGCAGCTCCTGGAGGCAGAGACCTTGCGACATATCTTTATGAACAATTACCACCTCTGCAATGAGATCAGCTTGAGAGTGCTGCAGCACATTGTACATTGCATAGAGACACATGGTCGCCATGTGCAGTACCTTAAATTTTTACAGACAATAGTGAAAGCAGACGGGAAGTATGTCAAGAAATGCCAAGATATGGTGATGACAGAGGTAACGAAAGTTTCCCCTTAACTGCTGTAGTAATCGGTCCCTCTGCGAAACTGAGATGATTGTCGTGCAGTCAGTGGTTAGCGCGAGAGGACCCAGGTTCGATTCCCGGGCAGGGCAAACCCTTAGGCGAGTCTCCTGACTCCACACACACGCCTCTGTTTACCCAGCAGTAAGTAGGAACCCAGTTGGCGGATCGCTTTCTGCGGGGATTAATTCCTTAAAAGTAACGTGGTCACTCAATCCGTGACTGTTTGTGGGACTCTGCTGCGCACAAGTTTCGCCCAGAAAATACACAGTCACGACACTCATCACATCATCGAAACGTCTCAGAGCGCTTCACAGAACACATGTAAAGTGTGGCGATTGTGCATTTTGGAGGAAAATTTTGCCCACAGAATACACAGTCACTGCACCTTACAATATTTTCTGCGAAGCGCTTTGAGACGTCTGAACGACGTGGTAAGGAGCTATACCAAAGGCCAGGGTTATTATGATGATGATGATGATGATGCTGCTGACACTGATTTATGCGTCTCTCTAGCTGGCTAATGGGGGAGAGGATGTGCTGGTGTTCTACAATGATCGTGCGTCGTTCCCCGTCCTGTTACAAATGATGTCGTCAGAGCGAGACCGTTCCGATGGAAGCAGTGCCCTGGCTTACCACATGACTCTGGTGGAGCTGCTGGCAGCGTGTACGGAGGGGAAGAACGTTTACACTGAAATTAAATGCAACTCCCTCCTCCCCTTGGATGACATTGTGCGAGTGGTCACACACGAGGACTGCATTCCTGAGGTAAAGCCAACAGCAACAGCTTGCATTTACACCACGCCCTTCACGTGGGGCAGCGTCTCGGAGCGCTTAACGGTGGCTTGACGCCAAGCCGGGGGTGGGGGGTGAGGGAGGGAGGGAGGGAGGGAGGAGGTGACTGTAAGCACCGGCAACGAGGAAGGTCTTCAGTTGTGATCTAAACGAGGGGACATCTCGGTTGTTGGAGAGGGAGTGTGTTTTCATGAATCTCGAGCCACAGAATGAGTTGGTTCTACCTTTAAATTCCCAAAGTGCCAATTGATGTTTTAACCCTTTGACGTTCTGAGTAATTTTTCCACCCAATGTTAAGAGTGAAAGGCTGATGTTTGCGAGACTAACTTGTTTGCCAAAAGGCTGTCATCAATCCCTATGGAAAGTTGACGTGTTCATAGAATTTCATGTGAATGTCTTTTTTTTTATTGACGATGAAAGCAGATCGCCCACAAAATACACTGTCAAGTTACTTCACTTTCCAGTGTTTTCTGTGAAGCGCTTTGAGACGTCTCAACGATGTGATGCGGGGCTAATGCAAATGCAAGGATTATTATTATTGTTATATTGATGTGCCAATTCTTTTGTGGAATGAGAGCAACAAAATGTTTTGCTTTGCAGGTGAAGACAGCCTACGTTAATTTTGTTAACCATTGTTATGTGGACACGGAGGTTGAGATGAAGGAGATTTACACCAGTAACCATATCTGGAAGCTTTTTGAGAACTTTATCGTTGACATGGCCCGGGTAAGTTTCTTTTTAAAACAACGACGGTTTGTATTTACACAGCGCCCCTCACCCAGGGCAGCGTCTCAGAGCGCTGGACAGTGGCGGAGCACGACACTGAGCTGGGGGAACAATAATAATAATCATTATTATTGTTACTATTATTATTCTTATTATTATAATAACCATGTGATTACTGTGTTATTTTGTGGAAGGTGTGTAACACTACCACTGACAGGAAGCATGCTGACATTCCGTTGGAGAAATATGTGACAGACACGGTAATGAGTATTATCAGTGGCTTCTTCAGTTCCCCGTTCTCAGACAACAGCACAAGTCTGCAGGTCAGTCACGTTTCCTGAATGCTAAGTTAAGCTCACGACTGTTAAAATAAAACGCCAAACACTGCAGATGCTGGAAATCTGAAACAACAACAGAGGTGGCCGGGACCACTCAGCAGGTCAGGCAGCATCTACGGAGAGAGGAAAGTGAGTCAATGTTTCGGGTCCACGACCTTTCCCTATTCCCAAAGGACACAAGCCACGTTTTACCCTGAGCCGTTACCGCTATGCAAATACCCATTTTAAATGCAGAGAGCAGACAGTTGCAACATTGACTGTGGGCTTTGTTTTCTGTGCGCACAGCTCACTTGTGACCTGGGTCTAAATTAATATGGAAATGGGGAAAGAAAGGTTCAGACAAAGAGCTTCTGTACACGTTGAGACTGGGCCCCGGCCACTGATTTTAATGTGGGATTTTCCTCTTTTTTTAATTAAAGGAAAAGGGCCAACAGGAATGTTTTCTGTTCGCAATCTCATCCATTTTACACGATTTTAATGTGGAGTCCTGTAGTGTATCAGTTAGAGCCCTCGCCTCGCAAGCGAGAGGACCTGGGTTCAATTCCCGGTCAGGACGAAATCTTAGGCAAGTTTCCTTACTCCACACTCAAATAAAAATTTTGGACTGTGTGTGGGACGCTGCTGTGCGCAATTGGCTGCCATGTTTCGCCCACAAAATATACAAACAATTCACTTTTCAGTATATTCTGTGAAGCGCTTTGAGACGTCTCAACGACGTGATAAAGTGCTATATCAAATGCAAGGATTATTATTATTAACTCGCTTTTGCATTGTATTTACTTACTTACAACACAAACAAAGAACCTGTTGGACATATTTACGCTCCAGAGTATGCACTCTCACCAACAGAAGGTAGAATTTAACCAGCGATTATTACTTACTTGTCTAAATTTGGAAGAAAATGTTTTGCCATGTGAAAATGATATCATCTGCACTTTTTGCTTCAATACTTTCATGAAAACTTTCATGAAAACCAGGTTACCTATTGCTTGGGTAATATGTGAATTTGAATCTTTTGAAAGTAAAAAGTAATGATCTGATTATGCTTGAAGCTATGAAAAATGCATATGATGTCGGTTTTATATTTCTGTTGTGATAGAGGCAGATTAGCTGTTGTACAACTTAGCACAAGAAATGTTTCTACACATGAGCATGTTTTGGTAACTGTTCAAATAAAATAGTGTTGAGTTTTTTCACGTTAATATTTTCATTTCCCCAATCTTGTAGACACACCAGCCAATATTTATTCAACTGTTACAATCAGCATTCAGAATTTACAACTGTTCCTGGCCAACCCCATCTCAGAAATCCTCAATCGAGTCTTGTATAAAGACTTTGTCTGATGTCGGTAAGTCAACTGCTAGAGATTGGCATTAGCAACATGATAATGATAGTAGAACATAAGTATTTACTGGCGAAAGAAGACCAGGTCCATCCATTCTACCATCCTGGCAGTTGCTTGCACATGTCCAGATTGTATCCTGAGATATTATTTCCGAACAGAAATCTATCCAATTCAATTTCAATAATCAACACTTTCTGCTTCTGCCGTCTCCCGAGGGAACCTGTTCCGTATGTTTACTACTCGCTCACTGAAATAGGTTTAAGCATGGAGCATGAACATTTTTGTACCTTTCAACAACAACAACAGTTTACACTTGTATAGTGCCCGTCACATCGGAAAAACGCCTCAGGGCACTGGACAATCAGGGTTTTTTGGACCCGAGCTCGGTGATGGGGTCAGGAGAGGTTGAGGGCTGGGGGGGAGGGGGAAGAGGAAGGTCTTTAGACAGCACTTGAAGGAGACAAAAGAGGGGTTGAGTGTGAAGGTAGCGTTTGACTGTTTAATTGCAGCTAAAAACCGAGCGATCGCAATCCCTGTGGATTTGGACGGTCAGGTCACTACCCTGTTCATGAAGAGCCACTCCAACATGGTGCAGAGGGCAGCGATAGGCTGGAGAATGTCCGCGCGGAGTGGGCCTCGCTATAAAGACGGCACAGGAGCACCAGCCTGGGATTACAGGAACATCATCGAGAAGCTACAGGTGTGTCAGAGAGAGAGAGAGACTCAGAGAGACAGCAAGTGGGAGGAGGGGTGGGTTTAAGAGAGAGAAGTGGAGTAGCGAAGGAGAAAACCTACTCTTTGCGCCTAATACTTTCCGGAATTAGATAAGCAGGATGTGTCCCTCCAGGGAGAGAGAGAGAGCGTGTTCCAATCCAACAATCTTTGGGATTTCCATGTGTAGGTGGGAGGTGTGGAATTCTCAGCTTGGTTTGGAGACCAATGTATGGTGGTGATAATGATTGACCATACTTGTGTACGGTCGATTATCTCTCAGCTGATGGAGGAATGTCACACTGGGTTGCCAATGGGAAAAGAGGAGAATATGTTAATAGTTTAAGCGTATTAATATTGACAGTATAATCTAAAGGTTTACATTCATTAATTCTCAGGATATGGTATCTACCCTCGAACAACAATTTCAGCCAATGGTCCAGGCTGAATTCTCCTTGTTGGTTGACGTGCTGCACAGCCCAGAACTACTCTTTCCTGAAGGAAGTGATGCCCGATTTAGATGTGGTGCCTTCATGAGCAAGTAAGTCGTAGAATCTCACGGCACAGAAGGAGGCCATTCGCCCAACGCGTCTGTGCCGGCTTTTTGAAAGAGCTACCAACTAATCCCACTCGCCCGCTCTTACCCCATAGCTCTGCACAGTTTTCCTTTTCAAGCCCCTATCCAGTTCCTTTCTGAAAGCTATTATCGAATCTGCTTCCACCAGCCTTTCCGGCAGAGCATTCCAGACCATAACAACTCTCTGGGTAAAAAAAATTGGCCTTGAGTTTTGCTCCTTGGTCATTTTAGGAGTTTTATGTTAATGCACGTTGAGGAATTACAAATGTAATGTTGAAGTTACAAAAAAACATAACTATAAGTTACTCAAAAATAACTATTACATTTTATTTTTGATGGGATAAACACTGAATAAAACAAACTCCACTGAAATGATTACTCGTTGATCAATGGGTTCACTGTTGGTGGAATTATAGTGGTGTTCTAGTTATAAAAGCCATACATTAAAGTATCTTTTGATTTCAAAATACATTAAGAAGCAAATGTATGTTTTTTTTGCATTATTTAGAAAGCTCAATATACCAAAAATTATCTTTCTGTGTTTGCTGCAGTATTTCTTTGTGGATTTTAAGGTGAGCTTATATCTCATGCTGCTATTTTAATTTCAGGTTAATAAACCATTCCAAGAAACTGATGGACAAAGAAGAAAAGCTGTGCATTAAAATTCTTCAAACTTTGAGAGAAATGCTGGACAGAAAGGATAGTTTTGGAGAAAAGGTAAGTTTAAATGCCGGTTTTACATAATTCTGATTAAAATCGTATGCGTTCAAGCATTGTGATGTTGCGGTGCGCGTGACACCACTAGTGGGCACTCTTGACTAAATCTCTGTTGGTTACTGGTTCGCTGGAAATCAGAGTAAATGTTTTATAGAAGTGCAGTTTGGGTGTGTTAATATCTCCCTTAAGAATCCGGTTGCTTAACGTGCTTAAGAAACTTAAACTGTAAACCATTCAAATTGTATTAAAATCTCACAGTAGATTTTGTGTTAAAGTGATTTGTGCTCATGAGGTTTTTGCTCACACTGAACAAGTTTACAATTCCTCGACTCGCGCCTAAATCCTTCGTTAAATATTGAGGTGGACATCAGCAGTCTTTCAGCCCTCGGTTAAAATTAGCTTTGCTTGTTTAAATCAATTGGTTTGTAAATGAATAAACTGGTTTGTAAAATTAATTCTACGCTGATTTCACACGTGGGATGAATGTTTCGAAATCCTGGAATTAATTGATCAATCCAGAATATCACACGAGGGGCAGAAATGTCTAAAAGGTTTGGCAATAACAACAACAACAAATTACATGTGTATAGCGCCATTCACGTCGGGAGGACGTCCCAAGGCGCTGGACAGTCAGCGGATTGCTGGTAGCAATGAAGCGCAGTTATTAGGTGGGGGGGTGGGTTTGGGGGGCAATTTTGTATGTTTCTAGCTCTGAAGGAAGTGAGGAGTTAATGGACCTTTAGTGTTAAAAGTTGGTTTGATTGTCCCCGTGTTGCGAGCGAACGGTTTCCCTGGTTCTGTTGTTTGTCAGTGGTCGGTCTCTGGTTACAAGGAACCATCTTAATTTGTTGTCAGCGCTTTGGGAGCTCATCGTGTGTTAACATCAGCCTGCAGTTCCCCGACCCTACCTTACCCTACCCTATCCCGTGGCTCCACAACACGCCGGGTGAATTAATGAGTGTTTACATGGCTTGCAGTATCCCGAGTTTTTTTAAAAAAAAACCGCTGGGGTGTAGAAGCAGATCAGCATGTGACTGTACATGTGAACATTGTGTGCGGCTGGGAGATGTGAGTCGTGATTGGAGAGGATGCCAGCTGCCAGGAATATGAGGTGACTCAGAGTGCAACCTGCTCAGCCAACAACAGCATGTGATTATATAACGGGCCGCAGTGTCTGGTACTGTGGTGCGCTGGGAGCACGTCACGTGTTAGGCAATGCTTTTGGCCGTGAAATTAAATTGCTGCTTGATCGTGCCTGTGCATTACATGAGCTTTCATTTACACACTCGAGAGGGAATGTGTACACACGAAGCGACTGAAGGCCTTGCCTTCTACCCGGTTTTACTCAGGGTTTCTGCATCAAGGCAGGAATCCTATTTCCAGTTAGTTAGGTAGAAATGATTAATACACCAATTCTGCCACCAGAGAAACCTGAACCAGCTCCTGCTTATTTTTAAACCTTCTCTGGTTTCTCCTCTCCTCCCTCACCCCGCCCCCCCCGTCCTTGTTGAAAGAAAAAAAACCGTCAGGGGAGAATGTGCTCCTGGGCTCCTGCTTAGCTGCTGAGTCTTGGATCTGACCCAGCACAGTGTTCCTGCAGCAAATCCCGTTGCTGCTCCCTGTTACGAGGCATAAAATACTTGGAAATCAGATGCTACGTCAACGCCCATATAGCCCCACCGCTCCTCCGCTCAGCTGGGCTCCAGCCTGCTCCAGCCCCCCCGCCCGGCCCGGCCCGGCCCGGCCCACCATCGCCAGTCAGGCCTTCAGCCTCTCTGCCCACACCCGTTGGAACTCCACCCCACAGTCCCTTCGCCTCCCTCCCTCCCTCCCTCCCTCCCTCCCTCCTTCCCTCCCTCCCTCCCTCCCTCGCCTCCTTGAAGGCCCGTCTCTTGGACCGCGCCTTCAGCCACCCTCCCACCCCCACCCTCCCCGCCCTCCACCCCTCCTGATCCCAACCCCCAGCTCGGGTCCAAACCCCCGACTGTCCAGCGCCTTGGGACGCTCTAAAGGCTGGGGGCAGAGAGGCTGAAGGCCCAACTGCCAATGGTGGGGAGATCCAGGGGGACATGGAGCAGGCCGGAGCCCGCTGAGCGGAGGGAACGGACAGATTGATATGAAAGAGTTTAATTGAGATTTTATTGAAGTTTCTTTTGTATTCATTGCTAGTTGACAGAAAAGAGAAGTTTGCATAGTTATTTTTGGCAGTTGGACTAATATACAAAGACCTTTGACTCCTGTAACATGTGATAATGACTTGGCTAAACACTGCCTACAATATTATAACAGCTGGTATTGTGGGGATATAACCAGTATAAAACATCTAACAATACTGATTAACTGATAAGAGGCTCATTGTTGCATTTCTATGCCAAATCCACATATATTTTGAGGTTGGGTATTTTGTTTACTAGAGTGTTGGGAGATTGGTTTCTCTGTTGCCTTCTTTCTAATAATAATAATCCTTGCATTTGATATAGCGCCTTATCATGTCTTTGAGACGTCTCAATGCGCTTCACAGGATATACTGTAAAGCGTAGCATCTTATATTTTGTGGGCGAAATACCTACTACGCAATGATAAGTACTCTTTGAGGCGGTAAAATGTGATGTGGAAATGAATTTGTTTCTCAGAAACAAATCAAACTTCATTTCTTCCTGTGTTCAGTGTAAATGCTTATTTGGATTTAAGAGCAGATTTTGTAGCCTTGTGGTTAGATTTACCATCTAAATTTTAACACTCTTTAAGATTACTGTTTTACAAAAGCATTCATGTGTTTGTAGCTTTTCCACCTCATTGTGAAACAGCAAAATTTTTCCATGTGGAACAGTTATTTGCCTTAAAAGTATCAGGCATGGCTATAACATAATAATAATTTTGTTATAGCACCTTATCACATCATTGAGATGTCTCAAAGCGCTTCACAGAACATACTGTAAAGCGAAGTGACTGTGTAGTTCATGGGCAAAACCGGCAACTGATTAATTGTGCACAGCAGTGTCCCAGCAACAGTCCTGGATGAGTGACCACATTTTTTTTCTTTTATCTTATTTACCCCCGGAAAGTGATCCGCCAATCGATTAACAACTGGGTTCCTACTTACTGCTAAGGTTCACAGAGCCGTGTGGAGTAAGGAAACTTACCTACGGGTTCGCCCTACCCGGGAATCAAACCCAGGTCTCTCTCGCTATGTTATGAGACTCCACAATAACAACAAAATCTTTATTACATTTTACTTTAACATATGACCGTTGCAGCCTGGTGACCAGTTTATTTGTTGGTGAGTGTTTTTTTTTTAATTGGACTGAATTAAGAAAGCGTCGTTAATCCTTGCGATAGAAGGAGGTACGATCGGGAAAAAATAAGAGATATTTCAAAATGTGACTTCTTTTCCCCCCCTGCATGTAGTTTGTTTTGTAACTAAAACATTTCTGAAGAGTAATGAAGCGTTTACAGTGCGGGAATGCTTTACTGCTAGGTTGCTTCACTCCCTGTGTTTGTGGTTGATGTTAATCTAATTTGGACTGATGCTCGGTGTTTAGAATAGGCCTCGGGCCAGTAATACTGCTGCATAAATTGAGCATGGCAGCTGCTGCTATAAACCTGGGGGATTGGGAAACGTGTTCAAGTCTGGGTCATTCTGACCTCACCAAAATATGATCTTGGGGAAACGAAAATCTGAAGCGTACTGATGAGAAGTCATGTGTCTAGACTGACGTGGGACTGAATTGATGGGCTTTAAGTGGGTGGCATTGCGTGGGAGCACCTTAAACTGAACAGAATCTGCCATCAAAAAAATTAATGATCTGAACTGCGAAGCGTGATTGCTTCCAGGCCAAGTGGCTGAAGAAGGAGAACAAAACTTATGTTTTTTTCCAACAAAATATTAGTGGATACGTTTATACATCATGGTTCAGATTGCAATCCCTCTTCAGTGAATCGCAAGAGCCACCCACTCTTGATGATAATCATAATAATTAATATAAATAATAAATAATAATGATACAGCACCTTATCAAGTTGTTGAGATGTCTCAACGCGCTTCATGGAATGTACTGCAAACTGGATTGGTAAGGCACTATATCAAATGCAAAGATTATTATGTATTTATTTCCTACCTTTTCTATTTCCCTCCCCACATGTAGGGCTGTACCAGTGGCAGGATTAGAACAGTAATACATTGATTTTTTTAAATAGATTGCCAAAATTCAGGCATTAATTAAGATATTTTAATTTGCAAAATTATGGTTAGCTAAATGATGTTGTCTGATGCCGTCTGAATTTCCCCAAGCCACAAATTGGAAGTTGTTACTGTAGTCCACAGTGCACATTATTTAATTCATTGAAATGCACTTGAAAATATCTCTGTAATTTCACTTGAATCAATATCTCTACATATGTACAACTTGCATCAATCTGACACTACACAAATGACCCAGGCTAGACTATTCATTAGTCACTGGATCTCTGTGGCTAACATATTCAAGCGCCCTGGGACGCTACCCTGCGTGAAGGGCGCTGTATAAATGCAAGTTGTTGTTGTGGTTATCTTATGGCATTTAACTGAGGCAACAGAGTTTTGATTTATCCATGTCAAGTTTACCTGTATTATTGCGAAGAAATTATTCACTTTTTTGAGTGAGGTGATGTGCCAAGAAATAGCTATTACATTATTTTTTTGTGTGTGAGATCTTGGGGAGAAATTCCTCACTTTAGAAGTCGAGCACTTTTGTTCGCAATTACGTCAGCCCAAATATAAGAACATTCTATATACTTACAAAAAAGCACGATATTTCTCATAGTCTTAATATTTCATTGCATTTTTTACTGGCTCAGTCATTAAGCTTCAGGGTGCAAAATGTCCTTTTGATCTGAAGTATTGAATCTTCTTCTTCACACCTCGACGGTTTCAATCTTTCTTTTTACAGGGCACTGTTTTGAGGAAGATCCTTCTAAATCGTTACTGCGGTAATGTTCGCAGCGTGTACAAAGGAGAAGGGCACAGCAGTAACATCAGTAGCTCAATAACAAATGCAAGTTTCACCAAGTCTTCACAACCCGGAGGTAAATCACAGCAGTTCTCTATCTTCAGAGCAGATCGAAAGTGATGAAGTGCGTAAATTTATCCGGGCTTTAAAATGAAAATATCTGTCTGTATGTGCTTTGTTTTGCTGTGAATGGATATTCTGTTCACTGCGTTCATCCCCCAAATAAAACTGGTCGCTCAATCCACGACTGTTTGTGGGACGCTGCAGTGCGCAATTGGCTGCTGCGTTTCACCCACAAAATACACAGTCACTACACTTTACGGTGTATTCTGTGAAGGGCTTTGAGACGTTTAATGACGTGATAATGACGTCTCAGAGCGCTTCACAGATTATACTGTAAAGTGTAGTGACTGTGTATTTTGTGGGCGAAACGCTTTAAGGGGACTCCCAATCTGGCTGGTGGCCAGGTTATATTGATAGGCGTTTCTATGTCACTGACAACTGTTTCCAAGGATCATCCTGATTCATGTCGGTGATGATTTAGATCCAGTTTACTTGTGTTTGCAACGCACACAGGTTTAATTTCTGGATGGATCCAATTTCTCTCGCAACTATAAATAAAAGCGTGCAAAGCTTTTGCTGTAGAACAATTTACCAAACAAGCTTATTATTTGTTCCCTTCACACTATTCCATGGTTCCACTATACGTCTAGGTGCCACAAAGCACGGCCATTTACCAAAATGTGACTTTTACTTTTTCTCTGGTGATTTTCAATGTGGCCGTCAAAATCGTTCTGATAATGAGTAACTGGCTGGAATCCATCTTTTACATTGAGCAATGTGTCCCTCCAGCCAACAAACCTCACAGCATTGGTACTTTACTGCATTGCAGTCCTGTAGCTCAGTGGTTAGAGCACTCGCCTCGCATGCGAGAGGTCCCAGGTTTGTTTCCCGGGAGGGCGAAAAGCTAAACAAGTTTCCTTACTCCACACGCTTCTGTTTAACTAGCAGTAAGTAGGAACTTGGTTGTTAGTCGATTGGCAGAACACTTGTCCAGTAGCAATATTCCCTTCCATTTTGTTTTAAAAAATATTAATTTGGTCACTTCAATCCACGACTGTGTGTGGGACGCTGCTGTGCTCAATTGGCGTTTCACCCACAAAATATACAGTCAATTCACTTTACAGTATATTCTGTAAAGCGCTTTGAGACATCTAGAAGATGTGATAAGGCACTATATCAAATGCAAGGATTATTATTATTGTTATTATTGGCCTCGGAGCTGCGATCACATTGTATTTGCGATGACAGGTTGAGAAATGGGATACAGAAAGCATTTATTTTATTTTTAGTAAAAGTTAAAGGTAAGATGAGTAGATGGCATAGCTGATAAATCCAACACTGAAGTCCAGGAGGCTTGGGACTGGGATGTATGTGCTTTCTTTTCTGCTGAGGAGTGAGAAGAAGTTTCTCTTGTAGCTGCCTGCCACAGAATAAAGGGGATTTTATTTTTCACACCAATTCACGCTGAGTGGTTAGAAATAAATCAACTGTATGTTTGAATGAATGCAGAGAAAACATGATTAACTCTGTAATCCTGTAGCACACCAGGACTCTACTTTGCGTGAAGAATGCTATCTAAATGCAAGTTGTTGTTGTAGCGTATTGGTTAGAGCACTCACCTCACAAGCAAGAAGATCTGTGTTTGATTCCCAGTCGGGGCAAAATAGGCAAGTTTCCTTACTCCACACATCTCTGTTTACCCAGCAATAAGTAGGAACCCGATTGTTAGTTGGTTGGCGGATCATTTCATGTCCCAAACTATATACTGTATAGAGTCGAAGGCAGCAAAGCTGATCCCGAAAATATTCTTATTTTATACAGGTGCATCTCCATCTGATTCAGACAAGTCTGGAATCACCATGTATGATATTCAGTGTCACTTAGAGAGAGAGGGAGCGTCAGAATTGGTGACTGATCTTATCACAAACACAAAAAATAGCAGAATATTTGAAGAAAGCATCTTGCTTGGCATTGCGTTGTTAGAAGGAGGAAACACCCAAATACAGGTGAGGCACTTTGTCTTGATTAAGCGCTTTGGGACATGCTCCTGACGTGAAAGGCACAACATGAATTAAAATTTGTATTGTATTAATCTTTTCAAATCCCTTCATGCTCTGGCACCTCCCGACCTCTCCAATCTGCTCACTCCCCAACCCACTACCCGCTGCCTCCGCTCCACTGGCTCCGGACTCCAGCTTGTCCCTCGTGCCCTCCGTTCCACCATTGGTGGCCGCGCTTTCAGCCACTGCGCCCCCAAACTCTGGAACACTCAATCCCTCTGCTTTGCTCCTTCCTTCCCCATCTTCAGGTCGCACCTGAAGATCTTCCTCTTCAACCTGTGCCTACGGTCACCTCCCCCTCTCTTCCCAGCTCAGTGTCGCGCTCCACCACTGTCCAGTGCTCTGGGACGCTGCCCTGTGTGAGGGCGCTGTGTAAATGCAAGTTGTTGTTGTTGTTGTTGTTGCAAGGTCTTCAAATGAAATGGCCGACCTATTTTAATCTACATCTTTTTTTTCTGACATTAGAGTTCATTTCACCATCAACTGAATGATCTGAAAAAGTCGGAGAAATTCTTCAAAGTTTTCTACGACCGCACAAAGGCAGCCCAGCAAGAGATCCGAGCAACCGTGTCAGTGAATACCAGTGATCTGAGCAGCAAGAAGAAAGATGAAGACTGTGAGGTTGTGACACCTGTTAGCAGGAGAAGAGGTAAAACAGGATTAATCTAAGGTTTCTATGTAGGTTTTCCGGGCAGGGTAAAACCTTAGGCAAGTTTCCTTATTCCACACGCCTCTGTTTACCTAGCAAGAAGTATGAACCCGGTTGTTAGTCGATTGGGAATCGCTTTCTGGGGATAATAATCCCTCCAAAAAATAATACTAATAATTTGGTCACTCAATCCACGACTGTGCGCAATTGGCTGCCGCGTTTCGTCCCCAAAATACAGTCAATTTACAGTATATTCTGTGAAACGTTTTGAGACGTCTTGAAGACGTGATATGGCGCTGTATCAAATGCAAGGATTATTATTGTTTATACAGATCCGATTTAGTTTTACTGTATAATGTGTTGTTTTTAGTTAAGGATTCACCACTTCACTTAAAAGAGGGAATACAGGGCCAGTTAACAGAAGCTTCAGTTGCCACCTCCAAGGCTTACTACATGTACAGAAGAGAGATGGATCCAGAGACAGACCTGGCATCTGTGGGCAATGATGGGTTAGGAGCTGAGGAGAAATCTGCAGATGATGACGTGATGAGTCCCACCATCGCTATCATGCAGCCGATTCTCAGGTTTCTTCAGCTGTTGTGTGAGAATCACAACAGAGAACTCCAGGTAAGTGTGTTCTTAAATATATCACAGGATTACGAGATTGGTTTGGATGAAGAAGGCCCGATGGTCTATCTGATCTCATCCGTCTGAAAACCTGCCCTCCCATCCTCCCAGCACAGAATTGAGGTGATTTTAAAATGTGTTCAACGTGGAGTCCAGTAGCTCAGTGGTTAGAACACTCATCTTGCGAGCGAGAGGACCTGGGTTCGATTCCTGGGCAGGGAATCAAACTGAACCGAGTTGTTTTTCAAACGAGTCCAATGTCGTGCACTCAACCACCCTTAAATAGTATTCCAAATAGCATCAACTTAAAATTTTATTTTGAGACCTTACGATTTTTGGTTCCAGAATTTCCTTCGCAATCAAGGCAACAAAACGAATTACAACTTGGTGTGTGAGACCCTGCAGTTTTTGGATTGTATTTGCGGCAGCACAACAGGTGGCCTTGGGCTCCTGGGTCTCTACATCAATGAAAAGAACGTACTACTGGTCAAGCAGACACTGGAGAGCTTGACTGAATATTGCCAGGGACCTTGTCATGAAAACCAGGTAAAACGATTCACCCACAAAACACACAGTCACTACACTTTACAGTATATTCTGTGAAGCGCTTTGAGACATCTCGAAGATAAGGCGCTGTGATAAGGCACTGTATCAAATGCAAGGATTATTATTATTATTGTTTCACATCCACCACATGAGACTTTTATCCCCTCCCTCCCTCGTCTCCTTCAAGACACGTTTCAAGACCCTCCTCTTCGATAGCGCCTTCGGTCACCCTACAACTACTACCCTCCCTGCCTTCCACCCCTCCTGATCCCAACCCTCAGCTCGGGTCCAAACCCCTGACTGTCCAGCGGCTTGGGATGTCTTCCCGACATGAAAGGAATAATCCAAATGTAATTTGTTTTTGCTGCTGTTTGTTGTTTTACTGTAAGATAGCAATAGAATGGACTGACTCATCAATTTGTAGAGAAGCATTTATTCTATCATCTAGTGGTGATGTGTTTAATATAATAAGCGGCTTTGCTTTTGGTCTCTCTAGATAAATGACTGCTGTAGTTCATTATTGTTAAGGCTGTAGTGTTTACATGGCAAATGGCAGAAATAAATTGGAATTTGAAAACACTTATTTAAGGCTGCATGTTGCCCAAAAATTGCATTCCACTATTCTGAATTTATATTGTTTGGTTCTCCGAAGAACACAATTAATCTTGTTCCAAAATATTTTTTGATCCTTAACCCCGCAAAGCTTTTGGAAGCAAATAATGATTTAAATTGTTAAAAAAAAGTTGCACTTTATCTACATAATGTATTTGTTGAATGCATTTAGAATGAAGCCAGGCAATAGTTCAGAGTCAAACTCATGAAACTGTAACAAACTCAAAAAATTCTGCTTAAAGCAGCAGTTTCACTTAAAGTACGTTCGAGGAAATATGTTTTAAGGACAACCTGAAGACCCATTAAATTTGAAGCTTGAGATTGCTAAGCCTGTGAGCTGACATTGCAGTGATTGACTTTCCTACTATATTCAAATCAATATTAATATTTAAATTTGTTGAACATAAACAAATGGAGAGAAAAAAATGCATTTGTTGGCACTCTTAACAAACCAAGATCCATTTTCCGCAAAACATATCAAATGTGAGACTTATTGTGTTAATATTGATATGAATGGCTTATTGACTCAATTTCAGTATTCACAGAATTCTACCTATTAAACCATTCTCAGACTCTCGGATAAAGCTTCCTGTCAAATTAATGTACTCTTCAACTGGATAATAGAGTGGAGTCCTGTAGTGTAGTGGTTAGAGCACTCGACTCGCAAGTGAGAGGACATGGGTTCAAGTCCCGGGCAGGGCGAAACCGTGGGCAAGTTTCCTTACTCCACACGACTGTTTAACTAGCAATACGTAGGAACCCAGTTGTTAGTCAATTGGCGGATCGCTTTCCGGGGGGTAACAATCCCCCCCCACCCCCTAATAAAATTGGTTGTTTATTCCATCCATTGCTGTTTGTGGGTGGAAAGTGACTGTTTGTGGGACGCCGCTGTGTGCGATTGGCTGCCGCATTTCGCCCACAAACTACACAGTCAATCCATTGTATGTAACATTGTATTTATGTTGTATGTTTTAAGAAGGGAGACCAAAATACCTTGCCTATAACATGTTATAAAGGGATCAGGAAAGGTGCCCTGTATGTCTAGAATAAACCTATTTGTACCAAGTTGTAATATTTGTTCAATGTTACCTTTGTCAGACTTGCATTACCACCCATGAGTCTAATGGAATTGACATTATTATCGCCCTCATCCTCAACGATATCAACCCCCTCGGAAAGTATCACATTGACCTGGTGCTACAGCTAAAGGTAAGAACATTCACACCTTTGGATAATAGTTTTTCTAGCTGCTAGTTTTTTTTTCTAACTCCATATTAATGTGTCTATTTGGCTTTTCTGGTAGCTCTGTTGGTAATGCTCTTGTCTGGAGTGTGGTTGTACCTGGATTCACACAGTTCCAGGAGAGTTGTAAGGTGTAAATTCAAATTGGCCCCAATAGCCCTGGAGAGGGATTAAAGAGGGAACATTAAGCCAAAGTTACTGTTGATTGGTTCCTACTTAAAAAGGATTGGGTGTGTGGTAAGAGGGTTCTCCTTGGGCTGAACTGGTCAGGCCGTGGAGTGTTGGAATCGAGCCCTCTCACTATGCCGGTCTCTAGTCCGGTTCCTGAGCCAGGAGGGGCCTCAGTGTCCCAGGGCTCTCACTGCTGATAGTCCGGCCCGGCTCATCAGTAGGACTTGGAAGGGCCGACCAGTCACTGGGGGCAGGGAATCCTCCCCCTCAGCTCCTGGTAACCCCACAGCCAAAGCCCTAACTAACGGGGAGGGTGGTCCGAGCTGGACAAGCAGTGGGAAAGCTTGCCAGGCAGCAATAGCAATGTGTGTTCATTTGTTGTTGTTCCAAACCTCATGAAAATTGCATTTTGCCTAATTTTGCTTTAAATAAATATCCATGTTCATATTTCAACAGAACAACGCTTCAAAGCTTTTGCTTGCTATAATGGAAAGCAGACATGACAGTGAGAACGCAGAGAGAATTCTGTATAACATGCGTCCAAAAGAACTGGTAAGCTTGCAGTGACTTTAGCAAATTCCTGTTTATAACTGTTTGGCAGATCTTTACGATCTCTGTGACACACTTTAACCGGCTGTAATTACAAAACCACAAATCAATTCTTTTCGCAACAACAACTTGTATTGACACAGTGCCCTCATGCAGGGCAGCACCCCAGAGCACTGGACACTGGCAGAGCACGACACTGAGCCAGGGGGAGGGGACCATTGGCACAGGTCGAAGAGGAGGGTCTTCAGCCGCAACCTGAAGATGGGAAGGAGGGAGTAAGGCAGAGGGATAGAGGGAGAGTGTTCCAGAGTTTGGGGGCATAGTGGCTGAAAGCTCGGCCACTGATGGTGGACCAGAGGGGACGAGGGACAAGCAGGAGGCCAGAGTCAGTTGAGCGGAGGCAGTGGGTAATGGGTTGGGGAGTGAGCAGGTCAGAGAGGTAGGGAGGGAGGTGCCAGAGCGTGAAGGGACCACACTTCAGTGGCAACATTTTTTTTTAACATTATGATGTTTTCCGCTGTTGCAAATAAGGTGAATTAAAGAAATCTAACTATTTGTGAATTGAAACCTCTTTCGAACTTTGTTACTAAAAGTGAACTTGAAGACATTAACTTACCAATAACTTTCGTGGTGACTATTTTTGCTGACTTTAATGTTAATAATTACAGTGGTTAGGTTTCTCTCGATCAAACACTGGATATCTATCCAAAATGGATGGGTCATGCTCAGCTATTTGCATGTCTTAGTAAAGCCATCAGGCAGTCACATCATTAACTGAAAAACTCATCATCCTCTGGATTTCTCTCAGAAATGATCATGCTGGGAGCCATCAGTGCACTAGAGGATGCAGTAGCATAAAAAAATCTGCAGTTTAAATAACTAACATGTCACCTCACAAACTTAACTTGATTTAGCAGCATGTAAGACTCTTGTATCTTCTCCTCCTTCACTGGTCTGGAGGGAATATCAATGGCCAAGCTGTGAGGTCTTAGCTGGTTAGACTCCAGCAGTTACCCCAACGCACACTCTGGGTTCCCCCCAAGCCTTGGCTCTCGCCAACCTGTGCCTAATACTTTCTTGAATTAGGTAAACAGGATATGTCCCTTCAGGGAGAGAGAGAGAGAGAGAGAGAGCGCATTCCATTCCAACAATCTCTATCTGGGATTTCCATGTGTAGGTGGGATGCATTGGAAATCTCAGCTTGGTTTGGAGACTCTTAAGATGGGTTTCTAGCAATTCATATGTTCTTATGAAAAACAACAAAATGACATTTGTGTAGCGCCTTTCACGTTGGGAGGACGTCCCAAGATGCTGGACAATCAGTGTTAAAAACAACCTCTTATGGCATCAAATCGTCACAAACGTTTATAAACGATTCAGTTGATCTCCTGAACCACATTTAATACTAACATTTCCCCGTTTGCCCATGCACCAGTTTGCACTTGTATTGCAAGCAGCACAAAGCTGAGTGTCACACCACCACTTCCTGCAGTTTGTCGGGAATAATGACAGATTGGTTTCAACTCAAACCCAGCGATCCTCAGCTCTACTGTGCATCTTGCATCACTGCCATGTGAAAGGCGCTTTCCGCTGTCAGATATACAAAATAACTGCCACATTAATCTTGCCTGATTCTCTTTAAAGCTGGGTGCTCTATTCCTGCTTATCTCCTTCGAAATTCTTGATTATTATCTTTAATACGTTTGAGCTTCATCAAGTTTTAATCAACACAGTACTGGATTCAACAGACCATTAAATAATATTTATTATTATTATTATTCCCATGGCACCGTTTGAAAAGAGAAGAGAGTTTCTCTCTCCTGGTGTCCTGGCCAATAAATCCAAACCAATAAAATTGGTCACTCAATCCACGACTGTTTGTGGGACACTGCTCTACGCAATTTCGCCCCCAAAATACACAGTCGCGACACTTTACAGTATATTCTGTGAAGCTTTGAGTCGCAATGACATGATGCGGTGTTACATCAAATGCAAGAATTATTATTACTAAGAGTGTCTGTTTGGATTCCTGTGTTCTACATACTGCTGCGTAGCAAAACACAAAGTTTATTATTTCATCTTTTGCCTCGCAGGTGGATGTCATAAAGAATGCTTACCATCAGGGAATAGAGGCAGATAATGATGAGAATATCTCCGAAGATCAGCTCTCTCCAATGGACGTTGGCCATAATATTTATATTTTGGCTCATCAGGTATATTGTAAAGTGTTTAAATGTAAAGTTATAGAAACATTGGACAAGTTTCCTTACTCCACACACTTCTGTTTACCAGCAGGAAGTAGGAACCCGGTTGTTAGTCGATTGGCAGATCACTTTTCCGGGGGTGATAAACCCTTCAAAATAATAAATAAATAATAATTTCCAAATAATAACAATTTGGTGATTCAATCCACGATTGTTTGTGGGACACTGTTGTGCACAATTGGCTGCTGCGTTTCACCCACAAAATACACCCATCAATTCACTTTACAGTATATTCTGTGAAGCGCTTTGAGGCGTCTCAACGACATGATAAGAAGCTATATCAAATCAAGGATTATTATAATCATAGAAATCTGAGCAAAGAAGGGGATCGTTTGGTTTGCTTACCGTTCCCCATGAGCTGTTACTTGACATTTATAGTACAGTTCTGTACTGTTCATTTTCAGCTATTTGGCACTTTGTATTAAATACCTATTTTATGTGTGGTTTCAGATAGATAAAAATGCCAAAAATAGGATGGAAACTCTTCTTAGCCAGTTTTTTGTTAAAAAAAAACACACACATTTTGGCTGCCTTTGACTTTAATGTTGGGCTGGCTGCTTTGGCTTGAAGTCAAAAGTATGATTTGTCACTTCTGTATCCTTTTCCCCTCGAGCGATTTTTTTCCCTTCGTTTCCCAGCAGCAGTTAGCCATTCCTGTAAAGTAAGTAACTGTTGTGTTTACCAAAGCGATTCCTGTGGTCAGAGAGGTCAGAGCCCGGAAGGTCGAGAGAACTTAAGTTAGGTGTAGTTACGATTAAGTTTTTTCCTATGATTACAACACAACTCGTACCTTATCCTGTTGTTTTACAGGGAGACTGTGTGTTTTTTTAAACTGTGAGGAGTGCACACGTTACGTTTGTTTATTTAAGTATATATATAAAAAGGCACATTTTGCATTGCCTTTTTAGCAAATGTTTTCGGTTTTCTTTTGAAGTGCGTTCGAGTTTGTTTTATGAGCGTTAGCTATTTGGCGTTGAACAAAATTCTTGCTTTCTGGCAAAATGCTGTGGTTCAAGTTGACCATTTAAGTGCAGGTGTGTGTACAGTATTTGAGAAACAGTTTGGCTGAAGTACAATTTCACAGAATCAGCCACAAAATGTACAGTCAATTAATTTTACAGTATATCCTGTGAAGCACTTTGAGACGTCTTCAACGATGTGATCAATGCAAGGATTATCATTATATATTTTACCCTCAAGTTTTGCTTTGGCCTAAAATCTACTCCCATTATGGTAGCAAAGATAATAATAATCCCTGCATTTGATAGAGCGCCTTATCACATCTTCGAGACGTCTCAAAGCGCTTCATAGTGTACAGTGAATTGACTGTATATTTGTGAGCGAAACGCGGCAGCCAATTGCGCACAGCAGCGTCCCACAAACAGTCGTGGATTGAAATGACCAAATTATTATTAGTATTTTTGTTTGAAGGGTATTAGCTGTGGAAAAGCGATCCACCAATCAACTAACACCCGGGTTCCTACTTATTGCGAGGTAAACGGAGGCGTGTGGAGTAAGGAAACTTCCCCAACATTTTGCCCTGCCGGGAATCAAACCCAGGTCTCTTGCTTGTGAGGCGAGTGCTCTCACCACTGATGTAACTGATATGAGGAACACAAAACTTCACGTTTGTTTAAAATCCACCATATTTCCTCACAATGTTCCTTGTACGCGACCAGTCACTGGGGTCAGGGAATCATCCCACTCCTGATAAGCAGCAGGTAAGCTTCCCAGACAATGCTCTCAATGGCCAAGCTGTGTGGGTTTAGCTGGTTAGACTCCAGCAGTTACCCCAACGTACACTCTGGGCTCCCCCCAAGCCTTGGCTCTTACCAACCTGCGCCTAATACTCTCCGGAATTAGGTAAACAGGATGTGTCCCTCCAGAGGGGGAGAGAGAGAGAGAGCGCATTCCATTCCAACAATCTCTCTCTGGGATTTCCATGTGTAGTTGGGATGGAAATCTCAGCTTGGTTTGGATTCTCTTAAGCAACGGTGATGGGTGTCAGACACCCGGCTGACCAATAAAGAAATTCCTTGTAGGTTGAAAATTGACTTGATATGATTGATTGTTTTACAGCTGTCACACCAAAACAAAGCTTTACAGCAGATGCTTAAACCAGGAACTGATCCACTGGATGAAGGAGACGAAGCTTTAAGATATTACGCTGGACATACTGCCCAGATTGAGGTACTTGCGTCTCTGAAAATTGGGGCCAACGACCTCTTTGTTTTTTTGTATAAGTTGATTAACAGAGGACTGGATGTGAGGGGGAAAGGAAAGCTGGATGTGTGGGGGTGGGGGGGGATTGTCAGACCCCAAGGTTCAGAGAGCGTGTGAGAGAAAGAGAGAGAGAGGCCAGAGAGGTTGAGGAGGTCAGAGCTGGAAGCAAGGAGACATTAGCTCTCACTGGGAGGTCAGGAGGACGGATTCTGCCTTATCCATATTAAACCACAGGAAGTTTTGGCTCTGCCAGGCTCAACCATTAATAATTAATTGCCTTCCCTCTGAAAGCAGAGATAACCTCACACATGGAGCCTTCCATCAAACTCTCTTAACGTACTGTGGTTTGCACGCCCGCCAATGTGTTCTGCTTTTGAAATCAAGATCACGTCAATTGTCAAACCTTTGTTAGTGAGTGCAGCCTCGCTTAGAACAAAGGCAGAACCTATACATACCAGTTTGAATAACATTTGAGTTATTGTACTGCTGTTCAACTCAGGAGATCACAGTTCTTTTGATCTCTCCAGCCTTTCACCAGCCATAGCGCCTCTCCCCTTACATAGATACTTTAAAATGTTAAAGTGCGGTTCCTATTATGTTGATCAGACAAGGAAATTACTCCAGCTATTTGCCTCCTGTGGAGTTAAGACTTTAAGCTCCCAGTCTGTGAGCTGTCTACCACATACCGTTAGGTTGACTGCATCATGTTTATGGGCCATGGTTATATAACCCTTAATTTGCCTACATCAGAACCAGCGGTTAGTTTTATCAAAAGTTTTATCCTGGCTCCCAGCATTGTTAGCTCTTACCCCTGGACACGTATCAGGGAACAACAATAAAGTAATGTATCTGTAGGAAAGTAAGTAATTGTAATTGTAAATTGTAAAGAATTATGCCCTGTTACAGATTCTGAGGTGTCATCTGCGGTGTTTGTTAACTGGGTTCCTTGATAAGAAATCTCCAAAAAGGGATTACAACTTTTTTTTTCAACTGGGGCACTTTAACTCGGAAACTCTTAACTAGAGTTCCAGCTATAATAGAGGCTTTATAATTCGTATGATTCTAAACCATTAAGAATTTCACCCTCCCTCTCGATTTATGATAACACCTAAACATGAAGATTATGCTACGGGCATGAATTCTCCTTTGCATCTCATTCCAAAATATTAATTTTATAATCTTAATATTAAAAAAAGGTAATAATCCCTCCTCCCCCCCAAATAATAATAATTTGGTTACTCACTACACAACTACTTTGGGGACAAAATATAGTCAATTCACTTTACAGCATATTCTGTGAAGCGCTTTGGGACGTCTCGAAGACGTGATAAGGCGCTGTATCAAATGCAAGGATTATTATTATTATTGTTATATATTCTCAGATTGTGCGACATGACCGAACTATGGAGCAAATTGTATTCCCCGTTCCTAATATCTGTGAGTACCTCACAACCGAGTCCAAATGGAAGGTGTTAAATTCAACTGAACGAGACGAGCAAGGCAGCAAAGTCAACGACTTCTTCCAGCAAACCGAGGACCTATACAACGAGATGAAATGGCAGAAGAAAATCAGAAGTAAGTATTCAGAGTCAGCTTCTGGCTCGTGGTGGGACTCAAGCGTTTTAGATCTTTAGACGTCACCATTTTTTAAAAATATTTTTGTCGCTCTTATTTTTAATTATTTTATTACTTGTGGTGTTTAGTCCTTCAGTAAATGCTGTAAAATCATCCAATTTCATCCAGTTTTTCACATGCTCACAAACTTTAAGTAGGAACCTGGTTGTTAGTCGATTGGCAAATCGCTTTCTGGGAGTAATAGTCACTTCAAAAAAAAGTAATGAATCATAATTTGGTCACTCAATCCACGACTGTTTGTGGGACACTTCTGTGTGCAATTGGCTGCCGCGTTTCGCCCACAAAATACACAGTCACTGCCCTTTACAGTGTATCCTGTGAAGTGTTTGAGACGTCTCAACGACGTGATAATGCAAGTATCAAAATGCAAGGATTATTATTATTATAATAACTTCACTATCCTGTATTCAACTCCCTTCCTTCAACTACTCTTCAAAAGACTAACTTTAAAAAGAAAATGTCTTGCATCTTTTTTTTCCCACTGTTGAGTTTTCTGATATGAGAATCAATTAATTCTTGCTTGCTTCACAGTGAGATTCGCACAGTTTGCTAATGCTCTGTTCCTTCTTTAGATAACCCAGCGCTGTTTTGGTTCTCAAGAAACATCTCTCTGTGGGGAAATATTTCGTTCAACCTCGCCGTGTTTGTAAATTTAGCCGTAGCACTTTTCTATCCATTTGGAGATGAAGGTAAGAACATAAGAACATGTTGCCATGAGTCCTGTAGCTCAGTGGTTGAGCACTCGCTTTGCAAGTGAGAGACCTGAGTTCAATTCCAGGCAGAGGGCGAAACCTTGGGCAAGTTTCCTTACTCCACACAGAGCCTAATAATAATCCCTCCAAAACAAAACAATAATAAATTGGTCATTTTCAATCTACGACTGTTTGTGGGACATTGCTGTGTGCAATTGGCTGCCGCGTTCGCCCACAAATATACAGTCAATTCACTTTACAGTGTGTTCTGTGAAGCGCTTTGGGACGTCCTCCCGACGTGAAAAGCGCTATATCAAATGCAAGGATTATTATTATTATAACATAAGAATTAGGATCAGGAGTAGGCCATTCGGCCCCTCGAGCCTGCCCCGCCATTCAATAAGATCATGGCTGATCTATTCTAACTCCACTTTATCCCCATCTCCCTTAATCCTTTTATTTACAAGAAATCTATCAATCCATACATTAAATACATTTCAAAATCATGGCAAATGAACTGCTTATAATGGAAACATAGGAGCAGGTCGAGGCCATTCAGTCCCTCGGACCTTATAAAGTCTGGTTGAACTGCTCACTTTTTCATGTCAGCTAGAAAACATTTCAAATTACTTTGAATTAATGTTGTACCACATCTGTCTGAGCTCACATAGAATCAAAGAATCTTACAGCTCAGAAGAAGGAGGCCATTCGGCCCATCGTGCCTGTGCCTGCTCTTTGAAAGAGCTACCAACTCCAGCTAGTCCCACTCCCCCGCTCTTAGCCCATACATAGCCCTGCAAACGTTTCCTTTTTAAGTCGCTATCCAGTTCCCTTTTAAAAGTTATCATTGAATCTGTTTCCAACAGCCTTTCAGGCAGTGCGTTCAGACCATAACAACTCTGGGTTAAAAAAAAGAATTCTCCTCGTCTCCCTTCTGGTTCTTTTGCTATTTATCTTAACTCCGTGTCCTCTGGTTACTGACCCACCCGCCAGAGGAAACAGTTTCTCCCTGTCTACTCTATTAAAACCCCTCATCATTGCGAAAACCTCGATTAAATCTCCCCTCAATCTTCTCTGCTCTGAAGAGAATGTCCTCCCATTGTTGTTGATAATGATTTCTGTGATCGAGACAAGCCAATTATTTGTAATTCTCAGAAGCTGAGACCAGGCACATTTTGACATATATAAAAAAGCTCCCTGAAGGTGAAGTCAAGCAAGCAGGCTTCCCGGAGGTGATTTCATTTGTGTTAAAGCTGCCTCCAGGAACAATATCTCGGCACTAGCAGAGCACTGATAGGAGCTAGACATGCAGTGTACCTGCATATACCTGGCAAAGCTTCTGAAATAAAATTTGTCCTTGATATACTTTTCTTACTCTGCAAAAAGGCCACATTTGGGTTGACTATTGCATTGCTGCCTCAGTAACTTTATCTGTGTTCGATGCTTCTGTTGTAGATTCAATTATAATAGTTTCGCCCACAACATATACAGTCAATTCACTTTACAGTATATCCGGTGAACCGCTTTGAGACATCTTGAAAACGTGATAAGGCGCTGCATCAAATGCAAGGCATATTATTAATTAATTAAAATAAAGACTGCAGTATGATCAGATAACTAAATGCCACGTGTGCCTGAAAATATTAGGTGGTTTTGTAATTGTGGTTAAGATTATAAGTTAAAATGGTTGCAGTTAAACTAAACTTGGCTAGGTTTTCAAAAGGATCAGATGTTGACAGGTTATTTTATCAGTTGAATAACACAGCACCTGTTGGCTGGTAATGCTGAATATAAATGAACCTTATCCAGATTGCAATGATCATTAACTGCATTAAGCTGTTGTTCTTGTCCAGTTCAAAATAAATTGCTTTTAAATGACTTGATATTACCTTCACATCAAATTAGACATCCTTCAGTTCTGAGACAACGGTTTTTCAATCTTCTCCAATAATAAATTCCCCATAAGCCAAAGGAATTGTGCAATGGAATTTCATCCACAAAATATATAGTCAAATCGCTTTACAGTGTATTCTGTGAAGCACTTTGAGACATCTCGAAAACGTGATAAGGCGCTGTATCAAATGCAAGGCTTATTATTAAGACTGATCCCTTCATCATATACACAGTATAAATGTCTCTATTGACAGCTATTTTGCTTTAACTTTGGAAAAAAATGAGTACTTTAGATTTGTTTTGTGCTTCAGTGCAAAAGAATTCCTGAGTGAGTCCACTGTTGTGCCCAATTGACTGCCGCATTTCACCCACAAAATACACAGTGAATCCACTTTGCAGTATATCCTGTGAAGCCTGTCAATGATGTAATAAGACGCTGTATCAAACACAAAGGATATTATTATTATTATGATATTGTGGTGGAAACTCCTCCTGTATGTGTTGTCTAGCAAAAGTTCGCAATTATATTTGATCAAAAGAAAATCTAAAATGAAATTATTTTCATTAGAAATGGGTTTGAAATTGAGAAATAGTTGAACGCAATGGATTGTCATTCACACGAAAGGTTTATTGTGTTGCGTTAATTGAGGCTTCGTCCCTTTTCCTCTGACACTGTGGCTCTCCTATTACATTAAATATCTGATTTAGTAACCCACTGTTTTTTTGTCTCCCTTCCTGCAGGAACACTCCCTCCACTGTTTTCATTGCTGCTATGGATAGCAGTTATAGTGTGTGTGGCAATGCTTATCGTCTTACCCAAACCCCATGGTATCAGGCCGTTTATTATATCTGTAATGTTCCGGTCTATATACACAATAGGACTTCGGCCGACACTCATACTGCTGGGTGCCACCAATGTAAGTAGCAATAGTTTGCCTGGGTAAATCATTTTACATGAATTGGCACTATTATCCCTGAAGTCCTGTAGCTCAGTGGTTACAGCACTCGCTTCGCAAGCGAGAGGACCTGGGTTTGATTCCTGGGAAGGGTGAAACCTTAGGCAAGTTTCCTTACTCCACACGCCCCTGTTTACCCAGCAGTAAGTAGGAAGCCGGTTGTTAGTTGATTGGCGGATAACTTTTCCGGGGATAATAATCCTTTCTAAATAAATAAATAAATAAATAATAATTTGGACACTCAATCCACCATTGTTTGTGGGACACTCCTATGTGCAATTGGCTGCCAGGTTTTGCCCACAAAATTCACAGTCACTACACCTTACAGTATATTCTGTGAAGCGCTTTGAGACATAGAGTAGACGTGATAAGTCGCTATTTCAAATGCAAGGATTAATTATATGTTTGTCAGTAATATAGCAATGGGGTGTAGCTCAACACCGCAAGACACTGCATAGTGAAGTGAGTTAATCATAGGACCATCTCTGGCAGGAGCTAAAGGGTTGACATTGATGGAAGGCAAATTCCAATAGGTCACCACAGCACCACAGGGAGAAAATCTCATTACCTTTCCTATTTGTTCGGTTAAAAAACTAGTTGTTGTCAGGTTGAATAGCCGTAACCTAAACCATGACTCCAAGTGACAATCTCTCATACTTGATAACCCTGTCAATTGTGCTCAGTTATATACAGATGATGGGAAATTGCTTTGTTAAAGAAACTTTGGGTTTTTAGCCTCATCACCCAACGGTAGCTACAGGAAAGGCAAAGCCTCAGAGCTCTGTCCTACAATCAATTTGTCATCTTGTTGAGCCTAATATTTTCCAGTATTACAACAACAACTTGCATTTATATAGTGCCCTCCATGCCAGGTGGCGTCCCAGGGCGCTATTAAGTAAGCGGGATGTGCCCCTCCAGGAAGAGAGAGCGCATTCCATTCCAACAATCTTATCTCTGGGATTTCCATGTGTAGCCGGGATGCATGGAATTCTCAGCTTGGTTTGGAGACTCTTTCCGCATGTGTCAGACACTCGGCTGACGAGAAAAACGTGTAACGTACTCCTACATCTGTCCGTATTAATGAACCGTTACTTGATGAAAATGTAAAATTACCCTATCTTTAAAAAGTTCCACTATTAGACATGTACATTTGTTGCATATTTCTCCCCAGGGAGCCTTTTCCATACATTTACTACTCGCTCGCTGAAATAGTGTTTCCCGCGGAATTGTTTTGGAATTTTCCCCCTTCAATTCGTTTGACTCCATTCATTCAATCAATGATTAATTTTTGTGTTTTCTTTATTTCTTTAGCTGTGCAATAAGATAGTGTTCCTGGTCAGTTTTGTGGGAAACCGTGGAACATTTACTCGTGGCTACAAAGCAATGGTGATGGATGTGGAGTTCCTGTATCACGTTGTCTATGTCATTGTGTGTACACTTGGTCTCTTTGTCCACGAGTTCTTCTACAGTTTCCTGGTATGTCGTGTTTCTAAACGTCTTTTCTTAAGAAAAAAACATGATTGCGATGATTTGTTACCAAAATGATGAATAGAAAAAAAAATGTCTGATAATAATATTTACAGAAATGTATTATGTAATAATGTCGCTACCCAAACAAAAAAAAGTGTTTTTTTTATTATTTGGAAACCCTAAGATAATGGGACACTGCTGTGAGCAATTGGCTGCCGGGTTTTGCCCACGGAGTCATGTAGCTCAGTGGTTAGAGCACTCGCCTTGCAATCAAGAGACCTGGGTTCGATTCCCGGCAGGGCAAAACCTTGGGCAAGTTTCCTTACTCCACGCCTAATAATAATCCTTTAAGAAAAACAAACAATAATAATTAGGTCACTCAACCCACGACTGTCTGCTGTGCGCAATTGGCTGCTGTGTTTCACCCACAAATATACACTCAATTCACTTTACAGTATATTCTGTGAAGCGCTTTGAGACGTCTCGAAGACGTGATAAGGCGCTGTATCAAATGCAAGGATTATTATTATTATTATAATGTGTTATGTTCTGCCCTGGTCCTTGCAATCCGTGTAACCATTCAACCTAAACTACAAACCATTGCGCTGTTTGGGTTCATTTTGAGCAGTTTTCAACCCCTTTCAGTGTAACGATTCTCACTGTGTTTTCTTTGCAACTCAAACCTGTGTTATTACTATTTGTTCTCAGCTCTTTGACTTGGTGTACAGGGAAGAGACTTTGCTCAATGTTATAAAGAGCGTAACACGAAATGGCCGCTCCATCATTCTGACCGCAGTCCTGGCTCTTATCCTTGTGTATCTCTTCTCTATTGTGGGATTCCTGTACCTTCAAGATGATTTCATCATGGAAGTTGACCGAGTCCAAGAAAACCAAATCCCGCAGTCAGGTAAATTCGAACTTGTTTATTCACTGCTAATGCTGAAATGATTAGTGTGGCATTGATCAGGGCTATGGGGAGAGCGGGGGAGTGGGGTTGATCAGGGCTATGGGGAGAGTGGGGGAGTGGGGTTGATCAGGGCTATGGGGAGAGAGTGGGGGAGTGGGGTTGATCAGGGCTATGGGAGAGAGCGGGGGAGTGGGGTTGATCAGCGCTATGGGGAGAGAGCGGGGGAGTGGGGTTGATCAGCGCTATGGGGAGAGAGCGGGGGAGTGGGTTGATTTGGAAACTCTTTTCAAAGCGCCGGCACAGACACGATGGGCCAAATGGCCTCCTGTGCTGTATAATTCAATGATTGTATGAAAATAAAATGTCCTTACAGTCTGGTCACTCGGGGGAGGCTGGAGACCTACAGTCTGAATGTTAAAGTTAGCCGCAGTGAATCACAGGAAGACACATTTATTAATAATAATAATCCTTGCATTTGTTACATTTGATCACATCTTCGAGACGTCTCAAAGCGCTTCACAGGATACACAGTAAAGTGAATTGACTGGTATTTTGTGGGAGAAATGCAGCAGCCGATTGCACATGGCACAAGCACAGCCTCCATTTTGTTCTTTTTGTTACAGGTCAAGAACGTGGTTATGGCTCGATTTTCAGCAGAAAGGAGGATGTGTGTCAGGAGAACTGCTCGAAATTGTCTGTCACAGATCAAGGTTAGCCAAGCAGACAATGAATGATCTTTGTGCATGTTTCACCTTTGCAACAACAACACATCAACAAGTGATGTTTACACACAGCGCCTTTCGCATCGGGAGGACGTCCCAAGGTGCTGGACAGTTAAGGCTTTGCCCCGAGCTGGGGATTAGGATCAGGAGGAGTGGAGGGCAGAGAGGGTGGGGGTAGGAGTGTGGTTGAAGGCGCGGTCGGAAGAAGAGGCTTTTGAGACAGTCCTTGAAGGAGGCGAGGGAGGGAGTGAGGTGAAGGGACTGTGGGATGGAGTTCCAAAGGGTGGGGGCGGAGAGGCTGACTGTACCCCAGTGGAAGTGAAACGGAGAGGAAATTAAAGGCGAAAAAAGGTTTGAGAATTACAGATATGGGAGGCTTTTGCATGCCAGCATGAAATCCCCTGTTTTAGGTTCATTCACACAATCACTTCATTTTTGTTGCTTGTGTGTTTTTTATGTGGTCGATAAGCTATATGTGAGTTTGCAAGCGAGGGGACCTGGGTTCGATTCCCGGCAGGGCGAAACATTATTCAAGTTTCCTTACACTACACACCTCTGTTTACCCGTGGGGTAATAATCTCTTTTTTAAAAAATAATATTTTCGTCACTCAACCCGACGCTGCTGTGCGCAATTGGCTGCCGCGTTTTGCCCACAAAATATACAGTCAATTCACTTTACAATATATCCTGTGAAGCGCTTTGAGACGTCTCGGAGACATGATGAGGCGTGATGGCAAATGCAAGGATTATTATTATTTAGGTGCGCAACAACCGGAATTTGGTAGCTGTGGAAAATGGCTTCTGTCAGACAGAATCCACTGAGTCATTTTGTTTCCAGACATTGAGGAAATCACCCGTCTGGCTTTCTTGTCTTTTTCTGAAAAAGGTGAAGTTTGCAAATGTGATATTAAGAGAGATAAAAAGTGTGCCCTATTTTTAGAAGTTGGGCTGATTCACGAGGCTGATAATGAGTCAGAAGTCATTTGAGAGTCAGCAGTTTTGTTGGGTAACACAATTCTGCTTTCAGTGATTCGGGAAATAATGTATGAAATATGGGGTTAATTTACAGTATCTTCTGTAAAGCGCTTTGAGACGTCTCAATGACCTGATAAGATGCAGTATCAAATGCAAGGATGATTATTATTATTAATAATAATAGTTTTCTGTTGCTTAGTTGTGTACATACATGTGTACCACATCCAGGCTTGATTATTCTAACTCCCTGCCTGTCAGTCTTCCCAACTCTTCCCACCACAAATTGCAGATTATTCAGAACTCTGCAGCTCATGTCCTCTCCCGCACCAGGCTCCGTGACCCCATCACCCCCACCCTCGCCCGGCTCCACTGGCTTCCCATCCCCCAGAGAATCGAGTTCAATCTTGGTTGGGAGTTGTGCCCATGGTAGATGTTTGCATGTCTTAATGTAGTCACTATTTACGACAGATTCACTACAAATAAATGTCCTTTTTTCACCACAGAAACGACGAGTGAGAAGACGTGTCAGACTCTACTGATGTGCATTGTTACAGTGTTAAATCAAGGCCTTCGCAATGGAGGGGGAGTGGGTGACGTGCTGAGGAAACCTTCCAAAAGCGTATGTACAATGGCGTTCAACAACAACAACAACAACTTGCATTTATATAGCGCCTTTCACGCAGGGTAGCGATCCAGAGCACTTGATTCGGGGCGTTCAAGCCATCACAAATGTAATTCTAGTGTAGTGTCTAACTAACATTTAGCTTACAGCAAGGCTGAAGAGTCTGCATTGTGCTGATTGGACAATCTCAACCATCAGTAAGATATTCCATATGTGAACGTTTCAGATTCTGCAAATAATTAAAGGCGGTGTATACCGCGCAATTATTTCTTAGAATAAAATGTTTTTGTGATTTTCCTTGAAACATTTCAACCCCATTGACTTACTGTTTTTGTTTGTTAACATCAGAGTCTCTTTAACATTGTGGTTTAAATGTAGAAATTCACAATTAGGAATGTGGCCAGATATACTGGAATCATTGTCCCTGTCCTCTTCACCCCCATCAACACTGTTCTTAATGTCATTGTCGGTGGCCAATGCAACTCACAGCTTCACCCACAAAATATGCAGTCAATTCACCTTACAGTATATTCTGTGAAGCTCTTTGAGGCTTCTCAATAATGTGATAAGTCACTGTATCAAATGCGAGGATTATTATTATTGCTGTATGTCTTGCTTAGTGAACTCAAGAAATATTTTCCACTTAATCATCAGTCAAAAGGTGAAATAAAAACAGAAGTGGCCGGGAACCCTCAGCAGGTCAGGCAGAATCTATGGAGAGAGGAAAGTGGGTGAATGTTTCAGGTCGATGACGTTTCATCAGAACTGGGGGATGTTGGAAGGGAGCAGATTATGAGGACAAACCGAGAAGGGGGCGGGGAAAGAAAGACAAAGGAAACGTTGAGGTGGAGAACAGAAGAAGATGATATCAGAGGTGGTGATGGTCCAAAACAAAAGAAGACAATAGATTAGAGAAACGCTGATGTAAGCGAACTGGAAGTCAGATACTCATCTTTACTTAAAGGATGTTGGTTGGCATTAAGGATGGTGTCTGGTGGGGTGGGAGGGTGGGGTGGGAGGGAAAGAGATTGGCCTCCAGACAATCTGGGTACATTCCAAAGTGATTCATTCCGAATTTCCAGATTTAAAAAAAAAATTTTAACTAAGAAAAATAATAATAATTTAGCCACCACTCAATCCACGGCTGTTCGTGGGGACGCTGCTGTGCACCATTGGCTGCCGCGTTTCGCCCACAAATACACAGTCCATTCACTTTCCGGTATATTCTGTGAAGTGCTTTGAAACATCTTCTCAATGACATAAGGCGCTATTTCAGAGATGTGCTACCAGAGATATAGCGTCTTACCACGTGGTTGAGAAGACAGCTCAAAGCGAGGATTATTATTAAATTTAACCCATGTTTGACCCTGTTATAGCACAGAAGCCATTCCTATCCCTTTGAACATTTGTCCATTTTGTTCTGCATCTATCTCGATATCTTCCAATACTGTATTAAGCAAGTACACTTAGTATTATTATTACTATGTTAACATAAGAACATAAGAGCATAAGAATTAGGAGCAGGAGTAGGCCATTCGGCCCTTCGTGCCTGTGCTCCGCCATTTAATAAGATCACGGCTGATCTTCTCACCTAACTCTGATTACCTGCCCTGTCCCCATATCCCCTAATTCCTCTATTTTTCAAGAATCTATCAGTCTCAGCCTTGAAGATGTTCAAGGACTGAGCATCTACAGCCTTCTGGGGGAGTGAATTCCATAAGTTCACTACTCTCTGAGTGAAGAAATGTTTCCTCAACTCTGTTCTAAGAGGCTGACCCTTAATTTTAAGACTGTGACCCCTGGTTATAGATTCTCCCACCGGGGAAACAGCCCCTCAGTGTCTACTTTATCAGCCCTTTAAGAATCTTATAAGTTTCAATGTTTTAATGTTTGAGTTTAATTGAATTTCGATGCTGTTTTAAACACCTGTAGAAGCTGATAATAAATATAACTCTCTCTTGTTTTAGGAGCCCTTGTTTGTTGCCCGGGTTATATACGATCTTTTATTTTTCTTCATTGTCATCATCATTGTGCTGAACCTCATTTTCGGTGTTATCATCGACACGTTTGCTGATTTGAGAAGCGAAAAGCAGAAAAAAGAGGAAGTCCTCAAGACGAGCTGTTTTATCTGTGGTATGTTTGTCTTCCGTGTCTCTTCTACGCTCCTACCCCCACCCTTCCCGCCCTCCACCCCTCCTGATCCCAACCCCCAGCTTGGGTGTGGATCCCTGACTGTCCAGCTCCTTGGGACGTCCTCCCGACATGGAAGGCGCTGAGTAAATGTCACTTGTTGTTGTAGCTATTCTGCAGGTTTTAGTCCGGGAAGCCAGCGCGCAAGTGCTAGCGCACAGGAAGTGAAGTCGTCGGTGACCATGTTTCAGGAAGTGACATCAGCTGCGCTTCTTTTGCACAAACCAAAGCAACTTGACGACCTGGAAATTGGCTAAACTCCCACACATTTTTGCCGTGTGGGAAGCTATCCTGTCTACATACTGAAATCAAAGGGCACCCGCCTTATAAGCCAACCCACTTTATAAGAAAGCGGCTTGTAACAAGATTGTACTACACATAGTTTTTGGGGGCAGTGGTTGTCTGACACGTACGGAAACCCATCACCTTTGCTTAAGAGTCTCCAAACCAAACTGAGAATTCCCCACATCCCAACTACACCTGGAAGTCCCAGAGAGAGATTGTTGGAATGGAATGCGCTCTCTCTCTCTCTCTCCTCTGGAGAGGCACATCGTGCTTATCTAATTCTGGAGAGTATTAGGCACAGGTGGGCAAGAGCCAAGGCTTGGGGGTTGGGGTAACTGCTGGAGTCTAACCAGCTTAATTGCCATATATAGTATTGTGAGGTTCTCTTAGTCAGTTTTCATTTTACTTCTGAGAAAAGGTCCTGTTTGTGTTTAATAATGTATAAATTACCGTTATCGCAAAAGCTGTTCTAGAAGACAAATGACTAGATTATAGTACTATCAGTTTGGGAGAATCTGGTCACTTGAGTTTTAAAACCATTAGCTTTCTCAACCAAATGCATAATGCAATAATGGTTTGTTTCAAGTGTAAGAAACCAGACATTAAATGTCTTTGGGCGTCATGCATAAAGTGTTGTAAGACGGAATACATTAGAGACATCTACTCTACGCCGTTTCCTCTGTTAATGATCCATAAACATGGATTATACAGCATTTAGAGCCATGCTTGTCGAGGTGTTCCAGTGAAGTCCCACTGTAGTTTAGCTAAGCACTTCATTTGCCGGGTAATGTTAAATCTTATAAATATTAATACAATTTGAGTGATTGGCCTGTACATCTCTCAGTCGCTGTCACAAGAACTAATTGAAACTTAAAAAGGAGGATCCAGTTTCAAACAGTTTTCAACAACTTTCAGCGCAAAATCTAATTTTAGGAGCGCATACTGCGAATATTTAATTATTTTAAGAAAAACTCATAGTGAAATAGATTTTCTATTTGAATCGAAGCAAAAATCAATGAAGGTTATGTTATCAGGATATCAGCATAAAATAGAACTATTTTATGTCTCTCCTCCCACTTGATAAAAAGAGATTTGAAATCTCACTTGGATTTCATAGGAACAGGAGTAGGCCATTCAGCCCCTTGAGCCTGTTCTGCCATTCTATTAGATCATGGCAGTTGCCGTGTATTCAAATACACTAAACTTCGCAATGGAACTTGGGTTCAGAATCTAGATTGAGGGGGAGCGAGGGGGAGCGAGGGGGAGCGAGGTATTGTCAGGAGTCAAAATTCTCCAGATGCTGGAAAACCGAAATGAAAACAGAAGTTGCCAGGAACACGCAGAGGTCAGGCAGCAGCTATAGAGAGAGGGAAATGAGTCTTCCTCTCTCCATGGGTGCTGCCTGACCTGTCCCCTGGTCCCAGTGACTTCTATTGTTAGAGGTGTTGACCTTCAGATCAGGCATTATATCCAGGTCTCATCTGCCTGGTCAGGTGGACGTTAAAGTTCCCATAGCACTCGGACGCCTGTCTATTTCTCTGTGTCCTGGACAATCATTCAGAGAAATTAGTCATTCACTTCATGGCTGTTTGTGGGTCCCTCATGGGTGCGAAAATATCTGCCTTGAACAGCGTTCTAGACTTAACACGGTTGTTTAAGGTTCCAGTCATCATTCTGTCCCTACAGAAAATAAAGGCTTCACCCTCGAAAACAATGGATAGGCTGTTGAGTGGTAAGGAGTTATGGTGGCTGTGCATGGCCTGTTTATTTACTATCATCCAGTATTGTCCTGACTTTAATTTTATTAATACTGCACTCCTTTGGTCTTGTGTGTTTAATTAATACCGCTTGCCTGTTAGCTCTTATGTTTTCTTGACCTACTGTGCTGTGTGGAGGAGGTAAAATCACCTGCACTGTACAGTATATTGTTTGTGTTGTGATCTCTCAGACACTATTGACAGTAGGATTATAGTTTGTCAATTTAAGAAAAAGAAATTCACATTCCCAGTTGGAATTTCAATCTCCTCGCTACACTGTGAAGCGCTTTGAGATGTCTCGAAGACATGATAAGGCGCTATATCAAATGCAAGGATTATTATTATTATTTGCTGCCGTTTGTTCAACAGCACCTTTATCCTGTCCTACTCAACTTGTGAGAGTGGTGTGTGTGTGTATTTACCTACATAGTGGAGTCCTGTAGCTCAGTGGTTAAAGCACTCACCTCACAAGTGAGAGGACCCAGGTTTGATTCCCGGGCGGGTCAGGGCGAAACCTTAGGCAAGATTCCTTACCCCACACGCCTCTCTTTACCAGCAGTAAGTAGGAACCCGGTTCTTAGATGATTGGCAGATCGCTTTCCGGGGTTAATAATGCCTTCCCCCAAAATAATAATAATTTGGACACTCAATCCGCTACTGTTTGTAGGACGCTGCTTTGCGCATTTGGCTCCTGCGTTTCACCCATAAAACACACAGTTAATTCACTTTACAGTATATCCTGTGAAGCGCTTTGAGTCATTTCGACAACATGATAAAGCGCTGTATCAAATGCCGGGATTATTGTTATTTACTCAGGGATTTTAAGTGCTAAAGTAACACAACTCGGAACACAGGAAATAGCTTTAATAAACCATTCTGCATCTCGGTGTATAGATGACTATTATTAAATGTAAACAACATATAATTAAGGATATTGTCCAATGTTAAATCGCTTTGGACATACTCAAAGCTACTCTGTTTTCCACTTGCACTTTTGAACTCTCTGTGCAGATAGTTCCTTTTTAACGTTTGCGAAAAAATCCCACAAACTGATCTTTCATGGAGTATGGTGTCATGACCACACTGTCCTCTACACATTAAACCTTAACACATTGCTCACAGCAGTGATTGTGCCAAGTGCACAGGATCCTGTTTATTCTACATGCTATGGATGAAATGTGGCTGAGTAATTGCTTCATTGTAAGTTCCACAGAAATATTGAACTGAATGTCATGTACAAGAGAGTTACTGTCTGCTGTGTAGGTTCATTCTGCGTGGAGTCCTGTAGAGTATTGGTTCGAGCAGTTGTCTCGCAAGCCAGAGGACCCGGGTTCGATTCCCGGGCAGGGTGAAACCTTAGGCAAGTTTCCTTACTCCACACGCCTTTGTTTACCTAGCAGTAAGTAGGAAGCGGTTGTTAGTTGACTGGTGGATCGCTTTTCCGGAGGCAATAATCCCTTCAAAAATAAATAACATTTTAAAAAATCATAATAATTTGGTCACTCAATCCACGACTGTTTGTGGGACGCTGCTGTGCGGAATTGGCTGCTGGGTTTCACCCAAAAAAGTACAGTCAATTCACTGTACAGTATATTCTGTGAAGAGCTTTGAGACGTCTCGAAGCTGGGTTAAGGCACTGTATCAAATGCAAGGATTATTATTATTATTCTGTTAGAATGGATTCTGAAAAGTGAGAACTAAACTCAAACATGAGGTCAAATAGGTCACTTTAACAGAGCTTGTTTTAAAAAGGTACAGGTTTTATTGTGTTTCCTCTCGGGGACAACTATTAGATTTGACATGTGGTTGAATTTTGTCTCAATTAGCCTGTGGCGAATCTGAGAATGTATATGGTTGAGATTAATAATAATTATTATTCATCTTTATTGCCTTCCAGTTCACACTAACCAGCTCTATACACCCTCAAACGTTACCAGCACAGATATTCAGATAACCTGGATAACAAGTCAAGTAAAATGCATGCAAAATTCAATGGATTTTTAAAACTGAGAATGTTTATAATGAAGCATTAAACCCCTTTGCTTGGTGAGCCTGACCCCCCTCCACCCCACCCCACCTTGTTGATCAGAATTGCACATCACATTCCAAGCCTGAAGTTTGAACCACATTCCTTCCTTTAATAAACAGAAAGCTGCCTCGGTGCCTGTTACCGAGCTTTGATTTAGTCACAAGAAAGAACAGCTATTCTGACCGTGTTAAAGGACATCGTATGTTTTAAGAAAAAAAGTTGCTAACTCTACTTTTTTTTCCCCAAACTTTTAAAGGACTTGAACGAGACAAGTTTGATAATAAGACGGTGTCGTTTGAGGAGCACATCAAATACGAACACAATATGTGGCACTACTTATACTTCATAGTTTTAGTCAAAGTTAAAGACGCAACTGAATACACGGGACCTGAAAGCTACGTTGCACAAATGATCAAGGTAAGTTCTTTGGTTTGTTAATGTCGTAGTTAGTGTACCATCACCTCCTACCTCCTCCCCTCACCCCCGGCTCGGTGTCAGGCTCCGCCACTCCAAAGCGCTCCGAGACGCTGCCTGGCTTGAAGGGCGCTATAGAAATGCAAGTTGTTGTTTAATTGCAAGAGTATTTGCTGGTTTTATTCTTTTATTTGAAAATTGAAACTGTCCATTGAGGTCAAGGATTTTCGTGGCGGGAGATAATGGGTATTTTTAATGAGAGAGAATAATAATTTGGTCATACAACCCACGACTGTTTGTGGGACGCTGCTGTGCGCATTTGTCTAACACGTTTCGCCCACAAAATGTACACTCAATTCACTTTACAGTATATTCTGTGAAGCGCTTTGAGACATCTCGGGGATGTGATAAGACGCTGTATCAAATAATAAATAATAATAATAAACCTTGCCTTTGATATAGCGCAAATACGAGTATTATTATTATTATTAATGGCAAACTTCACTCTCCTGCAAGTTGACATCATGTTGCTGGCTGGCACTTTGATGGAACAGGTTTCAATAGTTGACGTGGAGTAAGTAATCCGTAGGTTTATCTATTCTCCCTTCGCAGAGGAGGTAGAATTTGTGTGTGTGGGCTCACAGCGTGTTGGAACAGAAAGGACATAAAAGACTGAATATAAAATATCTAGCTCAAATGGTTAGTTACCTTTTAAGTGAAACACTTATTAAATATTCTTATATAACCGCTCTTGAATAAAATGCTTTCAGCTGAGTCATACCATTCTCTGCTGAGAGGAATGAGTGGGTTTAACAATGGAAACCAACTTTGAGTGAATGACTGTCGAAATTCCTTGTATCTTTTTTTAAACTACTGATTACCTGAATACAATCCTGTATCATTCAAGAATTGTAGTATGAGACTGCTTTGTGCTGTGTGCTTTTGTTCAATCAAGTGGCACCACTTGTTAGTATGTTAATGTAGCCAGATTCCTTCTTGTGTGAAAGAGGTCTGAGCAGGTAACTTGCATTATCATCAAAATCAAAACAATTGGAGTCCTGTAGCCCAGTGGTTAGAGCACTCGTCTCGCAAGCGAGAGGATCTGGGTTTGATTCCTGGGCAGGATGAAATGTTAGGCAAGTTTCCTTACTCCACAGACACACAGACACACACACACGCACGCCTCTGTTTACCTCGCGATAAGTAGGAACCCGGTAGTTAGTCGATTGGCGGATCGCTTTTCCGGGGGCGATAATTCCTTCAAAAANTTATTAATAATAATTTGGTCACCCAATCCACGACTGTTTGTGGGACGCCGTCATGCGCAATTGGCTGCTGTGTTTCGCCCGTAAAATATACAGTTAATTCACTTTACAGTATATTCTGTGAAGCGCTTTAAGATGATTCGATGACGGGATAAGGCGCTGTATCAAAAGCAAGGATTATTATTATTACAGTAATGGACCATTAAGAAAGAAAATGAAAATAAATGGGGACATGGGGCTAAAATTCAGGATTGAATGTTGGAGCTATAGTAGTGCTATATAGTGCATACATTAAAAAATAGACTCATAATAATAATCCTTGAATTTGATATAGTGCCTTATCAGGTCTTTGAAAGCTCCAAATTTACACTGTATTTGCATAATAATGTGTACTTATTATGTCACAGTTTTTAATGGTGGAACAAGGTTGAACTACTATATATGTGTCCTTTAGCATTTTAGTGGATGAGTAATAGTATTATGAGAGATAATTGCCAGCCAGTATTTTTTCTGTTTGGACTACTTTGCACGATTCTAATTTTAACACGTTCGGAATAACTTTTCCGAGCCCTGATGTGATGACTCAGTAGGGAAATGCGAGACTGTGTGATGTGATGCTGAACAATGGACAAAGAGCTTTCCAGGTTACACTTTGGTTTATTGGAGTTTAGCTGATGTCAGATGGAGGTGACAATAGGGGCAATGCAATCAACGTTGATGCCTGTGAGGAAGGAAACAAATCAGCCAGCGATTCTGCTCTTGATCGCTATCCAGTCACCTCCCTCTCCCCTTCTGGGAACACTTGTGATCGTATGTCTTTGTGTTCTTTTTCCTGTTATATTATATCAAGAGTCGTGTAGTCCAGTGGTTAGAGCGCTCGCCTCACAAGCGAGCGGACCCGGGTTCGATTCCCAGGCAGGGCGTAACCTGAGGCAGGTTTCCTAACTCCACACACGCACACGCCTCTGTTTACCAGCAGTAAGTAGGAACCTGATTGTTAGTCGATTAGCGGATCGCTTTCCAGGCGCAATAATCCATCAAAAAAAAATGTGGTCAACTGTTTGTGGAACGCTGCTGTGCGCAGCTGGCTGCCGAGTTTCACCCACAAAATATACAGTCAATCCATGTTACGGTATATTCTGTGAAGCGCTCTGAGACGTCTCATCGATGTGATAAGACGCTTTATCAAATGCAAGGTACGTTATATTATAAGGTAAATTTCGCCTAAAATTCTTATCATAAATATTTAACTATTAATGTAATTCATAAACCTTCATTTATTGTTAAAGTAACATTTAAAACAGCAGTCTCCCACAAACAGTCATGGATTGTTATTATTATTAATTTTATTTATTTAACTCTCACTGTTGGTTACAGGAAAATAATCTGGACTGGTTTCCGCGGATGCGAGCTATTTCCCTGGTTAGTAACGAGGGTGATAATGAGCAGAATGAAATAAGAAATTTACAGGAGAGACTGGAAACCACAATGAACCTGGTTGTACAGCTATCGGGCCAGCTATCGGAACTGAAAGAACAGGTAAAAGAATTATTTTCTTTTTTAATAGGGTTACTATTGTTTACCCAGCCACACAAGACTCTGTACCCCGTCACCCCAGCCCTCGCCAGGCTCCACTGGCTCCCAATTAGCAAACCGATCGATTTCAAGATCCTCTCACTCTCCTGGTACCTCCCAACCTCTCTGACCTGCTCACTCCCCAACCCACTACCCGCTGCCTCCGATCGACTGGCTCCGGCCTCCTGCTTGTCCCTCGTGCTCGCCGTTCCACCATCAGTGGCCACGCTTTCAGCCATTGCGCCCCCAAACTCTGGAACTTTCTTCCTCTATCCCTCCCTCCGCCTCGCCCCTTCCTTCCCCATCCTCAGGTTGAGCCTGAAGACCTTCCTCTTCGACCATGACTACGGTCCCCTCCCCCCCCCGGCTCGGCGTTGTGCTGTGAAGTGCCCTGGGAAGCTGCCCAGCGTGAGGGGTGCTGCGTAAATGCAATTTTCTCGTTCCCCAGGACATAAAGTGTGGCTGCTTGAGCACTAAATGGGGAGAGGAGGGTCGGTGAGAGGGAATTGGCAACGATATCCGTCTCAACCCACAAAGCACACAATGTGTTCACTAGTAAACTGCTGCGTTCACGCCAGATGTGGAGACATCTGGCACAGGCTGTTCTCTCCTTCGGGGAGAATCCCGATAAAACCTGCTTCACAAGTCCACGTTCCCAGTCCACAGTTTAGAGATTTGATCTCAGGTTCTTCTATCTACAGAACTCTAGTGGCTCAAAGCAAATTGGTGCCTTTTTAGCGTCTGCGTTTAAGGACAGAGAAATAATGTGAAGCGGATACTCTGGAAAATAGTGAGATAGGTACCGTAAAAGTAACAATAAACACTTTTATGCTTGTTAGTAGGACAAGGGCGGTACACTTTTCCTGTAAGGTGTTAACGAAACAATTTGCATAGGCTTACAAACAGTAGGAATACAATGGAATTGCTTAGTTTTGATATAGCGCCTCATCACATCGAAACGTCTCAAAGCGCTTCACAGAATACATGTAAAGTGTAGTGACTGCATTTTGTAGAAAAATGTTGGCACACAAAATGCACAGTCACTAGACTTTACAGTATATTCTGTGAAACACTTTGAGACGTCTCAAAGACATGATAAGGCGCTATATCAAATGCAAGGATTATTATTAGATTATTATTTTCTATGCTTCCCATCTACATATGGAAACACGGAGACCCTTGGCATTGCCACGGATAAATGACTAACATTTCTGCTGTTTTATTCTGTAGATGACTGAACAAAGGAAAAATAAGCAGCGGCAGGGCTTTTTGGGAACAACTTCATCTCATGCGAATCATCATATGTCACCACATTGAAGCCCGTGGGGGGACAAGAATATTCACATTGTACTTCCACCCAAAAAAACATCATATGGGGAATGGTTCGGGGAGGGCGGGGGAGAAGCTATACATGCTTTTTCTTGTTGAGATCCTTTTTTTGTGAAGGTATTGCCAAATGGACTGTTGAAATGTTTAGTATTTTTAAACTCTTTCCTGAGCCAACTGGACTGAATATTAATGGGTGACATGTTTGTTTACCTCTTGATCATCTCCATATTGCTTCGACAACTCTATATGTTAAGCTTAAATCAGGGACCAGAATAATTTGATTGAGTTGGAAAAAAGGGATGAATGGATTTCCAAGCTACAAGTTCTGGATTCCAGGAACGTAACCGCTGGGAATTAACTGGACACAGGGAATGATTCAGAAATGCCTGTTCCGCTAACTACATGTTTGACTACTGGTAAAAAGGGACTTTTGCTCTTTTTAAAACTGCTTTTAATGTATTTAACTTGTGGTGGTTAACCTATTTACTAAGGCACAAAACAGCAAAGATATTTTTATATTCCGAGCCGATTTTAACTACAAGAGACATTTTAAAATAATAGATTTGTATAGTAATGAAATGAGAGGAATGACCAGAACAAATTGCTGCATTGAAGAGACAACAAAAGTTTGATTTGTTTTTTTAAAAAAAAGTAATATTTATATAGGTCTGGTTGGAAACTGTTGTATAAATTGTGATCTGATAGGCGTTGGAAATCTCCAGTTAACTCATTACTAGGAAGCCTACTTTAAATGGTATTTCAATGGCCTTTTAAAAAGGGTGTAGATTTTAATTCATTATGTTTCGATGATGATGTATATTTGTACCCGTTCAACTAATAAAACGCATCATTTTTTAGTGATAATTATTAATCAAATTGTGTATTACATGTTGGGAGTAATGAGTGCTTTCAAATGACTTTGGTTGCTGTTCTTTTCATTGTTTTTTAATGATTTTCCTCCATACGTCAGTGAAAATTACTTGCTTAACAGTCAGTAACTTTTAGTTCAAGCAGGTGTTTAAGAATCTGATCCACCCACACATATGGAGTTTAAATACTATGTGCAAAATGCTCAAGGTGTATTTTATTGCTGTATTTACCTTCAGGGTCTTGTGAGCAAAATGCAATAAGATTGAGAGGAAAAAGTCACAAGAAAATGAGATGAAATACATTGTTAAAATATGGGAAAAAATCCTTGCTTCTGTCCAGCGAGTTAGTTTTATTCTTGGGTTGTCCTTGTTAGTTCTTAGTTATCAACAGGTTAACTTCAGAGATCACAACAACCTCCCAATTTGCAACTGGTTCATGTTGATAATAATGTTGATATTTCCTGTAGTAATAACTTCTGGCAGGAAATAGACCAATTGATCTATCCAGCCTTCCCATTAATGCTGGTTTCTCAGATGTACAATACTGAACAACTGTTTTTTAAATATAATTTTGTAAAGCAAATCTGTATATTAAAAATAAACAACTGTTTAAAACTAAATTTAAATTGTTTCCTTCAACGTGTATAATAATAATCGTAATCCTTGCATTTGGTGTAGCGCCTCGTCATGTCCAGCAGTTTCCCCGACGCACACTCTGGGATCCCCTCAAGCCTTGGCTCTTGCCAAGAATTAGGTAAGCCGGGGGCGTTGCTCCAGGGAGAGGGAGAGAGAGCGCATTCCATTCCAGCAATCTCTCGCTGGGATTTCCATGTGTTGGTGGGAGGCGTGGGATTCTCAGCTTGGTTCGGAGACTCTTAAGCAACGGTGATGGGTTTGGGGGAGAGAGTTCCAAAGCTTAGGGGCTTAGTAGCTGAAACACAACCACCGGTGTTAGAGCGGAGGGGACGAGGGACAAGTAGGAGGCCGGAGCCAGCAGAGCAGAGGCAGCGGGTAGTGGAGTGGGGAGAAAGCGGGTCAGAAAGGTTAAGCAGCATTGCTCCCTCCCCATCATCAATAGTTTGCCACAATTTGCTATCCATGTTCAAACATGGGCAAAGTTATCATTTGGCAAAAATATTAGAAAGAAAGAAGATAATTCAGTTGGAACCTGCCTTTGGTTATTCTGTGCTTTTGTCTTGAACGGTTGTCCTCCAGAATGGAATAATAATAATAATAATAATAATAATAATAATCCTTGCATTTGATAGTCTTATGTCTTCTAGACGTCTCAAACCGCTTCACAGAATATATTGTAAAGTGAATTGACTGTACACTTGTGGGTGAAACTTGGCAGTCAATTCCACGCAGCAGCGTCCCATAAATACTTGTGGATTGAAGTGATCAAATTATTTGTCTTCTTGAGGGATTATTATCAGGTATGTGGAGCAAGGAAACGTGCCTAAGGTTTCGCCCTGCCGGGAATCAAACCCAGATCTCTCGCTTGCGAGGTGAGTGCTCTAACCATTGAGCTACAGGAATTGTCGTAGTTATCAAACTCCTCTATGAAAACAACATGCCACATCTCAGGGTTTATTATAGCCCTTTCCCGCCCCAGCCCAGTAGGCAATACTTTGATGCTCTGGCTGTATTCCACGGCTTGCATTGATTTGATAAGGTGTCTGTGTCAAATTGACACCAAAAGTGTAGGGAAACAGCGGTGTAAGTAACGTGGCCTTGATTTATAGAGCCTTCAGCTCCCCTCTCGACTCTCTACCCCCTCCTCGCTCCCTCCCCTCACCCTGACCATTTCCCCCCTCCTCGCTCCCTCCCTCCCCTCCCCTGACCATTTCCCCCTGCTCGGGTCCTGACCCAACTGTCCAGCGCCTTGGGACGTCCTCCTGACGTGAAAGGCGCTTTATAAATGGAATCTTGTTGTTGTTGATTTGGGGGTTCACCTCACCTCCGGTAGGTGCTTTCAGACTGAAATCGATGTGTACAGATCCAGTATATCTCCCGCATATATGCAAAGGCAACTTCTTAGCATGATAGAATGTTACAGCACAGAAATAGACCATTCAGCTCAACATCCTGCACTGCGTTTATTATAATTATAATAGTAATAATAATCCTTGCCTTTATCACCTCAAGGCTGGACTATGGGAACTCTCTCCTCGTCGGCCTTCCCGGCCCTCCCTCCACACTGCAGGTCATTCAGAACTCTGCAGCTCGTGTACTGTCCCGCACCAGACACCGCGACCACATCACTCCCACCCTCGCCCTCACCCTCACCCTCGCCCTCGCCCTCACCCCCACCCTCGCTCGCCTCCACTGGCTACCCATCCCCCAGAGGATCGGATTCAAGATCCTCATCCTCACCTACAAGGCCATTCACGGCCTCGCTCCCTCCTACCTCTCCGACCTACTATCCCCCTCCCTACCCGCCCGTACCCTCCGTTCCTCTGGCTCTGGTCTGCTCCACATCCCCCGCCCCAACCGCCCGACCATCGGTGGCCTTCAGCCTCTCAGCCCCGAGGCTCTGGAACTCCATCCCCAGTGCCTTCGCCGCTTCCTCCCTTTCCTCCTTCAAGGCCGGTCTCAAGGCCTTTCTCTTTGACCTTCAGCCTTCAGCTCCTCTCTCGACTCTCGACCCCCTCCTCGCCCCCTCCCTTCCCTCGCCCCCCTCCCCTTCCCTCCCCTCACCCTGACCATTTCCCCCAATGCTCGGGTCCTGACCCAACTGTCCAGCGCCTTGGGACATTCTCCCGACGTGAAAGGCGCTCTATAAATGCAATCTTGTTGTTGCTTCACAAAATATACCCTAACCCTGTTCCTCCTGTTGAACAGGATTTGAGTCTTCTTGTGAAAATAATATATATTTAATGATAGAAAATTGTTATGTATTTTACCAGGAGAAAAACTTTGAAATCAGTTGTAAACTTACCCCAGATTGCTGTTGTAAGGTATCATGTGGCAGGTAGAATGTGGTAAAATTAGAAAAAGATTACAAGCTGATAGCTGATATCTGACACGTAGATTCACGTTTAAAAATAAAAGGCAACCTAGAAGATTAATCGTGGGGTCACATTTCTTGCATGTTTGCTACTGTGTAGGTTCAATTAAACTGTGCCATGTGGTACACCGATAATAATAATCCTTGAATTTGATATCGCGTCTTATCATGCCTTCGAGACGTCTCAAAGCGCTTCACAGAACATACCGTAAAGTGAATTGACTGTGTATTTTGTGGGCGAAATGCGGCAGCCGATTGCGCACAGCAGCGTCCCCACAAACAGTCGAGGATTGAGTGACCACATTATCATTTTTTTTAAGGGATTATTGCCCCCGGAAAAGTGATCCACCAATCGACTCAAAACCACGTTCCTACTTACTTCCTACGAACCAAAGTTGTCTAATGTTTTGGCCTTCCCCGGAATCAATCCCAGGTTCTCTCACACGCTGGGCAAGCGTTCTAAGCACTAAGCCACAGGACTCCACTAACCCGAGGAGGCGCAGAAAGTGATCCATAAAACACAAGATTCCCTGTTTTGTAGGTTTATTTTTTTTATTATAAACGTAGCAGTGAGAAAATAAACCTTTTTTTTCGTTATAACACAAACACTTCATCGAAAATTGTTTTCCTTTAAGACGGCTGTTATTAATACACACACCCAATGTCCAGAAAGGGTTCGATTCTTGGTAGAATATTGGCTGAAAACAACATAATTAGAGAATCGAAATTATCCCAAGCAAAGTCTCGAGGTTTATAAATAAAACTTTTTGAAAAATAAATGTCATGCTGTACGAGTTGCTGAACTAGTAATATGGATCACATGTTACATTTGAGATGTAACCCAATCTGCGCTCAGCAAACGTGCTGTTGCTGTGTTCCACATGACAGCGTTAGTGTCTGTTGTAAATAATCCCCCAGAAAGCGATCCGCCAATCGAGTAAAAACTGGGTTCCTACTTACTGCTCAGTAAACAGAGGGGTGTGGAGTGTGGAAACTTGTCTAAGGTTTCACCCTCACCGGGAATTGAACCCGGGTCCTCTCGCTTGTGTGGCGAGTGCTCTAACCAATATTTAGTTGCTAAGAAAGGAAATCCTGCAAAACGGACATTTGTAAATAACTGCAACGAAAGCGACTAAGCAAAATAAAAGGGTTAAAAGCGATTCAGCAGAGAACGCTAGTCTTGCATTAACTTGAACTTGCTGTAAGCAGTTTAATGGCTTGCGTTACTAGTTCTATCATGAAAATAAGAATCGTGAGGCTGTGATTATTTTATACGCTCGTCTTATTAAAATACATCGAACCTCTGTTTACATTTGTGATGATAACCTAAAGCTGTCAATGCTCTCAAAGTCCCCCTTAATGTCCCCCTCCCCTCCCCGCCCTCTCTCTCTCCCGTAAAATAAAATCTTTTTTGGATTTTCCAGAAATAGAGCTGACTTTAAAGTATAAACAAATGCACAGCTCCTGTTTGCACCCTGGAAGAAACAGTACAAGGTTTTCTTTATTACAGTATTTTGACCATCGATTTTGACCACTTTTTTTGATCTGTTTTCCCCTTTCATTTATTTCCCTCGCAAATAAACATCTGCCCACGTCCTCGGATAATAATAATAATAATAATAATAATAATAATCCTTGCATTTGACATAGTGCCTCATCATGCCTTCGAGACGTCTTAAAGATCTTCACAGAATGTACTGCAAAGTGAATTGACTGAATATTTTGGTACTGTATGAGATGCCGATAAGAGGAGCCTGGGGCAAAAAGTTGCTGACTCCCTGCGTTTGGAGTTCCTGGTGTGTTGTGCGTACAATGCCTTTCTCTCTGTGATATTTTCAGGCCTGACTCCAAGTGTCTGTCGCTCAAGCTGAACTGTAACAAGGCCCAGATGGTGATCACATGAAGGCACATTCTGAATCAGTGGAAGTGATTTAGCAACTTAAAGTGGCTGAAGAAACCTGGCTTCTCAGGCTCTGTGAGGCCGGTGCCAGAACTCTGTATTTAATAATCTTTGCATCTGATACAGTGCCTTATCGCGTCTTCGAGACGTCTCAATGCGCTTCACAGGATATCCTGTAAAGTGAATTGACTGTATTTTGTGGGCGAAACGCTGCATCAAATTGCACACAACAGTGTCCCACAAACAGTCGTGGATTGAAGTGACCAATTTATTATTTTTTTTATTAAGTATGGAGTGTAGTGAGTCTTTAGGGCTCTTTTCCAATGAGATCTGGAAGCAGTTTGCTCTGCCAGGAAATCAAATGGGTGGGGGAAAAAATTAACTGATACGTATAGGAAATAATGGAAACCAAATAAGAAATGAGATTTGGGGGAAAAAAAACATTCACCACAAATGTAGACTGGAATTATTTCCCTTTTCCCATTTGGAGAGATTGACTCTCCTTATCCATTGCTATGTTATTATAATGGCCAAAGGTAAAGTTCTCCAAATCGGATACTTCTGGGAGATCTATTAATTAGGAATGTAGGAACAGGAGGAGGCCATTCAGCCTCTCATGTCTGTTCCTCCAGTCTATTAGATCATGGCTGATCTGTACCTCAACTCCAATTACCCGTCCTTGCCCCATATCCCTTGATAATAATAATAATAATAATCCTTGCATTCGATATAGCGCTTTTCACGTCGGGAGGACGTCCCAAAGCGCTTCACAGAACACACTGTAAAGTGAGTTGACTGTATATATTTGTGGGCGAACGCGGCAGCCGATTGCGCACAGCAATGATCCCCTGAACGAGCAAACATCTCTCCACCTCAGTCCTGACAATGTGAATGGATCCAGCCATAATCCACAGCCTTTTGAAGGGGAGAGTTTCAGATTCCCACTACCCTTCATGTGAAAAAACTACCTCCTGATTTCAATCCTAAATGGCCTGACTCTAATATTAAGATGATGCCCCCCTTGTGCTGGATTTCCCCACCAGAGGAGATAGTTTCTCTTGCAATAGTAGCTACCCTGTCGAGTCCCTTTATTATTATTAATTGCTGCTGATATTACGATACTCCCTGACTCAGTGACAACAATTCTTTAACATGTTCTGAGCCAACAGGATATGAATTTTGAAATCTTATTTCTGGCTTAAGTCCTTTTAACACGTTACAATTTTTTTTTACAAAATTATTAAAAAAGTCCTGCAATTTTAGTATCAATAAAACGTTGCCAAGATATTACTATTGCAAGACTGATACAAATACGCAATACAAAAGCAGAATTTTTGCAAAACTTAATTTTAAAAAAAAACAGGGTTGCAGGTCATTTTCCTGCAATGACGGTTACTTTTGAAGTCGTTAACGTTTATATATTTATCCTAAAATCCTTGCGTTTGATACAGCGCCTTATCACGTCTTTGAGACGTCTCAAAGCGCTGCACAGAATATATTGGAAAGCGAATTGACTGTGTATTCTGTGGATGAAATGCGGCAGCCGATTGTGCACAGCAGCGTCCCACAAACATGGATTCAGTGCCCAAATTATAATTTGTTTGAGAAGGATTATTACCTCCGGAAAATGATTCACCAATTGATTTACAACCGGGTTCCTACTTACTTACTGCTGGTAAACGGAGGTGTGTGGAGTAAGGAAACTTGCCTAAGGTTTTGCTCTGCCCGAGAATCAAATCCGGGTCCTCTCGTTTGCGAGGAGAGGGCTCTCACCACTGAGCTACAGGACTCCATAAATGTCCTTGGCAACATTTTTGAAGTCATCTATAAAAGTCTTCTTTTTTTTTCGAATACCTAAAACACGTTGGATTACTGGTCATAAATGTTGCCCACATTCATTCATTAAAAATCAAGTTAAAAATAGTAAGTTATACAAACAGGCCACAAACATCCACCAGATCAAATACCAGATGATGGCGTCTTGCAATCCTCTGGTCAACTTCAGAGAATATTTAGGTTAAACATTTTGTTGCTGTTTGTCAATGGGTACGAGAGATTGAAACCGAATGCCCACAAAGAATACTTGGTATCTGTGTTTCCACATCACATAACAACCCCAAAGGCAGATTAAACCCGCGGTAAAGTTCAGAAACATCTGTAGCAGGAGGTAGATTTTGAGAGTTCTCGTGACTACTGAGCAATCTGCAACATCGCTGTAATGAAAGATCCGGGCAATCTTATCATCTGGGTCCTGCTTGCACACACACTCGTCCAAATCCATCTCGCAGCTGAAGGTGGTCATCTGGTTATAATGGTATGCAGCAAAAGCCACCGCTGATATGCAGAGGATCAGCCCAAAGGCACACAGCAAGAAGTAGGTGAGCTGTGGGAAAGAACACAAGATGTTCCAGTTCAAAAGTCATGCTTTAAATCATCTTTAATCTGACCAACAGAGTCTTCATTTCTAATAATAATAATCATTGCGTTGGATATAGTGCCTTTTCACGTCGTTGAGATACTGTGAAGTGAATTGACTCTATGTTTTATGGGCGAAACATTGCAGCCAATTGCGCACAGCAGCGTCCCACAAACAGTCACGGATTGAGTGACCAAATTATTTTTTTTTTAGGGATTATTACGACCAGAGGTAAACAGAGGCGTGTGGAGTAAGGAAACTTGCCTAAGGTTTTGCCCTGCCAGGGAATCGAACCCAGGTCCTCTCGCTTGCGAGTCAAGAGCTCCAACCACTGAGCTACAGGACTCCACATTAATAGTGACTCCTGCTGGTAACTGGAAATCAGTCACTCTGACCTAAGGGGAACTCCACTAATTAAAATAATTTGCTACAGTTCGTTGCATTTTGGCACACAAACTTGTGAGTATTAAACATGGTATCGTGATCCCATCTAATCCTTTAAAGCCCTGTCAGTTCACTTGGCAGCACTCTCGCCTTCAGGTCAGGAGATTGGAAGTTCAAGCCATACATTGGGACTTGCACTCACAGTCAACTGTCACACTCAGCTCCTGAGCCAGGAGGGGCCACAGTATCCCAGGGCACTCACTGCTGATGGCAGCACAGCCCGGCCTGGCTTATCCATCAGCAGGACCTGGAAGGGCCGACCAGTCACTGGGGGCCGGGAATCCTCCCCCTCAGCTCCTGGTAACCCCACAGCCAAAGCCCTAACTAACGGGGAGAATGGTCCCAGCTGGACAAGCAGCGGGAAAGCTTGCCAGCACTATCAAGGGAGTTTTAGCCGGTTAGACTCCAGCAGTTTCCCCAACACACACTCTGGGCTCTCCCCAAGCCTTAGCTCTTGCCAACCTATGCCTGATATTTGCCGGAATTAGGTAAGCAGGGGGCGTCCCTCCAGGAGAAAGAGGGAGAGAGAGAGCATTCCATTCCAACAATCTCTCTCTGGGATTTTCATGTGAAAGTGGGATGGATGGAAATCTCAGTTTGGTTTGGAGACTCTTAAGCAACGGTGATGGGTGTCCGTGTGTGTCAGACACTCGGCCGGACAAAACAAATTGTGCAGAAATGGGGAAGAGGAATGGGAGAGCTGCTTTGTCAAAGGTGCTATCACAACATCACACAAGATAACTAGAGAGGTTAGGAGTGAAGAAGTCCCTTCAATCATTCAGATGAGATGTTAAACTGAGATTCCATCTGTCTGTCGAGGTGAGCATGAAAGATCCCATAACACTAGTCAAGCTTAATTGGTGTTTCACTTCACGAATGTGTGTGGAGCCTCGCTTGAGTGGGTTTGCCTTCCAGGAGGATAAATTAAAGTATTTAATGGGATTTTGCTTCACTTGGCAGTGAAGTACTTTTTTCAGATATTTTGACCTGCTAAGGCAATATAAAAGTGCAAGTTCTTCCTTTGTAAATGGTTTACAAAAGACTGGCCAAGGTAGTGATAACCGGGAGGCTGCAGGACTCCACGCTACATAATCTCCTGCCATGCACAGTTAAGGAGTTTCTGTGTGTCCTCGTGCCTTGTTCACTTACTACAGCGTAATGCATCATCCAGCATTCTAAACACGGTGAACAGCTTTCACATCTCGTCGTTGTAATTCTTGTTGTGAGTAATTCTCATCGCAAAGGTACAAAATGATTATGTTACACACAGTCAATTCACTTTACAGTTTATTGTGTGAAGCGCTTTGAGACGTCTCGAAGCCGTGATAAAGCACGATATCAGGAAATCTGAAACACACCGTGCAGTCTATTCTGTGTGCCGACACTTTGATTTAATCCCGTGTTTTTGTAATAGCGAAAGGGACTCAAAAGCTAGCTGGTACAAAGTGCAAAATAATGTGCGAGTAAACATCCTGTGCAGAGATATTTCAGGATTTTTATCAGACAAGGTCACGTTACACACCGGGAAATGTGAGTTTTACATCTTTGATATCGCTTCTTGAGGAATGAAATGTCTTGGCAATCACAGAAACCTTTCTTCTTCGAAATAGATATCGTTACTAACTTTCCAAATCAATGGCATAATAGTGATGAATTGCACAAGATAAATAGAGCTATTTTAATGCTAGGTGCAAAAATATGATTCCCGGACAGAGCAAAAGCGTAGGCAGGTTTCCTTACCCTACACACCTCTGTTTACCTCGCAGGAAGTAGGAACCCGGTTGCTAGTCGATTGGCGGATCACTTTTAATTTCTTCTTAATACTGTTAAGGATTATTATGAAATTAAATCATTTGCTCACTCACTCCATTACTGTTTGTGGGACGCTGCTGTGCGCAATTGGCTGCCGAGTTTCGCCCACAAAATACACAGTCAATTCACTTCATAGTATATTCTGTGAAGCGCTTTGAGACATCTCGAAGACGTGATAAGGCACTATATCAAACACAAGTATTATTATTATTATGTACAGTAAACAGGCACACCATGAAGGCACGGGTCTGAAGTGAATGTAGATGTCAAGGTGTGTAAGTCATAACTTTGGCGGCACAAAGAAGCATTGTGTACAGACTTTATAGCGCCAATATGGCACTAACAGAATAACTGGTTAAAAAAAAAGCTTGTTTGCATTAAACATTTTTGTGTGAGCAGTGAGGCTTTCATCTCATCACCCCCCCCAAAAAAGGCCATCAAATTTACAGAGTATTTCCACACTCCAACCACATCTACACGTGCCAAATTGGACATGCCAGTCTAGGACTAGTACCATATATTTCGTCCCCTCTAGTAAAAAAGATGGATTGGGCTGTGGAGAGAGAAAGATGACTGGGCTGATAAAAAAAAGCCCATGGAAAAAATGTCACATGTTACCAATTATATACCACAGTATTTTACTGATGCTGAATCATTACCCTGTTGTAGATTTTATTTATTCCAAATGTGGAGTCCTGTAGCTCAGTGGTTAGAGCAATCGGCTCGCAAGCGAGAAGACCTGGGTTCGATTCCTGGGCAGGGCGAAATATTGAGCAAGTTTTCTTACTCTACATGCCTCTGTTTACCTTATCGAAATTTCTGAGGGTAATAATCCCTTCAAAAATAAATGAATAAATAAAATAATAATGATTTGGTCACTTCAATCCACGGCTGTTTGTGGGACGCTGCTGTGTGCAATTGGCTGCCGCGTTTCACCCACAAAATATACAGTCACTCCACTTTACAGTGTATCCTGTGAAGCACTTTGCGATGAGGCGTTGTATCAAATGCAAGAATTGTTTTATTATTAATATTATTACTGTTTTTCTTGCCAGCCCTGAGGAAGAAAACACCTTGCCACTTGATTTATTCTCTTCTGGAAAAGTTCTGGGAAATAGTGTGAATCTAGACCCAGGAGAATTCCTCCCTCTGTGTGTCAAATCATCAGTGGGTGATTGTGGAGAGAACCACAGAGTGACTGACCCCCTGAAATGCCGCACGTCCATCCTCTGAGGCCTCATCTCTGTGCCTTTCCACACGTCAGACCCATTTCTGGGACGGGAGCCAGAGAAAGAAAATTACATCTAAGCGAGGCTCGGGTGAAGTCTGGCTGAATGTGAGTAAGGCCGGCGGGGGATGGTGGGAGCAGAGATCACGAGTGTGATTTGGAAGCGCTCTCTGGCTTTTCCTGCAAGTGTGGGCATTTGTGTGGGTGGGATGAGGGGGTAGATGACTACATCCCTGGCCCGTAAACATGGTTTGAGGTCATTATTTCCTTCGTTTCTTGAAGTGGCTGACATCAGATACATGGATTGAGATCAGAAAGTTAGCCAACACAAGTTGCTTATTTTAATTCGGAATTGATGGAGTCGGGATCCATTACCTTTGAATTATAAAAATAATAATATTTATCCGATAATAATCCTTGATATAGAACCTCACATATTAATAATAATTTTTTTAAGGGATTATTACTGCCAGAAAAGTGATCCACCAATCAAATAACAAAGGTTCCTACTTACTGTTAGGTAAAGAGAGGGTGTGGAGTAAGGAAACTTGCCTAAGGTTTCGCTCTGCCCAGGAATCGAACCCGGGTCCTCTCACTTGCGAAGTGAGTGCTCTAACCACAGAGCTACAGGACTCCACAAATATGCTGTGAAGTCGAGTGACTATGGAACTTGTGGAGAACCACATGAGGAACGTGCTTCGTTACTCCAGGCAGTAGGTCAGAGGTTCGGTACAGCTAATTAATGACTACAAGTAAAACACGTGCTAGGGTTTTTTATTGTTTTTATATTTGAAAATAGTGACTCCGTGTGCAAACAAAAATCATGTGATTCCGCATTTGAAAGCACATTTCCTCTTAAATCACAGGAACAGGATTGATCCTAAACGCAAAACTGTGGTAAAAGGTAAGAAGTAAATACAAGTTGCTTTTTTAATTCAGAGATGGTGGAGTCGGGGTGCATTACTTTTGAATTTAGAAAATAAAATCATAATAATAATATTGGTTATATTTGATACAGCCTTACAATGTCGTTGAGATGTCTCAAAGCACTTCACAGAATATACAGTAAAGTGAATTGACTGTGTATTTGTGGGCGAAACGCGGCAGCCAATTGCGCACAGCGGTGTCCCACAAACGTGGGTTGAGTGACCAAATTAGAGAAAAAAAATTGGGGAGGGATTGTTACCCCTGAAATGCAATCTGCCAATCGACTAACAACCGGGTTCCTACTCACTGCTGATAAACACAGGGTGTGGAGTGAGGAAACTTGCCCAACGTTTCGCCCCAACCGGGAATCGAACCCGGGTCCTCTCGCTTTTGAGGTGAGTGCTCTAACCACTGAGCTACAAGACTCCACTAGTGCCTTTCATGTCGGAAGGATGTCTCACAACGCTCACAGGATTCACTGTAAAGTGTAGTGACTGTGCATTTTGTAGGAAAACATGTTTAGATTGTTTTATTTTTGCTTCTTAGTTTGTGGCTGTGCCAGAGCCCATCTATGGCAGTTCCCTCCTGGTCCTTTGTTGATAACTGGCACTGTTCCTGTTGGAGATTAGCTCCAAGTGAGGCTGTGCTAAGGTACAATCAACTCAGTCATTCAGTAAACAATGGACTAAAGGCAGACCACATAAACAACACTGTGAACATATTTGCTTGGAATGTTTCCCCCCTTCCCCATTATAACAGGCCACAGAAATCTGTGACACCACTTGGCATTTCCCTGCAGTGTGTTGACCCAGTGGGTCAACAACAACAACAACAATTTTGCATTCAAGTATATCCCAGGGAGATGGTGGAAGCCGAAAGTGTTGATTCTTGCCAAGGACAAATGAGAAAGCTTTCTGTTAGGGAATAATATCTTGGGATGCGGTGTGTAGTTTGAGACACGACATGTGCAAGCGACTGCCAGGTTGGTGGAAGGTGAACGGGTTGGACCTTGGTCTTCTTTTGTCCAGCAAATTCTTATGTTCTCACATTAGGAGGACAAAATATACAGTCAATTTACTTTACGGTATATTCTGTGAAGCGCTTTGAGACGTCTCGGAGATGTGATAAGGTGCTGTATGAAATGCAAGGATTATTAACGTGCTTCACAAAGCTGGCTGGGAGCCTGACCTGGGAACTGGGTATATGGGGCCTTTCATGTCGGGAGGACGTCCCAAGGCGCTGGTCAGTCAGGGATTTGGACCTGAGCTGGGGGTTGGGATCAGGAGGGGTGCAGGGCGGGGAGGGTGGGGGTCGGAGGGTGGCCGAAGGCGCTATATAAATGTAAATTGTTATGGTTGTAAATGAAGCCAATGCAGTATTAGTGCCAAGCAACTTTGCTGATGACCCAATTATTAAGCATCACTTATCTGGTTAACAAGACTTGACTGCCTGCTGATTGGTTTATGATTTGATTTGATTCCTGTATCAAGCAGCGATTACCTTGATTATGAACTGGAGCAATGTCTGTTCATCAATCTGGTATATGATGCAGTACATGTAGAAGCCGAGGAAACCAGCTACACAGACCTGCAAAGCAAAAAAAAAGGATATGAAGCAATGAAACATTTCTATTATAAAAGGAAACATTGTAGGATAGAATATTTTCTAATTGCCTCTTACGTACAATAATAATAATAATAATCCTTGCATTTGATTAAGTGAAGCCAGAAACGTCGTTGAGACGTCTCAAAGCTAAATAAATAGTGGATTGTAATTGTAATAAAGCGCACTGAAAGCTTGGCATAAGATTTGAATGGCGAGACAAAGCAAACAGCCAGAATATTTATATTAGAGATTCCGTAATACGATATAAAATATCAATTTATACATTTTTTAATCATATATGTATATTGTTAGAAGGATCGTAATACAATATAAAATAGCATTTCGCCTTCAACATACACAGTCTCAACATACACAGTCAATTCACTTTACAGTATATCCTGTGAAGCGCTTTGAGACGTCTCAATGACTTGATAAGGCGCTACATCAAATGCGAGGATTATTATTATTATTATAATACGCTTCTAAAAACTCACAGAGCCCTATTTGTTTAGATTAGTGACATCCTGTGCCTGAAAAAAATGGAACTGGTATCTGAATGAAACCTGATCTATTTACCTTCGACCTCTGACATTTTCATGTAACCCCCGCGGTGTAACTTGACACTTGGTGGAAACTTGCTCAGAATGCTCCAGTGGGTATCCTGAATTAGCTATTCACCGGCACAACATAAAGTCGGGAACCTTGGCTCGGCTTTTGCTCATTGTGACAAAGTGACAGCTCCTTTCCTGCGATTGTATTCAGTTCTTACATATAAAAAGAGAACTCCTCACCCTGTCTCCCTTTCGTCCACAGAATACACAGTCAATTCACTTCACAGTATATTCTGTGAAGTGCTTTGAGACGGCGCTATATCAAATGCAAAGACCTTTTCTTATTACTTTCTGGCTGTTTATAACGCACTGCGCTCCCGCGAAAACACTCAAGATTTTAGACAGAGCAATTCACGAAAGTGGAAATGCTATTTTGCCCGGTACTGTAACTAGGAATCAAATATTTGAAGCGGGCGGGCAACACTGATGACAAGCCACGAAACACGTTAGGTAGCAAAACAACGACAAGGACTATCATTTATATCGCGCCCTTCACACGGGGCAGAGTCTCGGAGGATCTCAGGCAGCGATGCTCAAACAAAAGGGACTTACGATGATGCCAACCCAGTACGGAGTGTCCCTGACCAGCAGAGAGGAGCTGGTGCTCTTCATTATGAAGGCGATCACTGTGATAGTGATGCCAAAGGCCAGTTGTAGTAAAGCCAGGACCACGGGGAACCGGCAGCCACAGCACACATGAGGGTCCTCATCCTGTGCAGCTATCTGGGCTGTTTTCTTGTCGACCTTTTTCTTCTTCTCTGTGGATCCTCTTGTCTCTCGCTCGGGCTCGCTGGTTTTCAGCTCTCCCGCCTTGACCTGGGGCCCTGATCTGGCGTGTTTGTCCTGAGTTCCCATGGTTTCTGTCTTACTTTGGTTTGAATGGAATTAATCGATGGAGGCGATGTGTGAGCTGGGGCATAGGGGGGTGTTGCAAATCGATTACACACAGGCGCGCGAGTCCTTCACTGACTCTGGACTAATATGGAAAAGATTTAAGGCAGATCTGAAGCCCTTCGAATCCCACATATAGACCAGCGAGCGAGAGAGAGAGAGAGGGGGGAGGTCAGGGGGGATTCAAACACACCACAAACAGGCATAGACTTGTCGACAGCAGCATGTTGCTCAAGGGGCAATTTGGCGTTGTTTTTTTAAAAACCAAAAGGAAAACAAATAAACACCACTTTGCATACTGTTTCCGCGCAGTTGTTAAAGAATGGAATTTGGTAATCTGGAGAAATTATCAGTGAAACAAGTAACACATACACAGCAATTCAAAACTATTGTATTCCCTTCTTGGTCTATTGAATGATTCCAGCGAACTCTATTTGAGTGAAAGTGTGTGTTGCTTCAATTAACTGAGGATAAGCAAAGATCACATATTTCCCCTTTGTTTTCCTGTACAGACACTTCACCATCACATTGTTTCACCCACAAAATACACAGTCAATTCACTTTACACTATATCCTGTGAAGCGCTTTGAGACGTCTCATAGACATGATAAGGCGCTATATCAAATGCAATGATTATTATTATTAATAATAATATTATTATTATTAATAATAATATTATTATTATTCCGGGATCAATTGCAGCCACTGGTTTGTTTCACTGCATTCTTTATCCTACCTTTAGCACCATTCAGGACTTAAACCTTGGGCAAGTTTCCTTACCCCACATGACTCTGTTCACCTAGCAATAAGTAGGAACCTGGTTGTTAGTCGATTGGCGTATCGGATTGCTTTCCGGGGGTAATAATCCCTCCCAAAAAAATTTGATTTTGTCACTCAATCCACGGCTGTTTAAGGGGACGCTGCTGTGTGCAATTGGCTGCCGCGTTTCGCCCACAAAATATACAGTCAGTTCACTTTACAGTATATTCTGTGAAGCGCTTTGAGACGTCTTGAAGATGTGATCAGGCGCATTTACCTCTTGCATTTACCAAAACAAAAAGCTCCCAAACAATGCATTTCAATAGTTTGGCAAAACGAGTTGCAGTTTCTAACCCCGTGACTCACTGAAGTTTTCAACATGTAGAAACTTGACCAGTTGTGTGATGTGATAAATATCTATACAAGTGAGACTGTCTGCGTAACTCACATGACACATAGTCACAAGTGAGCTTTAATCAGCCTCATGTGTTTTACTCTCTGTAACAGTTATAAATGAGCCTATTAAGAAATCAAAGTTATCAATGTGCATCGTAACATAATGCGAAAACAATAACAACATCAAACTCTGCTTGGATCGCACCCTTCGTTGAAAACACGTCCCAGGGCGCTGGACATACAGGGGTTTTGGACCCAAGCTGGGATCAGGAGGGGTGGAGGGTGGGGGATAGGGAGGAAACAACAACAACTTGCATTTATATAGCGTCCCTTACGCAGGGCAGAGTCCCAGAGCGCTTGGAGAACAGAGGCAGGTGGAGTAAGGAAACTTGCCTAAAGTTTCGCCCCGCCTTGGCTGGGAATCGAACCCCGGTCCTCTCGCTTTCGAGGCGAGTGCTCTAACCAATAAACTACGCTACGAGACTCCACATATTTTGTTATATTATAAGCCCCCAATTTCGTTTCTCTCTTGTGTTTGACATCTTCTGCTTCTACCTGGTTCTGTTTTCATGGGTGCCAATTGCCTTTTGATATTAATAATAATAATAACCCTTGCATTTGACATAGAGTCTCATCAGGTCTTCGAAACGTCTCAAAGCTCTTCACAGAATACACTGTAAAGTGAATTGACTGTGTATTTTGTGGGCAAAACCCATTCATGTATCTCAAAAAGGACAAAAGATCCTTTTTTTGGTTCTTCCATCGTAAGTACATAAATGTGTTTCTGGGTTCATTACCCAATAGACTTATACAACTCAGATGTTTATTAATTAACTTACTGCCAACACAGCAAAATATTGTTGACAAGCGAAGCTATATAACTGATGATTTCCAACTTTACTGAATGGTATTGGCACACACAGTGTATCATAGAAGGCTTTACAGTATTGATATGTTGCCATTATTTATGCATAACTAAGTGATGTGATGTACGTTATTGAGGAGTCATAACGTACATCACATAACAGACTAAGTGTCAGCAGTCAACATTTCTCGAGGTGCTGTTGCCCTGTGAGTCGATAATGATAATAATAATAATATTCCTTGCATTTGATACAGCGCCTTATCACGTTTTCAGGACATTTCAAAGCCGTTTCACAGAATATTCTGTAAAGTGAATTGGCTGTATATTTTGGGGGCAAAACGCGGCAGCCAATTGCGCACAGCAGCGTCCCACAAACAGTCATGGATTGAGTGACCAAATTATTGTCTTTTTGTTAAATTTACTTAAAATTTCCCTGGAACCTAATTGTCCCCTACAAAATCCTAATTCAAGCACAAACACTTTCAATAAGATTTCCGGGGGCACTTTTAAAATATAGATGAAACTTTAATACGATGTTTAACAGTGATGATTAAAGACAGGAAAAGACGGCAGTGGGTGGGTGGAAAGGGGGGTAATAGTGTCAAAAGGAAATCAATTTGCCTCCAAAGTAACAACTGTGTATATCTCAGAAAGTAATGTTATGTTGCCTTCTGAATTTGCTGAGGTATGTGTGATGTTATGTGCATACGTCTGACCAGGGTTTGATACCTACTGTTGTACACGTTCAATAGACAAACTTTGGTTGCCTCGGGACATATGTTGCAATGTGGCACAGAAATCCCACTGATAATATTCATCATTTTTGAACTGCGATTATCTGCATCCTAGAAAAATAAGGTGTATTGTGGCAAACTATAACAGCAACCTTTTACATTGCAATTCGGGAGGTTGTTTCAAAGCAATTAATAATATAATAATAATCCTTGCATTTGATATAGCGCTTTTCACATCTTCTCGACGTCTCAAAGCGCTTCACAGAATAGACTGTAAAGTGAATTGACTATATATTTGTGGGCGAAATGCGGCAGCCAATTGCGCACAGCAGCGTCCCACACACAGCCGTAAGCGAGAGGATCCAGGTTCAATTCCCGGTCAGGGCGAAACCTTAGGCAAGTTTCCTTACCCCACGCGCCTCTGTTTACCAGCAGTCAGTAGGAACCCGGCTGTTAGTCGATTGGCGAATCACTTTCTGGGAATAATAATCCCTCCGTGACTCAATCCACCACTGTTTGCAGGACGCTGTTACGCACAATTGGCTGCCGCGTTTCTCCCACAAAATACACAGTCACTACACTTTACAATATATCCTGTGAAGCGCTTTGAGTCGTCTCAACGGCGTGATAAGGCGCTGTATCAAATACCAGGATTATTATTATTATTATTATTATTGTTATTAACATTCTGTTGGCAAACCTTCAGATTTGGTGTCATGTTATTTTGACATGAAGTTGTGTATTGTGCTGTGTTCTTGACAGTTAAATAGAGAATGTAGATGGGGCTAAATCATGTGAATTGGGAAACACCATGTGATTACATGTGACTGACTTTAATAAACACACTGATTCCATCAAATGCTCATCAAATGAATTTCCCCCACCCAGGAATCAAACCCGGGTCCTCCCGCTTGCGAGACGAGTGCTCTAACCACTGAGCGACAGGACTCCACAAGTATGGTGTGGTGGTAAATAACGTAGGGACTACTAATATTAAAGTAGCAATGAATTAATATGCGTATACTGTAAGCAAAACTCCCAGTAATGAGAAACAAAAAAAAGCAGCAAAATAATTTTTTTGGTGGGGACAAAAGACAAATATTAAAAAGTATAAACTATACGAAAAATAAGTCGTCAGGTGAAGTAACCACAAATGATACAAACATTATTATCATCTTCAAGAAATGAAGCAAACTTAATAAACGTGGACATAACGTCAATGATGCATTTGTAACACAAGGATACAAGTTGAAAGAAATAACAAATTAATATAGAGGAACCGATGAGCTCAAGGCAGTACATGAATTGCCAAGCTCGAGGGAAGGCCTCCTTCCTTAAACAAATAGAAGGTGTGGGTTAACAGTCACTGAAACAGTAGAAGTTAATCTGAAACCATCACACAATCTCGAGTTTGGAAGTTTGAAAAGATTTTCTCTCAATAGCTGCAGCCACATTATTACTCTTTACACACGTAAAGCATTGTAACACACACAGTAAGCTGATAATGTATTAAAACACGCAGTGGCTGCTCAGACCACTAAAAACAAAGTACATTAAAGTTCAAAGCGAGTTCACTGTATTGTATTTCAGGGTACTAACGCTCAGTCTTGTCGGGCTTTTATTTGTGGTATGCGTCATTTAACCCAGTTAAATGAGATTTGTATTGCTTTTAATATTCTGGGTTTCTGGATTACTTTACACCGACATGCCACAACGAACACCCTTAGAAAAATGTACTGTATTGTGCGTGATGGGGTAATGCCTTGCTACAGGCGTGTGCAAGACAATTAAAATGTTTTCAGGGTTAAATTATTTCTTTAAGTCCAGTGCATTCCTTACAACCAATGAACATTGTCTATACTATAACCCGGAGGAATTTATTAGAGTTTGACAGGGAGAAAGCGTTGGAATAGCAACAACCTTGTCCCTGGTCCCCTCTGCTTCACCATCGGTGGCCGCACTTTCAGCCGCTAAGCCCCAAAACCCTGACCACTCTCCCTCTATCCCTCACCCCTTCCTTCCCCATTTTCAAGTCGCGCCTGAAGACCTTCCTCTTCGACTGACCTGCGTGAGGGTGGTGGGGGGGGTGTAAATGCAAGTTGTTGCAGTTGTTAGTGTCATTAAATGTGTTTGTGCTTTGACCATTTAAAGCTAACTGTTGCATTGCTGCTGATATTGCCCAGCTCTTATGTCAATAATCCGATGTATAAATATTTGGTATTCCACGCACTGACATGGTTAGAAGGACAGTAGCCCTTTTTATTGGTCAGCACTCAAAAAAATGTTTAAAAGTCTGAATTCATTTAGCAATTGTATTGAACCTTTGCATTAATCCCCCCCTAAAGCACAGCCAGCCCACACCGTGTGGATTGGAGACTGCGCAAACAGTAAGTAGCTACAGGAAACCACAGTAGTGCGCAGTCTATGGGGATTTGTGAAAGTTAGCTTTTACAAGACAAGCAGAGACTATAGGTTAATAATAAATTATTACCGGGATATTGGTCCCCAAATGGAATACTGTAGCTCAGTCTTTCGAGCACTCGACTTGTAAGCGAGAGGACCCGGGTTTGATTCCCGGGCAGAGTGAAACCTTGGGCCAGTTTCCTCACTCCACACACCTCTGTTTACCAGCAATAGATAGGAACCCGGTTGTTAGTGGATCGGCGGATCGCTTTTCCAGTGTTAATAATCCCTTCAAAATTTTTAAAAAATATATAATTTTTGGTCACTCGACCTATGACTGTGTGTGAGACACTACTGTACGGAATTGGCTGCTGCGTTTTGCCCACAAAATATACAGTCAATTCACTTTACAGTATATCCTGTGAAGCGCTTTGAGACGTCTGGACGAACTTGTTAAGGCGCTGTATCAAATGCCAGGATTATTATCACTATTATAACCAGAACACGTGTGAATAGCAGGTATTCACTGAAGCCAGTCAAGGTTTCAATGTGTGTTGTGTGAGTGAGTGAGTGTGTGTGGTGTGTGTGTGTGTGTGTGTGAGAGTGTGTGTTGGGTGGCGGAGTCTCCATCACGTTGACAGCCGTGTGTTTCCTCTTGAAATGTGATCAGGGAGTAAAGTCCCAGCTGAGGGAAACGTGCTTGGCTCCCTATCACTGATCTGTCTCTGCGTTATATCTGCCTGGGTTCAAGCCACTCAGTTTAGCAGCCTTACAGCCTTACACGCACTGCGCAGCTCAGTCCCCAATGCCATTACATTATTCTGTTGTACGTACAAGCGGAAAGCCAGCCAGCCCAGTGTGTGCTGTGCATTAAAAGCAAATCACTAAATCCTGTATGTGCATTGCATTGCTTGTACCAGACATGAATCAAATGCCTGACCACATTAAATGTCCACCCACCCCCTCCCAACCAACCAAAAGAAACCCCACCAATAAGCCCTCTGAACAGATGCAAAATATGTTTATTATTTTTTTACCATTTAATTCAGGTACTGTACAAGCAATCCATATTATATATAATATATACTTCTACAGACATCACAAGAATAAATCTAGTACTTGATGCATCACAGTCAAGAGGATAGATATATAGAGAGATAAGATAGTTAGAGATAGAAGATAATGGGGATGGTTAAAGAGAAAAGAGTTATAACATTATAAAAAGGGGTTTTCTCCCCCAAAAAACTTTCCCCACTTCAGGAAGAAAACAACACAAAAAGCTGCAGATTTCTCCATCTCTCTCTCTCTCTCTCTCTCAGGCAAACCTGTTTTGGTCAGTTCCATTTCTCAATAGGGGTCGGTTGAGAATATCTGAGATAAAACAGTACTGTTCTGCTGGATTGGGAATCATTTTTTCTAAAAAAACAAGTATTTGCAAATGCAGGACTGTGTGGTTGATCACTGCAGAAGGGCTGAGAGGTGGGCTGTTGGGCTGAAGTGAGAGAGGGTTAGAGTTAGGTTAATACTGCATTTCCCTTCACTGAGGTTTCCAGGTTCCTCTCTCTCTCTCTCTCTCTGTGAATAGTCAGTCTGTGCTGTGTCTGTGGGTGTGTGAGAGCAGTGAACACCAAACACTGTCTGCCCACAGCACAGTGAATGCACACAGAGAGGAGGCTCCTGTCCCTGTCCCTCTGTATATATACTGTGTACCCACACTCACACCATCCCAACACATCACTGCATCTCTGGATACTTCGCTATCCTCTCCCACACACACACACACAGAGACAGAGCAATACTATGGAGGATAATATTCCTGGACTGCAAACCCCAGTTTGCTTGTCTGAAAGGAAGTTATTGGACAACGCAGACTTTATTGGGTGAGGGTTATTATTATTATTATTACTGTACTCTTATTTGTTTATCTTTGCTCTGCTCGTCTTCTGCTGTCGTGTCGTTTCATCCACAAAATATACAGTCAATTCACTTTACAGTATATTCTGTGAAGCGCTTTGAGACGTCTCGAAGATGTGATGAGGCGCTGTATCTGATGCAGGGATTATTATTATTATTATTATTATTATTATTATTATTATTATTATTCTTGTCTGCAGTTTGCAGCTTGCTATGCTCCAGTGAGGGCGTGCAAGTCTAGATATACAGTATATGTTTTTATATACAGTATATATTTTGTTGTTTATTTTTATTATTGACAGAGTAGAATACCCTTCCATGTACATGTTCAAGTCAAAACGGGGGCTGAAGCGAGATGATAGTAAGGTAAGAATAGTCTTTTTTTATTAGTTTATTAGTTTTATTAGTTTATTCGTCCCTTTTTTTAAGGGGAAAAATACTTTTTTAATTAGCTTAAAAGTGGGATACTGATTATTATTATTATTGCCCCTAAAGTTGCTTTTTTATTTGAGCAAATGATCATAATTTATTTGAAATTCTGCTCTCGTTATTGGAAAAAATTATCTCGATCTCACTGTACTTTGTGATTTGGTTTCATGTGTTTTTTTATATATAAATTGCAACACAGTTTTGCTTTATATTTTTTCTCCCTGGATTTTAATTTCACTTTTTGTTTAACCCTTTCAGGAATGTGTTTTTTTTTAATATAAATGTGCAATGCAGTTTTACTTTATTTTTGTTCCCTTTTATTTTAATTTCACTTCTTTATTTAACCCTTTCAGGAAGCCTACAAACTGCCACATAGGTTGATAGAAAAGAAGAGACGGGATAGGATTAATGAATGTATTTCACAGCTTAAAGATTTGTTACCAGAGCATCTGAAACTGACGGTAAATTACTGCGTGTCTGTCTAAGTGTTTACTGTTTGTCAGTATATATATTTGTTATCAATGCGTTTATTTCTGAGACGTGGAAATAAAATGTAACCTCTCCACTATGCAGCTATCTCAATAAGCATTAAAATACAGAATAAAAAGTCGTTATCAGCTGTGAGGCTATGACCAACTGAAATGTAAAATAGTTAGTTAGTCCACGTGTTAGGAAAACAAGTGTGATGTTAATTTAGATTACAGTTGGGGTGTGTATTGAGGTGCCTCTGTGTTGTATTATGTTTTAATATTAGATGGTCATTTGCAAAATAAATTTTAAAAAAGGTAAAAATGTGTTTGAAATGTTATATTGTAAATTGAACAAACACAAAAACAAACAAAAAAACGTCCTTCCTCTCTTTAAGACACTGGGACATCTGGAGAAAGCGGTGGTGCTGGAATTAACTTTGAAACACTTAAAGGCATTATCTGCCTTAACCGAACAGCAACATCAGAAGATAATTGCTTTGCAAAGCGGTGAGTGAGATTGCCGTTTAGATATTGAGGCTTTAGGCAAATGATGCATATGTCTACACTGTGTCTCCATTCCTGGATAGTAATGGATTTGCTGTTGTTAAGAAAAAAATATCTGCACCATCAGAAATATATTAATAATAGTAATAATAATAATCCCATGAATAGCAATGTGATAAATATTCCCCCCCAAAATTAGGGGGGAATTTGGGGCAGAGGGAAATATTATAATAATAATAATAATCCTTGCATTTGATACAGCGCCTTATCACGTCTTTGAGACGTCTCAAAGCGCTTCACAGGATATACTGTAAAGTGAATTGACTGTATATTTTGAGGGCGAAACGTGGCAGTTAATTGCGCACAGGAGTGTCCCACAAACAGTCGAGGGTAGGAGTGACCAAATCATATATTTAGTTATTTTTCGGGGAGGGGGATTATTATCGCGTCTTCGGAGCGCTTCACGGGACACACTGTAAAGCGAATTGACCGTCTATTTGAGGGTGAAGCTACAGTTTGGAGTTTTGCTACTTCACCGGTTGTATTTTAATCCGAATGTTGTTTATTTTGGGTGCTTGATTAGGGGACGGTTCACTGAAATCTCCTCTGCAGTCTGACCTGGATGCTTTCCATTCGGGCTTTCACACTTGTGCCAGGGAAGTACTGCAATACTTGAGCCGCTTTGAACACTGGACTCCCAGAGAACAGCGCTGCGCCCAGCTCATCAATCATCTGCAGAGTGTTTCCACCCAGCTATTGCCGCAGACTCCCTCCGCCACCACCATCAACAACAACAACAGCAGCAGCAACAACAACAAAGCTTCTGTGTCCGAGAGAAGACCTGGCCCTGCGAAAGCAGAGACTCACAGCAACAGTGGGAACTGCGTACCTGTCATCCAGAGAACGCACACTGCAGAGTTAAACGAAAACGACACAGACACTGACAGCGGTTACGGCGGGGAAGGCGACAGGGATAAATGCGAGGGGAGGAACGAGAAGGAATTCAGCCGCGGGCAAAGGGCTTTCCCCACTCTATGCACGAGCCACGAGCTGCCCAGCCGGGATCTGCACATCAAACAGGAACCCGACAGTCCACCGACCAAGAGGGTGAAGGCTGATGGTGCTGCGGCTGGTGGTGGTGGTGGAATGACTAACCCAGACGTCAGGCAGGAGGACTCTGCTCTTAACTCTCTGATGGGAATTGGCAGCGTGTCTGCTCTTGCCCAGCAAACTCCTTTCTGTCTCCCCTTCTACTTCCTCTCCCCTTCGGCTGCAGCCTCTTACCTGCCGTTGCTGGACAAGAACAGCCTGGAGAAGTTCTGGTGCCCGGCCCCCATCCCCGTCATCTACCCCGGCATTCGCGGCCTGCGTGGCATTCCCGCTCTGGCGCACGAGAAGCTTGGGGGTCCCTTCCCGCTGCTGTCCCAGAGGGTCTTGTCCCCGGCGTTGGGCACAGCGACAGCCAGGGCGGACTCAACTCAGCAACAGCTCGAGTCGGAGAGAGTTTCGAGCCCGGCTCGGGAACCACCACAGACGGGAAACGATCCGTCCTAAAGCCATTGTCCAACTAGACTTTGCTCTCTCAAAAAAAACATGGAACCCTGGCCGTAGAGACATTAATCGGGTCACTTTTCTGGGCGTAATAATCCCTTCAAAAAAATAATAATATTAATAATTTGCTCACTCGATCCACCACTGTTTGTGGGACCCCACTGGGCGCTATTGGCTGCCCCATTTCGCCCACAAAATCTGATGACAGTCAATCCACTTTACGGTCAATTCTGTGAAGCGCTTTGAGACGTCTCAAACTTGTGAAAGACCTAGTTTTCTCATAGACAACTTGCTGTTGTTCATATGATTGCTTTCAAAGATCCTTCTGATGAATGGAAACCAAGTCAAACCAGGCTCTTTGCAATATTATACTGTAGAATGATATGTGAAAGCCCCAAGATGTTTAAATAATACTATGATGTTTACAAATGCACCACCCCACCCCTTCCCCAACCCCCATTTTTCTTAAGGATTTTTAATGACCAAATATATTAAAAAGAAATAATACTTGCAATACATACTGCAAAATGTCATACAACCTGGGCTTCCAGCAGATAGGAAAATAAGCCTAAATATGTAGTGGTCCCTATCGGCAGGTTTTATAAAGAATGGGGGGAGGGGAGATAGCAAACCTGATGGGATTTCCTACGCTCAGCCTGAACACGTACAGACAGACAGACATGCAGGAGACAGGAGTCTATTTTTTTGTTCAGCCGGGTGTCCGATACACATGGAAACCCATTACCATTGCTTAAGAGTCTCCAAACCAAGCTGAGAATTCCACGCTGCCCTCCTACACATAGGAATCCCAGAGAGAGATTGTTGGGATGGAATGCGCTCCCTCTCTCCCCCTGGAGGGACACATCCTGCTTACCTAATTCTGGAGAGTATTAGGCGCAGGTTGGCAAGAGCCAAGGCTTGGGGGGAGGCCAGAGTGTGTGTTGGGGTAACTGCTGGAGTCTGACCAGCTAAACCCACACAGCTTGCCATTTGTCTCGCTGCCTGGCCAGCTTTCCTGCTGCTTGTCCAGCTGGGACCACCCTATCCATTAGGGCTTTGGCTACGGGGTTAACAGGAGCTGAGTGGAACTTGTTTTTAAGGAGGATGAAATGGCCAAATGTGAAATGGCCAAACTGACCAGTGTTCAAAGCATTGCTGAATCTCACGCTGGTGGTTGAGCTAAGGCGACTGATGTACCCCGTGAGAGCTTTGGTTTGCAAAAGGTTAACATCTCCAAATCTCATTGATGAGCCAGAAGGAGCTCTTCATAGCTTTGGATTCCTGAAGATCTGACATGTCTTGTCGGAACCAATTCAATGCTAAAGGAAACAGACATTGCACCCCCTCTCCCCGTGTCTGGGAATTATTCTAGCCTGGTTATACATTGTATTGATTTGTGAAATGGTAAACCGCGGAGTTGACCCACGAGGACACGGATTCAGGTCCAGTTCTTACCTGATTGAGCTAGCGGGAGTGGTTGATAAAGCTACCAACCCCACCCCACCCCAAATTGCTACGCTTCGCTCCAAAACTCTGCTCATGTCTGTCTAACCTTAATTCTCACATTCTGCTTTTAAATCTCGTGTTAATAAATCAAGTAAAATAATAATAATTTGGTCACTCAGTCCACGTCTGTTTGTGGGAACGCTGCTGTACGCAATTGGCTGCCGCGTTTCCCCCACAAACTGCACAGTCACTCCACTCTGCAGCACGATCTGTGAAGCGCTTTGAGACGTCTCGATGACGTGATCAGGCACTGTATCAAAGGCAAGGATTGTTATTATTTTCATTAATCTCATGTGGCCTTCTTCAGATATGAGATTGACCGGGTTTGGTCTGTTTACCTCCTCCACCAACTCCCACCACCCACTCCCTTCAGAATCAGTCAGGCAATTGCAAACCGCAGAGAAGCAAAGCCTTCTCACACAGACTGGCGAGATGATGGTCTCAGTAAGATGTATTTTTAGTCGTTGCCAAGGCAGCTGTTTGGTGATGCTGTGAAACGTTATGTAAGTCCTGAGCCACCGAAGCCCCTTTTTACTGAGTGTGTGAGACACCAGTCTATTTATCTATCCATTCTGGTACGTTAGTGCTACTGTTGCTGCTGTTTGCCTGAAATCGCTGCAATCTTATCCTAAAATATTGTGAAAAATATATATATTGCCTAAAGTGGCTTTGGTTTTTGTGTCCATGTAAATAGTTTGTGAATAATCCTGAATCTTTGTCCGATATGCTATTTTTGTAGGGGATAATTATATGTGGTAACCACTGAATACTTTTACGTTTCAAAAGGAAAATGAATTTTATGAGGAACTGTTGAACAATGTTTGCACTTTTGGTTAGTGCTTCATGCTTATGCGGTCTTTAAGTTATTAAAAAAAAACTGTCTGCATCACAATCGATCTCCGGTATCCTTTTTTTTTGGTAAAGAAGAATAAAATATTTTTGCACGGACGATACCTTTTGTACAGGCCTGTGACGTATTGGTTAGAGCCCTCGCCTCGCAAGCGGGAGGACCGTGTTCGATTCCCGGGCGAAACATTTCCTCACTCCACACGCCTCTGTTTACCAGCAGTAAGTAGGAACCCGGTTATTAGTCGATTGGTTGGTTGCTTTCCGAGGGGTAATAAATCCTTAACAAAATACATAATAATAATCACTCAATCCATCACTGTGTGTGGGACGCTGCTGTGCGCAATTGGCTGCCAAGTTTCTCCCTCAAAATATAGAGTCAATTCACTTTCTATCCTGTGAAGTGCTTTGAGATGTCGCAAAAACATATATCAAATGCAACGTTTATAATTATTGTGACTAGAAAGAATCAAACACACAAAGAAAATACTAAAGGTTTCATTATTGTGTGTTGAGACTGCTTCAAGTTTAAGAATATTCTTTTAGTTAGTTAACGATATGGTTTTATTAAGCTATAACCATCATCAATAATTCTAACAAGACACATAAAATCACATATTTGTGCCAAGATATGCAAGATCATTAAATCCAGGGGAACATTTATTAAAATATACAGTCAATTCACTTCACAGTATATCCACGCACAGTTGCATGTTGGCAGCAGTGAATCTGCATTGGCTGCTGCTCACATTTCTGTGCATTTACCACACAAATCCCGACCCCAAACTGGACTTGAGGTACAGGTCAGCTATGATGTTATAGAATGGCGGAACAGGCTCAAGGGGCTGAATGGCCTCCTCCTGTTCTTATGTTCCTAAATTAATGACTGTAACTAATAACTCATCATTTGGAAACTGTAATCCCAATTTCCAGTTCAAGTGATAACGAAAGGCGGGAGCTTTCATTTTACAGTTATATCTTGAGTTTTTTCGGTTAGATTACTGCCTTGTAATAATCCCAGGAAGGCATTAATAACAATAATATAATAATCCTTGCATTTGATATAGTGCCTTATCATATCGTTGAGACGTCTCAAAGCGCTTCACAGAATTGCTCAACACAGACAGACAGACACAGAGAGAGACAGACACAGCGAGACAGACACAGAGAGACAGACAGACACAGAGAGACAGACAGACACAGAGAGACAGACAGACACAGAGAGACAAACGCATTTTTAATACATTTTTAATTTATTAAAATTGAATTTATTATTTGATAATAATAGTAAGATCAGAGGGTTCTTCCAAGAAGATTACAAACATTGCTCTTGGGGTAGAGTAATGATTAATGATATATATATATATACAGTATATCCACAGTCCAGGGTTTAGCGAGCCGGGCTGTGAGTGAGTGAGCGAGTGAGTGAGTGTTAGCAAGGTCCCTGATTGACGCCGAGTGGGGGTGGGGGGGAGGGGGAGAGGAAGGGTGCCTGTCACGTGTGCTCACACATGCGGCCACACGCTAGCTGAAGCACGTGTGTGTGTGTGGGTCACACGGGGTGAGCAGACAGACTGGCTGCTGCACAGCTTTCACTGCAACACGATCACATGATGACAGGCTGTGGCTCGCTGCCCCTCGCTCGCTCTCTCTCTCGCTCGCTCTCTCCCTCCCTCCCCCTGACTGCAGCATTGAGCACACAATACACTACTGTCTCCTGTTCTCACAGCACAGCACTTGTTTGTTATTTGCTTACAAGACGTGATAAGCCTCTACACCAACAACAACAACTTGCAGTTATACAGTGCCCCTCACGAGGGGTAGCCTCCTGGAGCTCGATTAATAAATGGCTTATTAAATGCAAGGATTATTATTATTATTAAGTGTGATTTAAACACACACATTTCTCTCTCTGTGTATATATATATTTATATGTAAAACATTGGTATATATGTGTATTTGTTGGGCGACTGTCTGTGGGACGCTGCTGTGCGGAATTCGTTGCCGTGTTTCTCCCACAGAATATATTCACTTCACTGTATATTCTGCTTTGAGACGTCTTGAAGATGTGATAAGGCGCTATATCAAAAGCAAGGATTATGATGATTATTATTATTATATATTTTTGCAAAAATGTTTCCTCAATTGTTCTCAGATCAAATGTTTATTTATCTTTATTCAGTAAAGTTTTCAACAATCGCAATTTAATAAGAATAATCCTAATTCTTATTGCATAATAATTATTATTGATTTATACAGATATTTTCTTATTATCATAATTATAACTCAAATTTATATAATATAAACGTTATAGCAATTATGAAATAATAATTATTATAATTTATTTATCATTCCTCCCTCCCACAGCAAATGTGCACAATTAATTATCACTTCTGCTATCTCTGCTTATTATTTCCTTCTAAATTCTTCATTTAATAATAATAAATAATAATAATCCTTGCATGTGATACAGCGCCTTTTCACGTCGTTGAGACGTCTCAAAGCGGTTCGCAGGATATACTGTAAAGTGAATTGATTGTCTGTGTACTTGTGGGCGAAATGTGGCGGCCAATTGCGCCCAGTAATACATACCTACTTTCTAAACTAACTGAATTACCACGATTAGATCTGATTTCAGTATGGATAAGCCAGATGTTGCTGTATTAATAACCGTTTATGGTTGATGATTATGGCCGGTGTTTTGCTTTTAGACTGTTTCCTGGCTGAAAAATTGTCCAGAAATTACAACAGCAGGTTGTAAATTAAAACACTGGCCCAAAAGGCTTTTAATTGGCCTCAGGGACACTTTGTTTGATTGGATTTGGACGGAAATCCTGCATCTTCAACATCACTTCTTCAACCCTAATGTGACCAGGTCAGACTTTGATGTGATTTATGTGCTGATCAGATGTACCCCCTCCTTCCCCTCTTTTAGATCATGACTGAAGACCTTACTTGGGAAGGTTTAAGTGTTGTCATAATATTAATTGATTGTAATTTCTATGGTTCAGCATCAGGATGTTTTCTGCAGATTAGAATGTGGTTTAATTGCGTTGATCAAATCCGTCGACCGGCCATATTAAAATCAAGAAGGGAAAAGCGATCTTCCATAATCTTTGTTTGTATCAATTCTACATTGATATGTATTTGAACCGAATGATAATAATCCCTTAAAAAATGTAATAATTTGGTCACTCGATCCCCGGCTGTTTGTGGGACGCTGCTGTGCGCAATTGGCTGCCGGGTTTCGCCCACAAATAAACAGTCAATTCACTTTGCAGTATATACTGTGAAGCGCTTTGAAACAACCGGATAAAGGTGCTACATCAAATGCAAGGATTATTATTATTATTATTATTAATGAATATCAATCCAATCAGATACGGTTCAGACATATTCAGCAGTTGGGAGACCACAGCACAGATGCAGCTTGGAGTGTTACTGTCACCTGGTGGTGAAATACAGGGAATGTGTTTGAGCCGAAAGCTTTCAGAACACCAGATTTTATGCCCTGTTTAAAACTTTTTCTTCCCCCACTCAGGTGTCTGACACGTGCAGAAACCCATCACCGTTCCTCAGGAGTCTCCAAACCCAAGCTGACAACTCCACGCTTCCCTCCGACACATGGAAATCCCAGAGAGAGATTGTTGGGATGGAATGCGCTCTCTCTCTCTCTCTCGCTGGAGGGACACGTCCTGTTTACCTAATTCCGGGGAGTATTAGGCGCAGGTTGGCGAGAGCCAAGGCTTGTGGGGAGCCCAGAGTGTGCGTTGGGGTAACTGCTGCTTCCCCTTCCCATATATTGGAAAAATAACATTTTCCTTTGAATTTTTTGCCCTCAAAAGAAATCCCCAATTTCCCTTCCTCTCTGGCTGGTGGACGCAGGTAGGTTATGTGACTGGTCGGCAAGTTTCTCCTACATCACCTACAGATTCCCCTAATGGCGAAACCTTTGGCAAGTTTCCATACTCACATGCCTCAGTTTACCTCTATAATTGTGCCCACAAAATACAGCCAAAACCAGTGTCCGGTGATCCCTGTGAAGCGCTTTGAGATGTCTAAACAACATGATAAGGTGCTATATCAAATGCAAGGATTATTATTTGTATTATTATTATAATTCCATTTTCTCCCTTTTGTAAAGACTCACCAATATTTTCTTAGTATTCCTGACAATGTGCCTACATGTCTCTTGTGTTTTCTACTCTGTGTGGTTTTCTTGCTGTTCCTCCTGTGGTGTTTCGTAATTTCTGAATCCTGGAAATGTTTGATTTTCTTGTTTGCTAACCTTTTATCAGCAGAAACAAATGCAAAGCAATTCAACTTCAGAACCAACAACGGTTAAAATGAGCATACAATATTTTATTTAATTTATCTGTGGAATTAAAAGATTATAGGTTGGCATCTTCATTCGTTGTATTTATTCTCGGCTGCATTTCACAAGAGCAGGATGTTACAGATCAGAAAAGCACGGTTGCAAATTCCCAACAATAAGTCATGAAATGAGTCCAGAAAAGTTTGCCGTTGCCATTTTACAATACTTTCTTCTTTGCACCTGGTAACAGTCATTCCATGTTTGCGTCTGAAACAATAAGTGACGCAAAGTCTGAATAATTCAAAGCAACAGAACTGAATAAATAGCAATTACAGAATGATCATTCTGACAACTCCCGGCAATGGGTAACAATCTTCCCAAACAATGACACAGACCAGGATGGTCCAACTGGCGGCCCACGGGCCACATCTGGCCCACAATCCAATTTCACCCCACCCCCCACTGCCCCCCACCCCTCCATTTCATCTGGCCCATAGCCGGCCCAATGTGATGTTATGTTTCTGGAAGGGAAACACAAAAATATTGCTCACACGGTCCACAGACGTTTCTCAAATAGGGATCCAACCTTCAGCAGCCAAAAGATTGGACCCCCACTGACACACACCATCACGTACCAGGACCTTGTATTTATCATGTTATACCTTGACATAATATAAAGTCATGTTAAAAAAAGAATTTATATTAACTGTGCAAATCAATATACAATGAATAGTTGTCAAAAATACGATCTGAATGCTTGGTTTACTATATACATAAACACTGAAAATAACCCAGGTTCTCTTTGCCGTGGCCAACATGACAATCCCCCCTCACTAACCACTTTCTATTTTGCATTCTTTGATATAAAACTACAAATGGCTTTTCATCAGTTTTCAAGTGAATGTTAGTATTTGAACATTGGTTGTGCTCTAATTATCAGGTTTATTAAAATCTCAAACGTGCGGCTGGGAGTTGGATCAACAGATTACTTTTGTGATTTTGCATAAATTCATAACCGTAATCATAAACACAAATTAAAATTTCTCATCTTCAGACAGACAAAATAGATTTTGTTGATCCATTCCAGCAGTCAAACTGTATCCTATTCATTTCAGACAGCGATATCAACGGCCAAGCTGTGTGGGTTTATCTGGTTAGACTCCAGCAGTTACCCCAACGCACACTCTGGGCTCCCCCCAAGCCTTGGCTCTCGCCAACCTGCGCCTAATACTCTCCGGAATTAGGTAAACAGGATGTGTCCCTCCAGAGAGAGAGAGAGAGCGCATTCCATCCCAACAATCTCTCTCTGGGATTTCCATGTGTCGGTGGGAAGCCTGGAAACCTCAACTTGGTTTGGATTCTCTTAAGCAACGGTGATGGGTTTCCGTGTGTGTCAGACACCCGGCTGACCCCAAAAATGTTTTTAAAATGTTATTCCTAAGGTTCTGCGCATTTCATTAATTGTAAATAGGTCATAGACAAACAGAAGCATTGCAGAGATCAGCTTTTGTTTACAAGTCTAAATAGGGTTAGGATAATACACGCTTACAGAAACTCAGCACTTTTAAACTGCTTGGGCGATTTGGATATTTGGTACAGAATTTCTGAACTAATGCCCAGTAGAGAAAAAAAACAAACAAAAAAACATTGTCAGTAAAGCACGGTTGCAAATTTCCAACATGAAGTCGTGAAACAAGTACAAAAAACTCTGCCAGTGCAATTTGACACGACTTTCTTCCTTTGCAGCTCACAAAAGGGAGAAAGGTTAACATTGTGCATTCAAGTTAACACCAATTCCATGCTTTCCTCTGAAACAATAAGTGACTAAAAGTGTGGTTCTATCATAATTTTGTGGGGCATTTACTACATAAAGGATCGATAGGATTGTAGCTTTCAATAAAAGCAGCATTTAGATACCATTAGTGAGTCATAGCTTATGTAATTCTTGGCAAAACATCATTCATCTGTAACCAGAGTATATAAAAGCTGAGCAATCATCTTATTTTTAAGTTTAAAATACTGACACAATGAGGAAGTTTCCACCATTATAATAATAATTCTTGCATTTGATACAGCGCCTTATCACGTCTTCGAGACGTCTCAAAGCGCTTCACAGGATACACTGTGAAGTGAATTGACTGTATATTTTGTGGGCGAAATGTGGCAGCTAATTGCGCACAGCAGCGTCCCCACAAATGCATCGAGTGACCAAATTATTATCATTATTAATTTTTCCGAAGGGATTATTATCCCTGGAAAAGTGATCCGCCAATCGACCAACAATCAGGTTCCTACTTACTGATGGTAAACAGAGACGTGTGGAGTAAGGAAACCTGCCCAATGTTTCCCCGGCCCGGGAATCAAACCCTGGTCCTCTCGCTTGCGAGGCGAGTGCTCTAACCACTGAGCTACAGGACCCCAATTAATGAGTGGCTGGTAGTTTTTTGAGTGGTGTGTATCTACTTGACCAGGTAATTGAGGGAACACTCACTTAAAAAGGTTAACACAATGTATAAAATTCAGTTGCTGTTGCTTCTCATCCTACAGATGTAAAATGTCAGTCGATCAATAAAACCTATGCATCATTTCACATTGGATATAAACTGAATACGCAGTATTCATCTTTATTGGCATCTACATTCGCAAATTACTTCAGTGACAGTTCGTGGCTGACGGTGATGAGTGGAGAAGGTTTGAGAAGCCTTCATGCCGCTGTTTTGCCCAGTCAATAATGGTTTGGCTTATGGCTGATCTGTTCTCCAGCGGCAGTGAATTGGCAGTTCGATGGCTCAATAGCATGGATCAGCACTGCAGATAGCAGGTAATCAACAAAGATAAAGCCGGGGCTGGTACTGTCGCTAATAGATTCTTTTGCGGTGATGAAGACAGCTGGAAGTAGAGTATAATGACGCCGTTCAGATAGACGGCTTCTTGCAAATAGAGGTATGTGGTCATACATAGATACCCTCTGGGTTAAACCCTGACGTGAGGGGGTTCTGAAGAATCCGCAGATTACTGGGCAGTTGTCGTGATGAGTTAGGACGTCTCAACGAGCCCGTCAGGATAGGTGGCTCTGGAGAGAGAGAGCGAGAGAGAGAGATTACATTAAATACGTAAACGCAAGGTTAGGTTTCTGTAAAGCGTATTATAAAAAGCTCCAACTGAGCAAGTTAAGTTTCAGCATCCTCCGGTGGAAAACATTGGGTACTACAGCACACATTTTTTTTCACAAGGTTTACGCACGAGGAACATTATTAATTTAAATCTTACAATTTTGATTTACGGACGAGATTGCCTCTGCTGGGCAAGGAATCACATCTACACGCAAGTGCCAAGCGCAAGGTTAGGCCACTTTGCAGATTCAAACGCACCAAATGGGATGTGCGCGATTGGGCTGCCGCGTTTCGCCCACAAAAACACACAGTGTATTCTGTGAAGCGCTTTGAGACGTCTCGAAGACGTGAGAAGGCGTTATATCAAATGCAAGGATTATTATTATTATTATAATAATGCATTACTCTTGCTGGATAAAGCGCCATAGAGTTCTGATCCTTTATAATAATAATCCTTGCATTTGATGTAGCGCCTTATCACGTGGTTGAGACGTCCCAAAGCGCTTCACAGGAAATGCTGCAAAGTGGAGTGACTGCGCATTTTGTGGGCGAAACGCGGCAGCCAACTGTGTACAGCAGATATAAGATGTAAGATGTATAAGGATTTGCTGGTGAAAGAAGACCAAGGTCCATCCAGTTCACCTTCCACCCTCCTGGCAGTGGCTTGACATGTCGTGTCCCAAACCATCTATTGCATAGAATACAAACTATATATTGTATAAGATACAAGACATATACGATGTCCAAGATAGAGAAGAACGTGTGTGGAATGATCACCTTTCTTGTGTTGCTGCGAATGTTCTTCATCCATAGGTTCAGCAGGCAGCACTGTGACTTTTGTTCCCGTCTGTTGGATGAATTGCTGCAGATTAACTTGCCTCAGTTCCTTTGTGAGCAGCTCCAGTTCCATTTCTTTCTCCTGTTTGGAACAATAATTTACAGCGGGTGAAATGGGCAGAGAATTTTTTTTACAAAAGAAAAGAAAAATACATTACAACTATAGGGAGCAGGTTCCCACTCAGTTTGGGCTTCTTACATTTCCAAATAAGGAACTCCTATGGACCATCCTCTCCTCTGAATTCATACAGGAAGGAGCGAGGGAGAGAAGAGGTGTAAAACAGCAGTGGATTGAGTGACCAAATTAGTGTTGTTATGATTTTTGGGGGTGTGGGAGATTATTACCTCTGGAAAATGATCTGTCAATCAACCAACAACCTAAAATAATAATAATCCTTGCATTTGATGCAGCCCCTTATCACGTCTTCTAGGCGTCTCAAAGCGCTTCACAGAATATACTGTAGTGACTGCGCATAGTTGTGGGCGAAACGCGGCACCCAATTGCGCACAGCAATGCCCAACAAACAGTCGTGGATTGAGTGGCCAAATTATTATGTTTTCTTTCTTGAGAGATTAAATAATAAATTTCCTCAAAAACCTAATAAATAAAGTACAAAAACTATCAATTATATTACCTGGAACTTCTTATTGACTTGTCCCAACGTCCTCTCTACAGCCTTAAGGCTATTCTCCAGACGTGTCGTGTGTTGACAATTGATCTCAATCTCTCCCTTGATTTTAACAATGTTCCCTTTCACCTCTTCCTCATTGAGCTGAGATTCCTGTAGCTCTTGCCGAAGCTTCTCGGATTCAATGCCGTTCTGGATCCTCTGGATTTTAGCCGAGTATTCCTTCAGCTTATCCTCACATTCCCGAGTCCTCTCCACCACCTCCTCCAGCTGGTCCTTCAACTGCTTCTCGTTCTCCTCTTCGATTTGCCGCTCGTTATCCCAGAACTCTTCCTCCTGGATCTCGACCCTGTTTTTCTTGATCACTTGCTCCAATCTCACCACATCATCCTCCACATTCAAGCGGGTCCTGCCCTCCCAATATTTGGTCTCGCTTTTATTGGACTCCAGTTGGCTTTCGAGTGACTGAAGTCTGTCCTTCTGTAAGTGAACCAACTTCCTGAATTCCTCGACTGTGTTTTGGGAGTTCTGGACTCTGTGCTTGATCTCCGATTCCTTACCCTTGCCGAAGATGTCTATCAAGCCTTTGGGTCCAGCTGTAAAGGTCAATGATTTCCTCTTGGGTTCTTTCCTTCGTAAAGATCTGTCGTTGGGGGGCCTTAGTTTAGCCAGGGGTGGGAGGCTCTGTCTGTATAAAGTTCTCTCAGGCACGCGGGCGATACTGTCTGAGTTGGGACGCTCACTGAGAGAGGGTCCGGTGCGATGTAGGATTAACTGCACATCGCAGGCATATTGTCCCCATTTATTCAAGGCAGCTAAAGGATTCTCATTAGGTGCGAGATGTCGCTCTGTTTCCCGCCACTTCTCCACCAGGGTATAGCGGCCAGTCCGTCCTGAGAAAAGAAAAAAAGGGGAAAACATTAAAAGTAGTGAATACAGCTAATTCTCAGCTTTATAATAATAGTAATAATAATAGTTGCATTTGATACAGCGCCTTATCACATCTGCATCTCAAGGAGCTTCACGGAATATACTGTAAGGTGTAGTGACTGTGTATTTTGTGGATGAAATGTGGCAGCCAATTGCGCACGGCAGTGTCCCCCACACAGCTGTGGATTGAGGTTGTTAGTCAATTGGTGGATCGCTTTTCCGGGGGTAAAAAATAATAATTTGTTCACTCAAATCACGACTGTTCCTCCACAAAATATTACAGTCACTCCACTTTACAGTATATCTCGTGAAGCGCTGTGGGACGTCTCAAAGCCGTGATGAGGCGCTATATCAAATGCAAGGATTATTATTTTATTATTTAATTAGCAAAATGTTCAGGATAACAAATAATATTTGTTGACTTTGTAAAATACACGTGGCAGGTCGCAAGCTCAGCAACACATGTGCCTTGATGCCAGCACAAACAAATAGTATCTTACCTATGGCTTGAGCAAGAGCAATGACAACCTCCTGACATGTTGTAGCTTCTGTCACCCCACAAACAATCCGCTGGGCTCCATCTACCCATACTTTCAGCTCCATCATACACCATGAGAAACAGTCCCACACCTCATCAGCTTGTCATGTCATCCTCACAGGCCAGGGGAGAGGAGATGTACCAGGCATTTAGTCTGTAAATGTCACAAATGATATCAAAAAACATCACAAACTCACAATTTTAATAATAATAATCCTTGAATTTGATATACCGCCTGATCACGTCTTTGAGACGTCTCAAAGAGCTTCACAGAATATACTGTAAAGTGCGGGCAAAACGCGGCAGCCAATTGCACACAATAGCGTACCACAAACAGTCGTGGATTGAGAGACCAAATTATTACAGCCATTAAGACAGTCATCTTTCATTATCTTCGAGATGAGGTTGCCAGGAGTTCACTGTGATTTTTAGATTGCCCTAGAAGTGAAGGTTAATTTACTGAGAGCTTGCCTCTCTAAAAAGAGTCTCTTCTACGGGAAAGCAGGTGGAGACTAGACTGGGAATCAGCAAGGAAAACAAGCAAACCAGTCAGTCCCTACCTAGTATTGCTTCAAAAGCAGCCTGCCTTAAACACGTTAGATGTGCTTTATGGAGAAGGGTCCATTTTGAATGTTGCTTGGGGGCTTCGGAATAAAAAATACCATCAACAACAACTTGCATTCATATAACATCCATCATGAAGGGCAGAGTCCCAGAGAACGTTATTTTCTGTTACACTGAATGAAATTTTAAACTCATTTCTCTCTGTGGTACGATTCAATTCTAACTCATTTTAGCAAATTGCAGTCGTTCACCTGTAACTATTCTATTCAATATCATAAATTAATGTTATATTCAATGTCACAAATTACATATAAATATTATATTCAATGTCATAAATTAATGTTAACATTTAACATTAATTTATGACTTTGAATGTAATCGTTACGAGTGAACGATTCCAATTTGCTAAATCATTAAGAAGTGTTCCTTCTCACTTCTGCTTAATAAATTATTAATTATTATAATTGGTCTTAATAGTAATCCTTACCTTGGATACAGCGCCTTAACACGTCTTCAACACATCTCAAAGCGCTTTAAAAAATATACTGTAAAACTGAATTGACTGTATTTTGTGGGTGAAACGCGGCAGCCAATTGCGCACAGCAGCGTCCCACAAGCAGTCGTGGGTTGAAGTGACCATTTATTAATTTTTTTGATTATTGCCCCTGGGAAAAGCAATCGTCCAAACGACTAACAACCGGGTTCCTACTTACTGCTGGTAAACAGAGGCGCGTGGAGTAAGGAAACTTGCTTAAGGTTTTGCCCTGACCAGGAATTGAACCCGGGTCCTTTCGCTCTAATCACTGAGCTATGTTGACTGGTTTAGCTCGGCTTAGCTTGGAAAAAGCCTTCCAAGGTCAAACGGCCTGTCACAAAGCACGGTCTAGGCTCAGACATGAAGATTAGCGACTTGGGTGAGTTGCCTTGGGTGAGAGTTTCTGGTACCTATAGAACATTGTGTCAGCATGAGTCACCACCGGGGAAATACTTCACCATTGAACATTCAGGAGTAGGGAATGGGGCGTCACTGGTGGGATACAGTACAGGACAAGTGCTTTACAAACCCAGTATTTTAACATGAATTTACGACACTGAATAGAATAGTTACAAGCGAATGATTGCAATTTGCTAAAATGAGTTACAATTTGAATTGTACCACAGAGCGAAATGCGTTTACAATTTCATTGTAGCTCAGTGGTTAGAGCCCTCGCCTCGCAAACGAGAGGACCCAGTTTCAATTCCCGGATACGACGAAACTTTAGGCAAGTTTCCTTATTTCACACGCCTCTGTTTACCAGCAGTAAGTAGGAACCCGGTTGTTAGTCGATCGGTAGATTGCTTTCCGGGAGTAACAATCCCTTCAAAAACATAACAATAATTTGGTTATTCAATCCACGACTGTTTGTGGGACGCTGCTGTGTGCAATTGGCTGCTGCCTTTCCCCCACAAAACATAGTCAATTCACTTGACAGTATTTTCTGTGAAGTGCTTTGAGATGTCTCAATGAAGTGATAAGGTGCTGTATTAAATGGAAGGATGACTATTATTATTATTGTTATTCAGTGGAACGAACGCAAGGAGAAGAACTCAAAAATATTCAAAATAAAATACTGTATCACTGGCAACCCGCAAGGCAAAGGGACACTCACTAGTCAGCAGGATTTAACACAAACATCAAGCTAATTTTAACTGTCACCAGCAACCCAATAACAGCTGCCGTCCATCAAGAAGGCTCATATTCTTTCCTCCCAGGGAGCACATCACCGAACAAACAACTGGGAATGAATTCTTCAGGCATAGCATTAACAAACGGGGGTGAAGCTGCTATCTTATTAAAAGCAAAGCCAACTCCCTCTCTGAAATTCCTGGGTCAGCAGGCGAACTGGACAAAGCAAACATTCTCGCTGACTAAACCAACGCCCTCAATAATAATAATAATAATCCTTGCAATTCATATAGAGCCTTATCACGTCTTCGATCGGCTCAAAGTGCTTCACAGAATATACTGTAAAGTGTAGTGACTGTATATTTTATACTCTAGCCTCGGCCAAGTCGTCCTTCTACTCCAGGATAATCCTGGAGGCGAAGAACAACCCCAGGCTACTGTTTCCCACCACATCCCGACTCCTCCGTCCCCCCCGCCACCCCGCGCAGGTCATCTCCTCCAACCTTCACTGCGAGGAGATGCTGGATTTCCTTGAATCCAAGATCAAGGGAATCCGCTCCGCGGTCACTTCCCCTCCAACTTCCACCCACCACCCACCCCTTCCCTCCCACACTCCGACTCCTACCCATCCTCCCCTACACACCTTCGTACCCGTTTCCCCACCCTCTGTCACTGAACTCATCCTATCCCTAAAACCAACCACCTGCTCCCTTGACCCCATCCCCACTCCACTCCTTATCTCCCAGCTCCATTTTCTTGCCCCACACATCACTGACATCATAAACCTGTCCCTCTCCTCTGGCTCTGTCCCCATTCCATTAAAAACTGCCATCATCACGCCCACCCTGAAAAAACCCTCCCTTGATGCGTCGCAGCTATCAAGCTACCGGCCCATCTCCAACCTCCCCTTTCTCTCCAAGGTCTTGGAAAGAGTTGTCGCCTCCCAACTGCGCTCTTTCCTCTCCACCCATTCTCTTTTTGAACCCCTTCAGTCAGGTTTCCGTGCTGCTCATAGCACAGAAACTGCCCTGGTCAAGGTCACCAATGATATCCTGACCATCTGTGACCAGGGCTCCCTCTGTCTCCTCGTCCTCCTCGACCTATCGGCAGCATTCGATACGGTCGACCACGCTATCCTACTCCACCGCTTGTCCTCCCACCTCAACCTTCAAGGCACTGTCCTTGAATGGTTTAGCTCTTACCTTTCCCACCGTCTTCACTTCGTCTCAACGAATGGCTTCTCCTCCACCCCCCGTACTGTCTCATGTGGTGTCCCTCAGGGCTCTGTCCTCGGTCCCCTCCTCTTCACCCTCTATATGCTCCCCCTTGGTGACATCATCCGCAAACATGGGGTTAACTTCCACATGTATGCGGATGACACCCAACTCTACCTTTCCTCCTCTACTCTCAACTCCACGACCACCGATGTCCTGACAGCCTGCCTGTCCGACATCGAGTCCTGGACGAGAGACAACTTTCTTCAGCTCAACGTGCGAAAAACCGAGGCCCTCCTGATTGGCTCACGTCAGCGCCTCCGCACCTCAGGCGCTGACACCATCAGCATCCAAGGCTGCACTCTCCACCTCTCAAAGCCAGTCAGGAACCTCGGCGTTTTGTTCGACCCTGAGCTGTCCTTTCTCCCTCACATCCGCACCACAACTGGCACCGCCTTCCATCACCTCCGGAACATCGCCAGACTACGGCACTACCTCACCCCTCACGCTGCTGAAACCCTGGTTCACGCCTTTGTCACCTCAAGGCTGGACTATGGGAACTCTCTCCTCGCCGGCCTTCCCGCCACCTCCCTCCACAAGCTGCAGGTCATTCAGAACTCTGCAGCTCGTGTACTGTCCCGCACCAGGCTTCGGGACCACATCACACCCACCCTCGCTCGCCTCCACTGGCTCCCCATCCCCCAGAGGATTGATTTCAAGATCCTCATCCTCACCTACAAGGCCATTCACGGCCTTGCTCCCTCCTACCTCTCCAACCTACTATCCCCCTACCTACCTGCCCGTACCCTCCGTTCCTCTGGCTCCGGTCTGCTCCACGTCCCCCGCCCCAACCGCCCTACCATCGGTGGTCGGGCCTTCAGCCTCTCAGCCCCGAGGCTCTGGAACTCCATCCCCCAGTGCCTTCGCCTTGCTTCCTCCCTTTCCTCCTTCAAGGCCGGTCTCAAAACCTTTCTCTTTGACCGTGCCTTCAGCTCCCCTCTCGACTCTCTTCCTCCTCCTCGCTCCCTCCCTTCCCTCCCCTCACCCTGACCATTTCCCCCCTCCTCTCTCCCTCCCTTCCCTCCCCTCACCCTGACCATTTCCCCCCTGCTCGGGTCATGACCCAACTGTGCAGCGCCTTGGGACGTCCTCCTGACGTGAAAGGCGCTCTATAAATGGAATCTTGTTGTTGTTGTTGTTTATGGGAGAAACACAGCAGCCAAATACGCACAGCAGCCAAATGTGCACAGTAGCTTCCCATAATCAGATTGAGTGACCAAATTATTAATGTAAATGTTATTAAAATATATTGGTTTGCAGTGTATGTGTCACTCAGCAGTGTGGGAGTGGGCCAGTCAGCCCCTTGAGCCTGTCCTGCCATTCTACTAGATCATGGCTGATCTGTCCCTCGACTCCAATTACCAGTCTTTGCCCCATATCCCTTGACACCCTTGACCATTACACAACATTGAGAACAAAGAAACTTCCAGCTAAGACACAATCATCTACACAATACATCTTCATAATAATAATAAATTGGTCACTTCAATCCACGACTGTTTGTGGGACGCTGCTGTGCGCAATTGGCTGCCGCGTTTTGCCCACAAAATATACAGTCAATTCACATTACAGTTTATTCTGTGAAGCGCTTTGAGACGTCTTAAGGGCATGCATGATAAGATGCTATATGAAATGCAAGGATTATTGTTA